GAACCAAGGGTTCAAGATATGCTCTGTGCATGATTTATGATTTATAGTTGCCTTGCCCGATTTCCAATCATCCTGGTAATACACGACCCGCACACGATTTCACCTCCTTCTCCCACTCCCTATCCTTAACCACCAACAGATCCCCACCAAATCCCCACGACCCCCTCGAAGTCCTCTACACACTCTCCCCACCCGCCTTCCACTACCTTCCCCGCAGCACACTCCTCCCTCCCCAAATCCTCCAACAAGGCTTCACCGAAACTCCCGAAAACAATCCGCCCTTCCTTTTAGGTCAGCAAATGCAAATAATGGTCATACCACACGGCGTACGAAAAATCGTTATCCATTTCCTCGTCTACGATCCTATTCGGCTGGAGGAAAAAAAGCAAGAACACGAGAGAGAGAGATCCCCAACTGAAGGGCATCGGAAAAATTCTCCTTTTTCATCTACTTCTGATTCTTCTTGTGATTCTAAATTTGATGGTAGAACTGCTAACGAGCAAGCTGAAAAACAAAAACAAAAACAAACCTCAACCAACAAACTCCGCAAGAAAATAAGTACGAGCCTCCACGGGATTTCGTCTAAACCGCGAGATCAAATCACAAATCAGAGATCGACGAGTAGGTTGTCGAATAGGAGTGCGGAGCCAAATGTACGATTGAGTATGAATGGGAATCCAAGTACTAGTTGGAATAAAGATTTGGATTTAAATCCAAATTCAAATATCGATGGCATGGAAATAGAAGTTTTAAGCAAGAGTACAATCACTATTATGGACCGCGAACAGAGGGAAGAGGATGAGTTGGGGGAATATGTGGTTATGAAGCGGGTGGTTAGGTTACCGAGGAGGGTTTGGTGTGGGAGGAATGTGAGTTTTTTTTTCTGTACTTTTTTCTTTTTGTTTAGCCTTTTTGCTCTCTTACTCCTATTCATATTCCTATTCAGATCATATTCATATTCATATCATATGGATATATAAGGTATATACCAATTGCAAATGAAGAAACGAACAACCCCCAAAGAGCTAACATATTATCCAAAAACACAGTGTAAAGATAAATTCGGGCAACTTTTCATTAGGAGGACATGACGCGATGATGCTATAGACGAGACAAACGAAGAAGAAGTGAGAGTTTCACATGCTAATTTTCGCTGCGGATATCTTCGCGTGCTTATTGGTCGATGTTTTATTGCTTGGGTTTTGATATAGACAGACAGATAGATGGTTGGTTGGTTAGTTTGATTTCAAGAAGTTTTGGTCTTGTTTTATAGGAGGATGGATATGAATATAGAGTGGTTCTTTCGAGGCTGTATGAGGAAAGATGGTTGAGTTGCCTAGCAGATGCTAGGGAAGGACTGTGAAGGGGTGGCTATGATGTCTGACAAAATCACGTTTATAGTGTGGTTTGGATGGTGGTTGAGAATGGTTGTCAGGAGGGCCGAATGGTTTCAGGAAGGAAGATATATGAGTAAGAACGAAATATGGGTAGATGAGCGAACGGGTGGATGGTTGTATAGGTAGAAAGCAAGAAATGGGATGACATGAACAAATAGTTGTTTGTGTATAAAGAAAGTCAAGCTTTCTTCTTATCATTGTATCGTGGTCTATTCATGATTCTGGATTCTGCTGGCTGGCTAGAATCGTTTGCCGCTACCATTCTGTATGTGCAAATATCCTCGCTACGTCAGCTATTTTAAGCTCTGCACTCAATATCCATAGCCTCGTAGCATTCAGAACTCGCATTTCCAACTCTACTCATTTATTCTACGAAACCCTACAACAATCAACCCTCCTCACCATTTACGTCAGCCTCATCATCACTAGCATCCAATGCATCCTTGCCTGCTCCACGTTGTCTTCCAGCAGAGATTCCTGAAGCTGTCAGCCACAAGAAGTAATCGCTTCGATGATGATCTAGATGATGAAAGAATGTATGAAATCTATCATGCTGTTAGCTTGGTCTCTAGTTCCAAAAATGATAAACTTACTGATTCTCAGTATTCTCTACTCTGAAGATTCTATCATAAATCTCCCTTTGCTTAAATTCATCCATTTTTTCTCTATATTTCTCGAAGTCTAGTTTTTCTCTATCAAAATCTTTTGCAACCTTCTCATTGTAGTTATGGAAAACTGGTGCTTCTAATAGTAATCCCAAACTAGGAGCTTTTGGTATACTGATCTTGGCAGCAGTATAAGTTTCCTTGATAAGCTCCATTGGCGAAGCACATCGTACCACTAATGCTGCCATGGCTACCATCTTTCTGATTTGATGCATCATGAAGGATTGACCGTGGACCTTTAATGAGAGCCATTCTGTATCGTGGATGATGATGGGTTTGGGTCCAATCTTGAAGGACTTGATGTGTCGTCTTGAAGAGGGATCACTGTAGTTTTTGAGAATTGTATAGTTGTGGTAGTTGTAAGTACCAACATATTGGTTGAGCGCTTCTTGTACTCTTTGTCTGCGAGATTCGTGTATGCGGTATGCTTTCTTGGCTTTGATATAGGCTGCTTTTACTTCCTTGACAGCCTTTTCGAGAGGCGTAAGAATGGATTTCGAGATTTCTTGGACACCGTCTGCTTCCGGCTTGGCTTCTCCATCCTGGTTAGTCTCATCCTTTACTACTGGTTCTCCAGTAGTTTCTATGCCTTGCATGGCTTCCGGTTCCTCCTTTTCCACCTCCGCTGCGGGTTTAGGACTTTGCTTGACATCTCCGTCTTCGTTGACCTCGACTGCTACAGGTTCCTCTTTGGGCGCCAATTCGCCTTCAGTTTCTGCTTCGTTGTTTGTTATCGGTTCCTCCTTGGTTTCTTCCTTGATTTCGGCACCATCTTTGCCTTCTGCCTTGTTTTTCTTTATATTCTTTCCAATTGGTTCATTGGATTCCTCCGCAGCATGGATAGCTTCCATAACATCTGCCGCCAATTGTGGATCCAGGTTATCAAGTATAGGTTGTACGAATTCTTTCTCAGCATCTGTCCAGAATGATGCAGCATCTTCTTGAAGTTGATTGAATTTTTCCAAGACACCTTCTTTCTCAGCTGCCTGTAGCAATTCCTTTCCAAGAAAACTCTTAGGATGAGGTGGGATAAATGAATAAGTTGGAATTAAATATTCATACCACCGCGAGTCACACATTTGATAGCAATTGAAGGACCCTGTAGTTCTTTCAATACCCCAGACTCGAATTTGATCTGGTAAATGTGAATTGATATTCTCAACGACATTGGGGTCTTCGGTAATGAGTTTCAAGGAGAGAACATTGCCAGCTGCATGAACTCCTTTGTCGGTTCGCGCGCATCGTACTAAGGCTGACTTCTTTGGATCATTTGCATTGGCTTTCGAAATCGCACCAGCTGCCACAAAGGCCTTGAACATGTCACCCTCGATCGTCTTCTCCTTGGTATTGATTTGCAAGCCTTTGTATCCAGTTCCTGCATAGCCAATCATCACGGCTACTTTGTGTTTGGGTTTTCGTACTTCACTCTCGATTTCCTCCTTGGAGAACTCCGTACTAAATGCTGTTGGTTCTGATTCTCCATTATGCATCGTCTTTCTTCGCTTCGATGCTTGGTCGTCGTCATTTCGATCTCTCTTTGGTGCTTGACGACTAGAGACGTTAGGGAAGTTAGATTTTTAGATTCAAAGGCATGACTGACTTGTATTCTTTGCGACCCATCTCTGGTTTTCTACCTCCTCTGGAACCACCTCTAGAATTTCCTCTGCCACCTCTGCTAAAACCTCCCCGCCCCCGCCCTCGTCCTCCACCGTGTTGACCCCCAGATTTGGCATTTGACTCCATGATTGATGTGACTATTCGAACTTCAGAGATATATTTCAATGTGTTTTTCACCAATTGAAAAATACTCATAGATCTCCGACGAGAAGTTCTAAAAAATAAACAGCCTGATAAAAACTCTGGAAATCTGATATGAAGCGCGAATATTTCTCCCAATAATTTTTAGTGCCTTGGTCCAAGCTCCAAAGTTATCTCAACCAATGATAATGAACATGCAAATAATAAATAATTAATAAATCTTTGGTACCAGCTTAGCGGTCGCTTACATAGTTTTCAGTCCACAAATCTTTCTGCTGCAATCTGCACGCTGCACCTTGTCTTCATTCAACCTTGCCAATCATTATCTTCATTCACTTCATCTCCCTTACTAAATTTAACAATCATATCGAATTTTTACTCAATTGTCTCCTCCATTTCTGTTGTGAGCAACACAGCCTGCATCCTCTCGAGGGTAGACACAAAATAGAAACCATCCATCTTCTCCATATCTTTGACTTTGTTGTCTTGAGGATACGGAATGATCATGGGCATCCTTGACACCTTATATTAAATATCCATCTCTTCGTCTTTCCCCATATTCTCACTACCGACCTTTCAAAAGTCTATCTTCTTGATTACACATTTCTACCGCCTTTCGAGATTTCAAGGCCTGGCATTTTTTCTCTATCTATTCCTTTATGCACTCAACATCTCGACTTTGCAGTTGCAAATATGGATCTCGCTCAAATGCTGGTGCGCTCTTGTATGCGCTCGTTTTACGACACAAAACATATCCTTGTGATTGATGCGCTCGTCATTCATTCTGCGTATGTCTTTCTATGAGCGTTTTTGCACCTCCAGAAGAAGACGCTGACATCTTACAGCTTGCGCGATGATGATTTGGCATATCTGATGAGCATAAATACGAAAGAGCTTCACAAGCTTTGTGGAAAATTGAAGGAGGATCGATTTCTTGCAGTGTATGGCTGATAGTCTATTCTGTATTCCTAGCTTTTGCTAAGATGATTGTTTAGGCATTCGCGCCCAGAGATCAGAGAAGGTCAACAACGCCCGATTAATCGAACCTACTATTATATTGACTACCGCGCAACAATCGATGCGATCAAATGGAGAGTCTACCTGATAGACAAGGCGGTCCAAGGAAATACTGTGCCGGATGATGAGAGAAAGGAATATTTTTGCCCTCGATGCAAATCGGAATGGACCATGTTCGAGGTTTTGGACAAGAGAAACCACGAAGGCTTTTTATGTCACAAATGCGATTTTCTTCTAGTACACGATCCCGATAACAACCGTGGTGGACATGAGCAGTCCTCAAAACTCAATGCCCAATTCAGATTCATCACCGACCTACTCCCAAAAATCGATCAGGTAGTCATCCCTGAAAATACATTCGAGCAAGCTCTTGCTTCAGCTCGCAAAGTTGTTAGAGATGAGGCCAATCCTGGGAGCGAAACCGCACCCGTTACTCTCTCCTCGGAGAGACCAACTGCTGTTCGTGGTCTGGATAACACTGGACCAACGTCTATTTCAGTTACTTTGACGAATGGAGAAGGGCCTACAGCTGCAGATATCGCCGCTGAACACGCTCGCAAAGAAAAGACGGCTCTTCAGAATGCCTTGCCCCAGCATTTTACTCACAGTACAATCACCGGAGAACAGGTCAAGTTTGGTAACCAGCCTATTGTCTCTGCTGGACCTGCAGTTGATATCAATAAAAAGGATATCAAACCTGACACTGAAGGCACGGATGACGGTGCTGAAATCGATGATTACTTTGCGCAACTGAAGGCAGCACAAGCCAAGGAAGCTGAGCAAGAGCAAGATGAAGAGTACGAAACGGACGATGATGAAGAGGAAGGTTTTGAGGACGTCATTCCCAATGGTACCACATCCGGCGCCGCTACTCCAGCTAGCTCAGTCGGGGGTACAGACTCTAAACCTAGTGTGACGAGTGGTAGTGGTCTCAGTGGCGTTTTGAAGCATTCGCGAAATGAAAGTGTTTCTGCGAGTGGAACGAGTACAGGTGCAGCAAGTCCGGTAACAGGACCGAATACACCGAATGAGGATAGACCAGCAAAGAAAGTTAGAATTGAGGAACCAGCTCCAGCAGCACCGATCATAAAAGATGAAGAGGAGAGTGAGGAGGATATGGAGTTTGAGGACGTTTAATCGTTTAGATTTTGGAAAAGTGGTGATGGAATTGGGAAGGGGATGGGAAGGAGTCCTTACATTGTATTCTATAGGTTGGGGTGCCTAGATCATTCCGAATCACAAATCCAATCTAATACGGTAGATTGGGGTGCATGGCGTTTGGGAATCAATGCCTTTCCATTTCTTGAAAATGGTGCAGGGTCAGGCAGGGCGGGGTGGAGAATAATTTGAATTTTATGGCATATATTCAGACTAAACCAGTACAGTTCAAAACCAATACTTGAACAAAGAATGGTTTGGTAAAAAGTCGTTTATCTCCTATTTAGTTTATAGAAAGTTCGCTCGCTCGCTCGCTCATTCGTGTATACTTGGACTTACGCTTAGAGCTAGCTGTCAGAGACATACATATATATATAACACGAATGAATTTAATTGTACGATTTAATCCAATAAATCCAATCCAATAGGCTTGCTTCAATTACTTTCTCACTTAACTTTCCGACTCTCTTGACTTGTGAATTTTTCTCGTAATTCGTTTTCAGTAGAGTCATTTATATATATCAAATGTGAGGAATACATAGACAGACATACATACATGTATATCTATCTGGCTACTGATGAAGTAGGTATCTCTTCATGAGATATGTAGTTTTGCATCATCTACTCTACTATCATATTTGTCTCGTGTGAACATTGATTGATTGATATATTTATTTCTACTTTCAATAAACTCCCAAAACTAAATGCAGGGACTATCTATCTATATCCTCCCAATAGGTGTTGAGACCAAAAGCACTATCACGTATCCACACATGAAGTGTTTACATATATATCACTCCGAAACGCCATTCCCATTCAGCCTGACACGATGCAGAGAGCTGGGTTAAACCTTCGTTTGCTTTACCATCCAACTCAATAAATCGACCTTTGTAACTACAGCTACTGGTTTTGATAATCCATTCTTCTCGCTTCCCTTTTCGGTGACGATGGCCGCGCTGTTCCATTCGAAGAATTTGCTCAAGGCAGAGATAGGAGTATCGAGGGTGATTTCTACGAATTTGCGTTTTGGCGTGGTTTGTTTCTTGCCTTCTTGAGTGGTTTCGATACCGTTGCTCTTGGGTGGTGAAGAAAGGTGGCTGATATCCTTGGGATCAGTGATGACTTCGGGAATGTGAGAGAAGTCGAACATGACATCTGAAACGGGGCTTTTGCCGGTGGCGCGGCCGCGACTAATCCAACTGAGGAGGTTTCCGAGGGTGACGAGACCGACGAGTTTGTCTCCTTTGGGGGCGAGGACGGGGAGTTGATCGAATCCTTTTTCGCGCATGGTTTCGATCGCTTCGGAACAGGGGGAGTTGGCTAGCACGGATGTGACTGGCTTGAGGCGAAGTGATCGAAGAGTTGCTCCGGAATATGGATCTTTCTTGGATTGAGCCTCGACGACAGGAGATGCTGGAGTGGATGACTCAGGAGTAGGAGGAAGGAGATCGTTAGCCGCTAGCCAGTCATCGTCGGCAAATTTGCTAAGGTAACTTCTGATGCTATCTGGTAGGATGACTACCACGGTATCACCTTTACCAAGTCCCAATTCACGAACTCCCTTGACCATAGCTGCGATAGCACTACCACTGCTGCCCCCGACCAACAGGCCTTCTTCGGCAATCAGTCTACGTGCGTAGGCGAAAGATTCACGATCATCAGTCTTGTACCACACATCAACAGAATCTCGGTCTAAGACATCAGGAATGAAATCATAACCAATTCCCTCAACCTTGTAAGATTCGTTGGCGTGTTCTTGGTTCAGGCTTTCTGGAACTGCAAGTATAGATCCATGGGGGTCTGCTGCAATGATTTTGACATCTTTGTTGTGCTTTTTTAGACCCTTAGATAATCCAGTGATAGTTCCACCTGTACCAGCTCCTGCAACAACGGCAGTAATCTTTCCATCTGTTTGCTTCCAAATTTCTTCGGCGGTTCCAAATTCGTGTGCGAGGGGGTTGTTCTCGTTGGCATATTGATCTAGAATGTGGGAGTTTGGAATCTCTTTTAGCAAGCGTCTTGCAACCCCAATATGAGACTCTGGTGCATCCCATGCTGCTTGAGTTGGTGTACGAATGATAGTGGCTCCAAGTGCCCGTAGAACAGCGACCTTTTCCGGTGACATTTTTTCAGGGAGAGTGATGATTGTCTTGTAACCTTTAATGGCACCAACAAGAGCAAGTCCAATACCACTGGTAAAGGGTTAGAAACGCATGCCGCAGTGGTAAGAGGTAACTTACGTATTTCCACTGGTTGGCTCGATAAGGGTATCTCCAGGCTTTATTCTACCAGACTTTTCCGCCTCCTCAATCATGCGAAGCGCAATACGATCCTTGATACTTCCACCAGCATTGAAGAGTTCGACCTTTGCGTAAACTTCTGCTTCGATACCAAGACTCTGCGGAATCTTATTTAATCGCACCAAGGGAGTATTTCCAATTAACTCAGAAGCACTCATGGCAAGGACAGGAGCCCGCACAGGACTAGTAGTAGAAGCCATGTTGATGATATTTTAGATGTTTAGGCGGTATATTGTGGATTTAGAGGGTTGTCAGATTGTACTGGAAAGGTAGAAAATCAAGATAAAAGAGAATAATTATTAACTCCCTTTTTAAAGATGGGTGTATAATGTCGCAATATGGCACGAGAATTTGTTATAAAAAGTCAGATCAAAAACTTGACAATGAAATTATTCTTCATTGAGTTACCCTTGTAGAGGGGTTTTTCACTTATCCAGATCGATAAGACAAAAAACTGTGGCAAGATCTCCCGCAGGTAGCCGTGCCGCAATATAGCCGTATCTAGGTACTACATGATACCCTTGAGATGATTATTTCTTAGCCTGGCCTGATATTCTTCTTTTGGACCCTTTCCTGTCTCGCTGAAGTTATGGAATACTTGCTATGACCTAAAATGTTTGCGGATCTCTGAAGCAATTGAATATATCATACTCGAGCATCAAATAGGTATTAGTTATCGAAAGTATGATGATGCTAATAAGAAGGAAGGTCTTGTTGCATATCAAAAACGAGTTATCCAATCGTAAGAAGCTTTCACATGCTCATCAATTCTAAATATAGAACCTAGACAGAACTTCAAACCCGTGAACGTGAAGACCGGTCGCGTTGAAATTTACCCCTTCACGCCTAAGGCCAAAGTTACATTTCAGCCTTCCTCCTAAAGATAGATACTAGAATCTTTAACATTCCTTGGAGTTGAGAAAGTTATCTTTCAATCAATTTCAACCTCGACTTCACAATAAATATACAATTCGCCCTGCCAAATAGAGAGTCATACGAAGATCAAAAATCAATATCGATCTCCAATCTGCGAGCGCGAAAGCTATCCATTATGCGCCTTTCTCAGGCTTTGGTACTTGCGGCATCTGCTCCGTTCGCAATTGCATACCCAAAATTTGCAGCACCAGCAGCTGGAGCCGTCGAAACGGCTGGAACAGCATTTACTGTTACTTGGGCAGATAGTGGAGATGCACCATCGATAGCTGATATTTCGACTTATTCATTAGCCGTCTGCGCAGGATCTAGTTCCGGTGCAGATATCAAAGTGATAACTACAGTATCTGCTACCGTTAGCATGGGATCAACTCTTACAACTACCGTCACTGTACCAGCGACCAGTGGAGAGTCCGTGACCAATGCATAGTGAGTTTTCTGATGAAAAAGTTTCAAAAAACTGGGTGCTGATTATGCTGCAGTTTCATGAGAATGATAGCGACCGCCAAAGCTGGAGGAACAGTTACTGTTTACTCGGATAGATTTTCAATTAGTGGTATGACAGGGACCTTTGGAGCCACATTCACAATTACTGGTACTGCTGGTCCTGCCACTGTCAATACCGTGGCAAATACCGTGGCAGATACCACTGCAGCGTCGTCATCAACATTGGCGGAGGGGGTTTATGGCATCCCATTCCAATCACAAACTGGTCCTACCAGATACGCCCCAATGGGTTTAATGCCTGGTAGCAGTATTACGGCCACCAATACGGCACCTCAATACCCAACATCGTCCGTTTCTCTAGCCACCACGTATTTGAGCTCTGCAACCATTGCCACGACTTTGACACAAGCTCAAACAGCATCCTTTGAAAGCCACGCTAATACGGTAAGTTTCAAACCCCAATAATTCTGGGTCGCGCAGCTAATGAATGAAAGGTTGCTGCTGCATCAATGCCTACTGATGATATGGCAAAGTTCTTGGCTAGATGGAAGGATTGAAAAACCTGAAGACGATGGGAGATGCATATAAAGGCATCAACAAATATTTGCAATGGAGTTTGGCGTCTCCTCGAATTGAAGTTCGAGGTTTAGTTTAATTGAATACCGTGTATACCCAACGAATCAAGAATTTACCCATTCATGCTTATCCCTTAGTAGTGTGTACCATAAACACTCTCTGCAAGATCCTGCATTGTGCCATAATATCAGGGGATAGCGGAGAGGTGATTCCGATAATCATCCCAGTGCGGAGGGTCTGATAGGAATGCCTAGATGTGGGGAAATGCTTGTCCATGGCTACTTGATTGATACAACCATTAGGAATACGATACATCCCAGATACGATAGGGAAAGAGAGATCAAGTAAATTAAAAAGTTTATCTATCCAGCTCATATGAAATGTTCCGATCCAAGCCTCATCCTTTTACGTGAGGGGCGCGCTTAGAGGATATTCTCCTCCAAGGTCAAAGGGCACTAGATGTAACATCTTACTTTACTCTATTTGTCGGTCAACAAGTGAATAATCTCGCAACATCAAACTCAGAGAGTCTCGTGGTCAATTTTGCTCATCCGAATTCAGTAAGGACGGTTACGGGTAGACATCGATAATAGATATTCGTATCGATAGTAAGATTACCTGCCTACTATTTATTATCTATTATCGCGACCCTCGTCTTGCAAACGGTAAAACCCCTTGAAATGTTAGCTTCCCCATGATACAGTCAGTACCCTAGTATTTAGCAGTATTTAGTAAAGACCCTGAAATGTCTACTTTCATGCAATTATTGGTTGAATTTCACTCGGTAATGATCTCTGAGAATTTAGATACCATGCGTGCTTCATCTGATTCTGCGGATGGACTATCATTGCCATCTTTGTGGTGTGGCATGTATACACGGAGTCAGTCAGTAGTAAGCTCGTTAACTTCATTTGGTCTTCCCCAAGGTGCTTTTTTACCCTGCTGGTAATCCACGTGCTCCTTCTAAAGTTTTTTTTGTTTTCTGTCCGACGTCTTGGTTCTTATCGGTGAGTAGTGGAGTGGCTGCATGTTGCTAATGTTGCTAACATTTTTAAGCTTCGGCTGGTTTCAATTTAGTTCTAGACATCTAGTCACTAGGTACTGGGTGCTAGACAGCTTGAGGATCGGTGGATGGATGTATTCCGTACTTTCGAATGGTCGGCTGGTAGCACATCTCGAGTGAGTCGAGCATGCTATTTTCTTTGGGCCTCTACTCCTATTAGGCTTTGTGCCTTCAATCAGGCTGAATACTGTGAGTGCGAGGTACGAATACCACTCACGCATGATGCTACTCCATTCCTTCATTTAATTATATTTGAACACATGGGAGTACAAGGGGTAATTTAAATGTGCAATGTGTGCCTGTATGTATGCTACCTACTTACTTATGTAGCCCCTTGTCTTTTCCACACCCCCATCACGCTCTTCCACTCTTTTTCCATGTCTGTCCTTTCTTTTATTAGTGCTAAAGGACCTTCCAAACCCTATAATCATAATCTTACTATAAAATGAATCCACTTCCACTCCACTCAATATAAGACCATCAATCCCTCCACACACACCCAGTCTCGCCTTTCAACAACAAATTTTGCATATCATCTGTCACCGAGAACATGCCCTTCTTGGAGCTCTTCCAAGCATCCATTAAGCCTCCTTGGCCCCGGCGTCTTCTCAACTCTTGATCTCAATCTCATCACCCACCCACATTCATTTGGATATCGTGTGGAGCGGAGATAACCATAATCAACCCATTACTCTTTCAAAAAGTCGAATAGAGAGATTCACTTCGCAGGCTATAAATTGAATTATGCCTCAATCACCTACAGATGGCTCCGGTTCGATGGCTTTCGGAAATTCAACCCACGATTCAGACGATCATTCTGACCGCGAACTACCACCACCACCAAATCCTTCAAACGATGCAGGTCTTACCGTCCATCAATTTTCAAATGATCGTGGAGTATCCCCACCGTCTCCCAGCAGCATTGATATTTTTACACTTTCGCCAATAACGGCACTCAAATTGTTATGTGCTGGAATTGAGGCTCTAGTTCAGTTTACAGGAGATATTCCTCCAATGCCAGCTTCGACCGAAACCGAAACGACGATGCCGAATATGAGAGGAATGCAGGCAGAGAAAGAAAACATACGACGATCCGGATCGTGGACAAACTTGGCCGGTTTTCGACAACGAGCTTCTGGACCAGATGCTATAGATGGAGTAAACCTTCGACAAAAACCTCTCGAAAGACAAGAAATTGTGCCCGCGGAACCATATATCATTGTTGGAGAGAATGCCGAGCCTCTGAATGTTCAGCATAGTGCTATTACACGAAGATTCTACTCTAGGCAGATTCCTCCAATTTCTCTAGAAGACTACTTGATGCGTATACACAAATTTTGTCCAATGTCAACAGCTGTCTATCTTGCAACCAGTTCCTATATATACAGAGTAGCGGTCGATGAACGGGTAATACCTGTGACACGGCGAAACTCGCATCGACTCATATTGGCCGGTCTACGTGTAGCTATGAAAGCACTCGAAGATCAAAGCTATTCTCATGCCCGTTTCGCCCAGGTTGGAGGTGTCAGTGAGCAAGAGCTCTCGAAATTGGAAATCAATTTTTGTTTTCTCACAAATTTTGAGTTGAAGGCGAATAAAGAGGCTCTTCTACAGCACGCGATAAGTCTGAAAGAGCTGTCTTCTTTACAGGGAGGGGTTAACTTCGTCCCGAATATGTCGCTCTTGAATAGGGGTAGGACGAATATGGCTGCACAAGAAACTGTGGTAGAAGTAACTGCAGATGCCTAGATGTGTGTCGGGCATGGCCTGAATAGGCTATATTGGAAAGTTCGAAAGTGGCCGAGTCAAGATGGTTACGGCTCCTGAAGATGGAAGATGGATGATGAGGCAGGTATGGAACAGGTCAAAGATAAAGGTCCTGGGGCAGATTGCATATGGAATGGCCTGATCGCTAGAGAAACACAATCGAGATGGTGAAAGCTACATACAACACAGATACGGGAGGCATCATTGGAGGCGTTTTATGATGGATATGAGCTTGGATCACGATTATTGGATGGTATACTTTGCTCCAAGTCGGCGAGAGGGAGATTGTTCGACAAGATAATTTGAGGGTGTAGTTTCGTTTGTAGCATCATGAGCACTATCAATGTGTGTGATATATTGGTACTGGTACCCGATGAAGGGAGATTCAGATTTTACTGATATCCTGAACACATAGTTTAATTCAACTTTTACTTCTACTTATATGCAATTTGTCCAAAATCATACACGTGTAAATTTAATCTCGATAGGTAGTGATTAATGAGGTTCAATGCAATGTTGCCAAGCAGAAATTAATGGCTAGTGAACGTTTAAATAATAAAGTTCACAAATCAAACGATCACCGAGGTAAGTCTTATTAGTTTGTCTTTTGATCGGGAGCGACCGAATTGATTTTCACAGCACGCTTAGCAACGGGCAAAGCCAAAGCTAGGTAAGATTATGTTCCGCTTGTCAACTACCCCGCGATTCACACGTTGTTTCCAAGGACGACGACAAAGAATAAGCATAGCACAGATACCGCCCGTACAATTCATATCTTACTCTTCCAGCGCTGCTCAATCATTGTCGATATTACCAAATTCAGCTTTTAGAAGCTTGAGAGTGTGCGGAGCTCGGTTCCAGCGTTTCGAGAGATCTCAGCTGGGGTTAGAATATTGCGTACCTCGACGTCAGATACATTATTACAGTATGGGTTTGGATAAGAAGGTCGCTATGGATAAGATTTTGGAGGGGAAGTATCCGGCGAAAGAACATGCTAGGAAGGTGGTTGAGTATCTTAGGAGTAAGGAGCCTGAGGCGGAGGGAGTGCTGTATTTGGAGGCGCAGAAGACAGTTATGATTGAGGATAATGATGAGGCGGCTCCTTTTAGGTATGTGTGATTAGGCTGGATTAGCAGGTATTGAGAGGATTAATTGAAGCTTATTCAATTCTTTCTTTCCTGCCATTCGTTCGATTTGTTTCGTTGCATTATTCGTGCTAATATTACTATCTTAGACAACGTCGTTACTTCTATTACCTAACTGGTTGCGATCTTCCGGATTCTTACTTCACTTACAATATCTCTACCGGGAAAAGTACTCTGTTCATTCCTCCAATTGATCCAGAATCAGTTATTTGGACTGGTCTCCCACTCTCCCCTGAAGAAGCCCTCGCTCTTTACGACGTCGACGAAGTCCTCACCACTGACATGATAAACGCGCATCTCGCCCTACCCAATCAGTCTAAAGTCTGGGCCATCGCTCCCCAAATTTCTACTCACATCACATTCCTCGAATTTCCACAAAAGGATTTTACTCTCCTCAAAGAAGCTATTGAGGAAGCCCGGGTCAGAAAATCCGAATATGAAGTTGCATTGATTAGAAAGGCGAATGAGATATCTACTGTTGGTCATACGGCTGTTTTGAAGGCTGTCAAACATGTAAAGAATGAAAGGGATTTGGAAGCCCTTTTTATTAAAGAATCTATTGCCAATGGAGCCAGGGAACAAGCATATCATAGTATTGTGGCGAGTGGAACAGCGGCTGCTACTTTGCATTATATGAAGAATTCAGAGGGACTTGATGGGAAATTGAATTTGCTTTTGGATGCTGGAGGAGAGTATAAGTGTTATGCTTCGGATATTGTAAGATTGTATTCTCTGAATTTGAGATGTCTCCCAAGCTTTTGCATAGATATACTAACATCCTTCAGACTAGAACTTTCCCCATTAATGGTAAATTCACACCGGAATCTCGCTCTATCTATGATATAGTACTTTCCATGCAATCCCAATGCACCTCTATGCTTAAAGCAGGTGTCTCCTGGGATGAAGTACATCTCCTAGCTCACAAAATTGCAATCGAAGGACTTCTCTCTTTAAATATTCTCAAAGGAGATAAAGATGAGATTTTAAAGGCAAGAACTAGTGTTGCATTTTTCCCGCATGGATTGGGTCATTATCTTGGAATGGATACTCATGATACTGGTGGACATCCAAATTACGAGGATAAGGATAGATTATTTAGGTATTTGAGAGTGAGAGGGACATTACCTGAGGGAAGTGTGGTAACAGTTGAGCCAGGAGTAAGATTTCCTCTTTTCTCTTCTTCTTTCCTGGGGTTTGTGGCTGATACATATAATTTAGATTTACTTCTGTCGTTTCATCATCGAACCTTATCTTAAAGATCCAGCTCATGCTCAATACATCAATGCGGACATCTTGGAGAAATACTGGGAAGTCGGAGGTAAGATTCCTTCTTATTCCTCATCGCTATTCATATATTGCTATTGGAAAACTAACAAGAAATAGGTGTAAGAATCGAAGACAACATTCTAATCACCAAAGATGGATATGATAATTTAACAACATCGATCAAAGATGTTGATGAGATGGAAAAAATCATTAATAGTGTCTATTAATAGATGATTCAAAACGAGAGATACTTATTAAATATATGGCCATCACTAGGTATTTGGAAGAATATATAGTACGATGCCTAAATATATAAGTTCAGCTATTATTTTGAATGAAGAGATGAATAAGGTTAAATAACTATGAGTTTATCCTGAACTTAAATCCAACTCTGAATCCAATTAATATTCCGATCCCATCTTTCCTCATCCTGAAGAATATACATACATACATATACTAACCCCCTACCCTATCCCACCCCATCATACACACACACACTCTCTCTCTCCCCAGGCTGTGCACAACACTCACTCACTCACTCACTCACTCACTCACTCACTCATAATCACTAGCACTAACACTAGCCTCTAATGAATCTAATAAATCTAATATATAACCTTAAAATTTTTCTTCATTCTTAGGCCATCTCATTTCTCTTTTTGATTGTTATTATTATTATTAGATATTGAATAATTATACTAATTATTTACTATTTATTACCCACTAGGTAGGTGATGTAGGGTAGGTGATGTAGTTATTAAAGGAGAGGTTTCGGAGGTTATTTTATACTCGTAACCTCGTAACATTGTAATGGTGTTATTGTATAGTTTTAATTATCGTTATTTTACTTTTTACTTTGGGGTCCAGATGGTGTTATACCTACAATACTTAGTAGTCGGAATATCATCTAGGTGTTTGAATCATTATTATAACACTCATCTAATAATGATTCTTCCAGATCACTGAATAACATTACCGAACATGATATTCTTCAGAAAACATCATAATTCATGTATAAATCTCCTTTCCTTCCCTTTCCTTGCTACAATGCAAATTTACTCTTACTCCCTGCTAGCTAAATGCCGTATCTAATAATCACCGCAACCAAATCAAATCTCATCCTCCTAGCCCTTTCTTTCCTGATTACTACCCTTAACACCCAGGCACAACAATTGCATCTACGACTGCTGTCGTTCCTCCCTTAACACACTCCACCGCCTTTAAAAGAACACTCTCCAATTCACTAGCTTTGGAAACTTTCTCGGCCATGACACTATTTCCAGATGCAGCTCTAGCTATTCCAGCGTAATCAGGAACTTGAGGTGCAAAGGAAATGTTTAGATCTTCGTTTGTAGCCTTGGATCCAATTCCTGTGGAAAGAACATGTTAGAAACAGATAAAAAGGAAGAGGAAAGAAGGAGAATAAAACATACCATCTGGATGAACTAAAAGAAGAGATCGTTTGGGAGCGTGCCAGCCTGCTTCCGAGTTAGTAACCTGAATCAAAAACTTTCAAGTCCATGATTAATAGATACATACCCTTGTTATTCAGCACGATAGTAAGAACAGGAATACCATATCTCTGACAAATCCAATAAACACTTCCAGGAACTGAGAACAAAAATGTTCCATCTCCTACAATTTGCACGACGAATTTCCCCTTGCCTTTCCCATTCTCAAGCTCAGTAGCTAATTTAATACCTAAAGCTCCTCCTCCTGACCATCCCAATCCTCCACCTCCACAATTAATCCAAGAACCGGGAAGAGTAGCTTGAATATTGTCTGCTACAAAAACGGTGTTGGTTACGGCTTCGATGGCGAAGATTGTATCAGCTGGGACAATCTTGCGGAGTTGTTGACAAAGGTAGCCAGTGCCGAATGAACCATCTTCTTGAACCTTTGAGGATGCAGTGATAGCTTCGATGCGTTTGGTGTGGTCTTTTGCGAGTGCTTCCCATCGCTCGGTGTATAGTTTAGAGGAGAGTGCGTTGGGGAAATTACCAGCAATTTTCATGTATTTTGTTAATTGAGTTATAGATGTGTAACTGTCTGCTCTGTAGCGTGAAAGTGCGGCAAGGTAGAATACCTAAAATTCTTAGTGGGGGTTTTTGAAGACAAGCTTCCCAAGGTTATTAAAAGTAAAGACTTACTGGCATTTGTTGTTTGAGTGGATCAACATCAATGTGGAATATCTTTGCTGATTTTGAAGGATGACATAAAGTATTGACCCATGGTACATCTACCCGAATTATGTCAGTTTTGATATATCGGTATTGAAAGATTGAGTACTCACCACAATCAATGACCAGAATAACATCAGCAGTTTCAATAGCTTTATCACTCCCATATCTCAAACCCAACCAAGCACGATGATCAGCTGGAAAACACATATCACTACCACCAGTATCCAACACGCGAAGGCCTTTTACTGTATCCGCCAATTCAACTAAAGCTCCTACTGACTTGTGATTTCGACCACTATAGCCAGTGATGATCAATGGTTCCTTTGCATTGACCAAAGCTTCTGATATCGTAGCAACTGAACTTTCAGAAAGTGCAGCTGGTTCCACTGCATTCCAATGTTCCTGAACCAAATCATAATCATCTATTTCCTCTTCCATAACCTCTCTGGCAGAATACAAATATACTGGACCAGCAGGAGCACTAGTAGCCCATTGAAGTGCCCTATTAACCATTTGTTTGATATTCTTCCCCGTCTTAATCTCCATTGAATATCGACAATATTGTCTGACGATCTCAGCTTGATTCGGTACATCTTGAATCCAATGAATATATTCTGTTCGTGAACCTCGCGTTTCTCCTTCAATTGTATAGGGTGATAGACCGGCGAATATGAGAACAGGTGCTCGTCCACATGAAGCATTGTGAACGGCAGCTCCGAGACCTTGAGTTCCTACGTCGACGTGTACGATTACACATTGAGGTTTACCGGTTAAACGAGCATAACCATCCGCCATGGATAGAGCTACCATCTATGGTAATATGAGTATATATTAAAGGTGGGAGAGAATCTGTTTGCATACTTCGTTTGGACATGTCTGAATAGAGTTATTAGTTATAATAGTAAATATATTTATGAATTGGTTCATTTAAACACTTACTATAACTTCTGGACCTTTATTCTCTTTCTTAAGTGTAATCAAAGCTTCTAGAATAGAAGGATGATCGGACCCCAGATTTACGAAGCAATGAGTTACCCCGGCCTGATATATAGTTAGAACAGCTATTTATATCTAGAGTTTCTAGATAAATACCTCAACCAGAGCCTCAAAAAAGGCGTACGAAGCAGTAACCATGTTTAACGTCTTAATATTCTAGAGTAGTAAATTTTCGAAAAGAAAGTTGTTGTTTGTTCTTGAAAGTAACAGGAGTGAGTTGCAGATATGCGGGATGATGAGCTAGTTTATAGAGGGGTAACTCGGCTTAAGTATCGCGGCTTACTAAAATAACCTTAGTATAGATGTGGAGAAATCCATCCCTATGGACCTTCCTGATTTGTAAATAGTGTACTTGTAGATTATTTGAGTAAGGAAAAGGTACTCGTAACCTATAGATAATATTACCTAATTCACTTTATAAATCTAATCCAATACAGTCTGTTGAATCCAAGAAATTTAAATAAATTAAATTCCAGGAACAAGATTCAAACAATCGAAAAGCTACAGCATCGAAGGGATGACCTTCCATTCCATATCTTCCCTTTGTTACACTATTTAATCTCGTCTCGCTCATACCACGTGGCACCATATCGTGTTTTGCGGGGTAATTCAGGGTATACTCCGTAGTCCCCATTTTTGGCGAGTCGTTAATGAATTCTACTACAACAGTATGCCGAAGCATGACTTGTGTTTCTACTTACCAGATGTATATATATATCAACATAATATTACGATTTATTGAAAAGAAGATATTGAATTGGAGGAAGTGGAAGAATCGAGCTGCAGAGAGGGGCAAATCAAAGTCAAGCCTAGGGTATCATATTGTATTGTATCTTAACTCAAAAATCTTAAGGTAATTAACTATCATATCATAACATAACATAACATAACATACATAACAAAACGTTTCATAATACATTGCGCCCGTGTGCATATCCATCCATAGGTATCCATACATAATCATAACCATAAACCCTCCAGGTATCATCCAACCCCTTCCCATCCAGTCCTACCCGATCCCATGATATCCATAACACATTCATTAGTCATTACTCGAACAAAAGAAATCTCTTTCCTCCCCTCTCATCCCTCTCTTCTACCATCTCCCACCTCTACCCCCATCACCTTCATCCCAAACAATCCTCTCCTCACCCCTTCTCCTTCCCCCACCAACCCCAATAGTTGTTCTTCTCTTCGGTGCATACCCCTCTTCAGGTTCCTTTTGTCTCTCCTTCAATCGATCCAAAAACTCTTTATCCCCATCTGCCCTCCCGGAGAAGCTCGCTCCTCTTCCCAAACCCGGCTTACTTCCATCCCTCGCCTGTCTCTCCCTCAACCTAGCATACATATCATCATCCTCTTTCTTCCAGCTTTCCTCTACATCTCTTTCCCTTTCCTTCCCTTTACTAGGAACCGCTGGCCTTCTCCTAATTTCTTCATCTTCCCTCGCAAAAGCTTTAACCTGTTCTGCCAACCTTCTCGCATCATCCGCCGCTTTCCGTTCTGATATCTCAGCTTTGCGCATCCTATCTTCACGTTCCCTTCCCTCTATCTCGCGTTCTCTTTCCCTTTCATGTCGATGCTTTTCTTCTCGTCTCCTTTGTTCGTGGTCGTCCGCTCTTCGAATTTCTTCGTCTCTTCTTCGTCTTTCTCTTTCCCTTGCTGATTCTTCTTCTCTGTCTCTAGCTCTTTGCCTTTCAACTTCTTTATCTCTTTCCCGTTCCCTTTCCCGTTCCCTCTCCGCCAAGAATTTCTTATACTCCATCTCCTTTCTCTTCTCATCTTCATTCTTCTCTTTCCTGATTCTTTCCCTCTCTAGTTCCTCCGTTATCTTCCTCATTTCATCCCTCTCCCTCTCTTGTTCCCTTCTTGCTTCATGAACCAATTCAAAGCTCTTCTCCCTTTCTCTCTCATAGTCTCTTTGTCGCTCTCTTTCCCTCTCCTCTTCTTCACGACGGATGCGCATATCAACCAATCCCCTATCATGACTTGCTGAGCGCGAAGATGGTTCAGGTTTTAATAATATTGGAAGGTCTTGCAAGGGTCTTTCTCTTTCTCTGCTACGTTCTCTCTTATCGCGATGTTGATCTATAACGACAGTACGAACAGGATTGAGACTGTGATTAGGGCCACGTCTTGGACTAGCTGATTCTTGACGATGAGCATGCTCAGCCACTAAGAGAGTCTTAGATTGAAACTCTTCAGTAGCGGGAGAATCCGGAGCATATTTTTGAAGAGTCTTGGAACCTTGTGGACTATCCGGTGCATCGACGATAACGATACGTTCTTTAGGATGTTTGCGACGTGGTGTAACAGCTGAGACTAAAGCACTCTTCTTTCTCACAAGACGAAGACGAGGTTCTCGACCGGAAGGTTTATCTTTCTTGTCACCTTGAGAGTAACGATATGTAGTTGCAGTTGCGGATTTATGAGGTGAAGGTTTGGAGGTAGAAGGTACTTGTAGTCCTTGGTCGATATATTCTTTGCTAGAGCGATCATCATTGGACTTGAGAGTACGAGGAGGATGTTCATTGGTGATATGAGCAGGGCAGGAGATTCCATCTTTCGAATTTGGACAGACTATTGTTTGATGAAATTCAACTGTTCGCTTGGGGTAACAATCGGTATAGATATGTGTCACGCACATTGTGACGATGAACTTTGAACTTCGGGTCGGATTTGCTGAGGTAGGACCTGTCCTCCAAGACCTGATTGACTTGGTGATGTCGATTTGATATCAAAACGAAGAGAAGTTTCCCACTTGTTCTAGGACTTCCTTGAATTAATCCGTGAGATATATGTTCGTCAAAGGTAGTGCGTGTATGTGTATGTATAAAAGTTGATTTGTTTTATATCAAGTAAGCAGACCGGGCGGAAGTGATATTAGATGTAGAAGTATGTGTTATGAGATACAATAGGTGTACTTATATGTTCGTTAATCGTTAAGGAAGCTTGCTGTGGAATAGAAGATATATATGAAAGGTAAGCGAGGTGGATATGTCGAAACGACAGGAATGTGAAGGATGTTCTAATAATTCAAGCTCAAGTAGTAATAGGTTTAACAAGAGAGAATGTGGAAAGAAAGGTATGGATGGATGGAGGGTATAGAGGAATTAAGTATCTTCTCCTAACACTTGAGTAGTTGACTGTACTAGGAGCGTGACTGCCTAGTAAGAAAGGTCTTATAGTGTCTTTAGGTCATACTGTGGCCGATGACTCTGTCTTTATTATAGGATGGCTAAGGAAGTTTTAGTGTGGTAGAAAAAGTGTGGGTAGGGTTGTCAAGATTTTTAGCAAGAAAGCGGCGAACCAAAAGCGCCTCAGCCACTGGAAGGGCTGAGTAAGACCCAAAAGAATCCAAAGTCCGACCAAGTTGTGTACCAGGTAAGGAATTGAGGCTTGAAATGAAACCACTTGCATTAACGATGATGGGTGATGAAAATGCAGGAGTAAAGACCAAAAGTTGTAAAAGGTGTAAAAAGTTCTTTATGTTGTCAGCTTCGTTTGTGATAAATGTGAAGATATCAGAATGATTGGAATGTAACAGTTGCTATTTTGACCCAAGAAACAAATAACCTTCTCTTCAATGCGAAAGAAACGGAAAGAGGAAAGGGAAGAAGGAAAAGAGTCCGAAAATAGAATCCCGACACGATGGAATCGAATCCCATCGAAAGGAGGTCAAAAATAAGCAGAGTAGATGTTTGTTAAATGTGTGAATAGTTGCGCGACGGGTCCTCAAATCTCAAGACCACAGACGCGCGTGATGGAAGTACTTATTCTATCCTATAAGAATGAATATCAAAGAGGAGACGTTTCAAGAAAAGATAGCCCCTATATAGACCAAAAAGATAGATTTGGAAAAAGTGTTTACAAAATCCAATCAAGGGATTATAGATGAAAAGAGATGAAAATGGGAAAAGCTTGAGATAATGAGATGATGTTTCGTTAAGGTCTGATGTCCAATTGTTTCTAAAAACCCTGGTAGTTTCTTAATTTGGCGATAATTTTTATGGAGATTTAGGTCTCATTTGGGTCACGCTTACAACACATCAAGAATATCCCATTTGTCTGTCTATTATGGATTAGAGGATTTGAAGTGAAAAGGGCGATGTAAGTTGGTGATAAATAAACATGAGCCGCATATTTCCCCAGAAAAGTTTATATAACGTATCATGAACGAGGAAACTAACTAACTCTAGATTTTAGATGTATTAGTAACTTGGGGTACATACCCGTTAGACCAGTGAACTGTACCCATAAGCGCTCTAAAATCCAACGCTGGCAGTGCTAATAAGATGAACTAGGGAATTTACCTCCTAGCACTAATTCAATTATTGAACTACTGGATGCAGCACCAAGAACCACCACTAAAATCTTCACCAAAGATCAACTGACAAAAATACTCGAATACTAGAATACGTACATACTACCACAACCACAAAAAACCATGAAAATAACTCCACCTCCTCCGCATAAATAAAATAAAACAATGACCCCTATCACCGTACTCCGTACCCCCGTAAAACCAAGACAATACCTAACAATACCTAGTACTTCTAGTGTTCCTTTAAACTATGTCAAAAATCCTCCCTTCCCTTCCCTTCCCCACTAGCTCACACAAAGCAAGCCACACCCACCCATCAACACAGCCTCAAAAATCATCGAATTTTCCAAAAACCAAGTTGAGATAAGAGGACTACTAGGTAAGATTTGAGTCAAATGACGATACGATGCATACACACGCACACATAGTACCAGATACCTAGATAACCAACCTACTCGTGCTACATACATACAGCCCACTTGCTCGCTCCTCGCTTGCATCATTAACCTAACCTAACCTACCGCTGTCATATGCATGTCCCTTCATTCATTCATGGTCTGGTCACTATGTACTATGAGTCTGTCGGGACCATACAAACGTCATTTTAGCGCTTCCAGTTTTCTACTTTAGAGCACCGGTGGAGATATAGAGGACTTAGTTAGAGTAAAGCCCATCATGAGCGTTAAGCCTTATGATGTTATGTTGGTGTGTCAAAAGTCAATCACCAACCGTAGCTAAAATTTAACACTAAAACCAAAACTAAAATCAAATTTAAATATTTAAATTTAATACTTCCAATTGATTCCTTTTTGTCACATTTTCTAATTATTGACCTTTTTGTCGCACAATCCTGGCAATAAAGGTCTAAAGCTTGGTTGTCGCACAATCTACGTCGAACACTGCAGCCGCCAGGGGGAAGAAATTCCAACAAGATGGTTAAGGATGAAGGATTACATGCATATTCTTTGTTTCCTTAGTGGTTTTGTTACGCAGGTACCCTTGATGATTTGAAGAATATTTTTTTGGTGAATATTATCTTTTTTTGGGGGGGGGACTTTCTGGACACACTATGATGCTAGGTCTCGTGCATGACTGCGGATATGACTCGATTTCTGTCTTACATATTAGACCCGAGTGGCCAAGATGGAATTTCTTTCTGAGGAAGATTTTTTTTTCGAATGAGCCTCCATCATACATGGGTGTAATCAGCCTCTAATAAGCCACGTGTAGTGCTTGCCCTTGCATTTCGGGATGGATTCTTGCATTGCCACAAGCTTTGGAGTGTACATATGCCCTCCTTCAAGTTTCGAGACACGTGATGATGGTGACATCTGCCACTATCATCTGAAACCTAAGAGAAATGTCTTCAAGACATCTTCAACATTGAATGATATAATGAAGAACATCCCCCTAATTGCCAACTTTCGACCCGCTTTGCAAGGCTACAATCTTTCTCGCCCTCTTTTCCGCTCAGACAAATGGGTCATCTTGACCAACGTTTTATCAGCTGCTCTTTATGAACGTTCTTCAGTTGCAACCTTTGTAGATTCACCGCTTCAAGATTTTCCTGTAAATTCTTGATTTCCTCCTCAAATGTGTTGAATGATGATACAATATCTGGATCAAGTAGTTGGACCTCGCCGTACACTGAATCAGCTTGAAGGGCATTGTAAAGTAGTTTCATTGTATAATCGGCATTTTGCACATGTGAAGAGATGGTGGTTTCAGTGGTTGACTCCAAATTAGCCGTGTGACTCTTGAGTTTCTCAATCCTTTCGCGAAGGCAACTATCGAGAAATTCAGTTTGCGCATCATCTGCGTCATTTTCGTTTGGAAGTGTGATGCCCAAATTGCGAAGTAACTGTGATTCAGCATCCATTTCTTCAAACATCGAAGAACGTCGGCGATTGTTGCGGAACTGTGCTTGTGCTTGAGAATTCTGTCGTTGGCGCGTAACAGGTTTGTTAGGCTGTGGAGCTTCTTGATATTGGAGCTCTCTCTTTCCGGTGTCTATAGCAAATTTAGTGGCCATTTGATGACATTGATATTCCTCCATATGCGCTGCATATATCTCTGTACGCTTGACGAGGAAATTAAGGCATTCTTGCATCTACTTCATTATTAGAGGTATCACATCTCTTTTTTTGTATCAAAACCTACATATTTCAAAGCTTGGTAAGCTCGATCTTGACCTGAATTCCCTTTGAGGGCAATCTCTCGTAAAGCTGGTTCCAAATATTGCTGCTCAGCAGACATTTGGGCCACAGGTAATACCTCGGAGTATAGGGATTCAAGCTCTTCTTGTAAGTCGGCGACTTCCTGTTTGTTTGTGTTTTGCGAATCTGTACCAGTAGGATTATTAAGAGCTTCGAGATATATTCGATCAAGCTTTGTCCTAACTCCATCCACAGTATGTTTGATATACCTCGCGCAAAGGTCCCTTATCCTAGCAATAGTATCGTGGTCTTCAGAAGACCCAGGATCCAGCTCTTCCCCAAGCTTCTGCAAGCTTGTCAGTAATTTATCATCTGCCTTCAAGATCCCATCCACTGTCTGTCTGACACTGGATTGTGATATTTTGTTTTGTTGTTCCAAGTCTGATAACTGATACATCAGGTTTTGTGAAAGTTCCTCCACCGCCGAATTTGCCTGACCTGTTTCCGCTTCCCATTTTCGAAGTTGTTTTGCATCTGCCTCCGTTCGTGCTGCTCCCACTTTCTTATTGTTCTTAACAAGTAAAGCTAAAGCATTTTGTTGTAATCGTAGTGCTTCGCTCTGCTGTTCAATCGCGGTAGTAGACCTTTGCAATTCTTCGATGGCAGCATGCAATTGTTCGTCGGTCAAATCACATATGCTCGATAAGTCTTGGGAATTCGCTATCTTGTCTGCATCTCCTGATTGTGAAAGTACCTCGTACCTATTCCTTGTTAGTATGATTCGCAGGAAGAACAAGCGCCAACTCACAATGCGACTTCATCTTTGGTCAAGAGTGTTTCTGGGCCAAGGTATTTTGAAATCCAAGCTTCAACTGCAGCTGGATTGCGAGCATAATCGGACTTGACTGTATTTCGATCGAAAGGTATACCATAATCTTCTAGGATCTGCAGAAGAAATTCGAAATTGCCGCCTTCCATACTAGTGAAGTCCGTGATACGAAAGCTTTCCAAAGGTTTTGTTGCACGTCTGAAGCCACAATCAGCTTTGGGGCTTTGGGGAGAAGTAAAGTTTATTGCAGATTTTGAAAGAGGGAGATTCCAGTATCTTAGGAAAAATGGTTTCGGGGAATTTGAAAGAGCTGTTGTTGGATCCGGGCTCAGGGCATTCCATCACTTTTGTAGCATTTGTTTGTTCACATTGCATTTCTAGTGAACGTTGGAGACTTATATGCGTTGAGTATACCCCACAAATTGGATTTTTGATTTGTTCCAAACAAAAGGTTACAGTAACCTTACCTACATACATAAGGTTACAGTACATCCAATCCTGTCATCTGGTGATCTGAGATAAGTTTAACGCCGTATAATATTTTCACATCATTACTGCAAAATGATTAAGAAATGAAGAGACAATTCCAGTTTCCTCCATAACTAAGCATGGAGCTACATTTTTCTCCGATAGCAGGTGTGTGACTGTGGGGGATAAGCGTTTGATTGAGCTCTCCGAATCCCCACTTGGATATCTTTCGTGATGAGAAAATCCCATTCTCTTTGAGATTCTTCTTCCTCTCTGTGTTTGTTTAACTGTCGGTGGATACATTTTTTGGTCGGGAATGAAAAGATTTCATTTCATTTACACAGATCGAATAGCGGTCTAAAAGAATTCACAATGGCTCCAAATATCCGAGAGTTTACCTCGGATGGATTTGAGGCTCTCAAGTTGGTGAGGATTCACATCCCCTGGCCTTTTAGAAGATAACAATTTTACTAATGTATCATAGGTAGCTCGTCTATCATGGAGACGCAATCTGAAAGCTTGGATTCAAGTTCCTTTTGGCGTTGTTTTGATTCTATTAGCATGCTTCGGTGTCAATGCTCTCATAGGACTCAGTTCTGTCTCATTTCCTGCATCGGTGGCATGCTTGATTTTACTATTTTTTATCCTAAACATTATCGATCTTCTCATTGGACATCAAAAGACGAGAGCTTTGGTATCAGTCATTGATATTCCATCAGGATGGGCTCTCCGTTATATCAATGTCTTCTTCACCCCCTCGTGAGTCATCACCTCTACATTGATGGGATCATTGAGATTAGGTGGGATGAGATTCTGAAGGTTTATAGTTTCGTCCTGTTGCCACTGAGTGATAGTATAACTGCTGCGGAAGTAGGCAAAATCATTGGGGTATTCCGTCAGTATATCGTCACACATCCAATATCTAATCACTAATGTCGTGAAGTCATCGGGTTTTTGGTCATGTTCGCTGTCACTGCTTGGCTAGTACGCGGTCTTCAGATCTTACTAGGTTCAAGCAAGCGTGCTATTATAGAGAGGGCCGAAGAAATGGGTGCCGAGAATGATGCCATTCCTCTAGCAGTATCAAGTAATACAAATTTCCCATCGACCGATAGTGTCAGTCCTATACAAGAACAGGAACCGGCTGTGGTCAGAGACTCTAGGGACCCAAGAGATTCTCCGGAAACAGAAAGTCCACCCCCAGAACCTGTTTCTAATACCATCGCGGTCGAACAAGAGCCGTTACCCCTCACACGAGCTCAGATTTGGGCGGCGTTTATTAATAGAAATTTGGACATACTCACTTACAGTGTCATATTTCTTTTCATAGGGATCCCAGTTTACTATGCTACCGGCTATGCAATGCCAGTACAACTTACATTCAATGTCCTAGCATATTTCGCAGCACAATCCCTCCCAGTTCGATGGAAGCAATTCTTACATCCTGTACTATTGTCATCTGGCATTACTATAATTGGTATATGGATTTTAGGACTTATCAGAGGTAATAACCTGAATGAAGTTTTGGGTGCTTACAGAACCAATACTAAATATATTGCCTACTGGGATGGAGAAAGAAACCTCCCTCTACCTGGAGCTGGTGATATCTTGTAAGTCCTTCAGTTTCATATCCATCTAATCACCTTAAACTTGAACTAAGTTCCTTGTCTACAATAGTAATAGCGTACTTGACGCCTCCATTGTCTCCCTTGCTCTCCCTATGTTCCAATACCGCCATGAACTAAAAACTCACTTCGTCCCCATTACAATTCCAAGTGTTGTTCTAGCCATCGCTTCACTTTTCGGTTACCCACCTCTGTGTTATTCTATTGGCATATCTCCTCCAATTTCTCTTTCCTTTTCCGTGCGTTCTCTAACGCTTGCGCTCGCTACCCCCGCTGCCAGTAACCTGTAAGTATCACTACCCGCTTTTCCCAACCTTCCAACATACCCGTAACAAACTAACCATACTCTCCTTTCTTAGCGGTGGAAACACCAACGCCGCCGCTGCCCTTGCCATAATGTCTGGTATCTTCGGCGTCCTAATCGGTCATCGTCTTCTTTCCCTCCTTAAAATCCGCGCTGATGATTACATAACCATCGGTGTTGCCATGGGTGGAAACGCTAGTGCAATAGCCACTGCATTACTACTGGCTAGTGATCCCAGAGCAGCGGCATTGAGTAGTTTGAGCATGAGTCTTTTCGGTATCGTGACATTGGCGCTGACTTCTGTGCCGCCGGTGGTAGAGATTATTAGAGGGTTAGTTGGGTTATAGAGAATTGGACACGGGTGAAGGGAATAAGGATAGATGATATTGAATTTGATAGACTAGAGATTTTAGAATAGAATAGAGATTAATGCGCATCCTAGACATGGGCATATTCTTTGTGATTATATCTCTCCCATATACACCTAACTTAAACATACCAACTCACTCTATACCCCTCTGAAACTATTCCACAATCTTTCTCCCACCTCCCACCTCTCACCTCGATACTCCCAACAAATACCTCTACATCGACATATTCTTCCTAAAATACATATCATCCTCACATCAACATCGAATCCCCGCCCATTCTCACCACCTCCAATTACTATAAAAATCTCTCCAGGAGTATCTAATGCCAATCCAAATCCAGTCATTCTTATCTTATTCCCACTGAAATCATCATATACCTTCAAAACCCCAAGATAATTAACCGGTTATCATGAAATCGCATCTAAATTTGTTGTGACGAGATAGATATTGATTTATTTTTTTCGGTAAAGGTGGATGGATGTAAGAGTGAAGAGGAATGTTAGATTGAGTATTATTGTTGGATTTATATGTTTATATGGTCGAATAAGTGAGTGGAGTGGTCGCTCGTGCATTAGTTTGAATCTGGAGTTAGTTGTGGTTTTCTTCTGGTGTGTTCTGGGTTAGGTTAAGAGATCTTATCTGATATTGCCAGGTGTAGCAAGTTGGTCTTAGATCACCGGGAGCTGGTGTTGATGTACAGAGTAAGAAGATGTATATCTATATAATAAGTTATATTTTTTTTTAGAAAAATTGAATGGGGAGGATGAATTATTGGGAGATATTTGTTTTTGCTTTTTCTTTGGTTCTAAAATAGATTTTAGATTCTCTAGGTTACTTTTCTTCATAATCTACATATAGATAATCCAAACCCACCTCTCAAGGAACCACAACGTACACCCATACATGTGATGGATACATTCTACCTGACAAAGCCAACCTTATTATACCATCAAACATGACGTGCTCGCAGCCTCCGATTGAACAATTGAACAGCTAAATTCGCTAATCCGGTATTGTCCACGTCGAATACTTATGTATAAAACCTTCCATCTCTCCTGTCTCACTTTCACATCTCCTCTCCCCATTTCATCTTCACAGCTCTAAGATATTCTTCGTGCGAGCAGGATAAAGTTTATATTACTTTCAACAGCTCCTCGCAGCTAACTCGACCGCCGAGTAACGGCAGACAGACAATGAAACCACGTAGGATTCATTTATTTACGTACACACATCAGCATGGCAAGGTCAGACAATACGTACAATAGCCTCACGGGGGAAAGGAGTTGAGCTCGATTACCAATCCTCTCACAAATATAGATCTTGATACCACCGGGAGATCTCGATGTCCGAAGTCCACGGTTTCCAACTCCACCACAGGTCCACCACACCCCACCACAGAGCACATTTTGAAGGTCTGTGTCGAGGGGAAGGGCGGAAGAGCTTGCTCCGCTGTCAAGTGAATACATGGAGTCTTAGAATGATTTCTAATCGATTTCTAATACGCTTGGTTGTTGTGGGGATTAGAAGCATTTGGGGTTTTGTTTATATGGTGAGGGGCGTGCTGTTGTTTTGTCTACAATCAAGCAACGGAAAGTAAAATATCAATCTCTCAATTTGTCGTTATTTCGAAGAACTCAATACATACCATATCAATCTATACGAAATTTAATACAAAACAAATCAAGAAAATAAACCCAATTCAAACAAAATGGTTACCTTTACCCTCAGTCCTGATTACGGGTATGTGTCCCTTCCCTCCCCCCTAACTCAATTGCCATCCATCCATCATCCCACACTCTCCCAACCAGAAGCAAAAGCCCAACTAACCCTCCTCACCATCCTAGCTACGTAATTCTCGCCGCAACCTCCACCTTCATCCTCAACACCATCCACGGCTTCAACACCGGATCCCATCGCAAAGCAGCGCAAATCGACTATCCAGCCGCCTACGCACCCTCATCACGTACAGACGAAGCAGCCTACCGATTCAACTGCGCACAACGCTCGCATGCGAATTTCACCGAGAACCATACCATAGCCGTCACTGCGCTCTTGATTTCCGGACTCGAGTTTCCAAAGACAGCGGCGGTTTTCGGCGGTGCGTGGACATTCTTTAGGTGGATGTATATGAGGGGTTATAGTCAGGGTGGGGAGAAGGGAAAGGGAAGGTATAAGGGGATTTATTATTGGTTTTTTCAGACAGGGTTGATGGGCTTGTGTGGGTATATGGGTGTGCAGATGGTTTTGGAGGGGAGGAAGTAAGTGAGGGTGAATGTGGGTTGGAGAGGGAGGCAAAAGGGGAGAGTATAAAACTGAATGACCGAGGAGGGGCTTTTGGAGGAGGCAGACAAAAAGACATGGGAGGAGGCATGGAGGGAGAGTATAAATTGTTTTTATAGCGGAAAAAAGACGCTTTTAGAGAAAAACTGTATCATAGACTACAAATCTCCTTTTCAAAACGAAAAAAAAATCTCGAGCAAAACGATCCAATTCGCATCCCACAACGCATTGAAAAGGTCACCAAAGAAGTTACTTTAAAAGTCACAGCGGAATTCATCTTCCTAACCACTAGGTACCTATTCAATTACCCATCCATTCTCCAACTCCCCAAAAAAAATCCACATTAAAATGTATTCCCGAATTTTCATCTTTTCATCTTGCTTGTTATATCTAGGTATCTACAATGTTCATGGTTGTCTACTTCTTTCCTTTTCTTCTTTTGACTTTTCTTTGTGTTTATATTTTTTTTTATCTCAATAGTATAAGCTAGACACTTACTTATACATCGATTATAGTAGTAATCTATATTAGGTAGCTACAGTAGCAAGCTTGTTAGTTAGGTAGTTTACCATGCGGTTTAACATGCGGTTTAGATTCGGTAATGGATGAGATAAGATGTGTATTATTCAGGTTGGAGCTTTGGAGCTTTGGTTGGAATGGAAGATCTTACGTATGTTAGTGTTGTTATGGGGTGATTTGAGGTGTGTGGTAGACAGGTTCTATATTAGTTGTTATCAAAGAAAGAAGAGTAGATGTAGAAATTGATTTGATTTGTATTTGGATTAGAGTGGTGATTGAGGCATTGAAATCAGTACAATCATTATTTCATACGTATCAATGGCCCATTAATAAGCCATTCCTACTCCCATCTCAAGTTCACTCTCCAACTACAACCAAGTCAATCACCCTCAGCACTTCACAACCTCGAGTTTCCCTCACAACATCGGCGTCTTCTCACCATCATACCCAGACTTCCCCTTAACCACCCCAAACGCACCACCACCTTTCCCAAACATCTCCTTCAAATCCCTAACTAACAATTCCGGCTTCTCATGCGCATAAAAATGTCCACCTCCCTCCACGTAATTATCCCTCTCAAAAACCACATCCCCCAACGTCCTTGCCCACGGCTTCGGCATCAGAAAAAGCTCCTGCGGATTAAACGTCAATCCCAATTTCGGGCCCGCGGTATAGGATTCGAAATCTGATCGCACAAGTTTTCCCGGGCCGGGAGTCGTATGCATAAATTCGTAGTATATCCGGTGCGCGGCTCCGGGACCTGCCCGCGAGAAATAGTAGACGGATATCCAGGTGAGAATTTCGTCGTCGCTCCAGGGATATGAATCGGTCCAGTCGTGCAGTTTTTCGTAGATCCAGGCGAGTAATGCGGTGGGGGAATCGTGGAATGCGTATGCTAAGGTTTGTGGCTTGGTGGATTGTTCAATGAAGTAACCGTTGCCTTCTACGTTAAACCAGTTGGTGCGAGCGAGACCTTCAATTTCCCTTTGCGTGTAGGGTGTAACTGCGTGTTGCACGGCTAGAATGGGATTTTTCCAAAAAGAGGGTTGATTTGCGAGCACCATGTTGATGTGGCTTGCTTTGCACTGGATGACATACTCAGTGTCTAGATTTTGATGGAAGATGGAAGCCCAAGGCTAAGATGGTAGACTCACATGCTGAGGATACAATTTCCCAATCGACCTGGTGATAAACGATCCCCAATCTCCACCCTGCGTGACATACTCATCATAGCCCAATTGGAGCATCAATTTATGACAAGTTTCCGCATACTGCGCCAATCCAAACCCGCGTTTCTTAACTCCTTCGCTAAATCCAAAGTTAGGAAGTGAAGGAGCAATAATATGGAAAGCTGGACCGTCTGGTTGTTGTAGAAGCGGAAGGATACGGAGAACTTCTAAAAAGGATCCCGGCCCTATGAGTTACATCAGCATTCTATATCTACTTCTCTCAAACTTTCTCAACACTGCAAAAGCAAGAAAAGAAAAAGAAAAACCCACATCCATGCACAAAAAGCAACGGCACGGCCTCCTTCACCTCACTCTTCTGCCATATAAAATGAACATCCAACGCTCCAAAGCCATCAACATTCACACTTGTCGTAAACTGTGCACCCTCAAGCGTCTTATTTAACTTCTTTTCGGCAACTCTCCAATCCCATTGTTCCCATGCTTTTGTAAGACGCTTCATGGAATCTAATGGAACACCCATATCCCATTCTGCATCCGAGAGTTCATCTGGGAATTCGACGAGAGAAAGTTTAGTTTTGAGAGTATCGATTTTGCTTTGGGGGACGGAAATTTTGAATGGAGTTGGGGACATGATGATCTGATCTGCTTCAATTTGATTTGATGGGTGTAATGCAGGTTGTTGGGGTGAGATGTACTCGATGTGTTTAAATCAGAAGTGGAAGGAAGTAATGTAGTAAGAAGTTCACTTATAAGTTCCAACTATCAACTTATGATGCACTTTTCAATTATCGAGTCAAATATCAAGAGTCATTCAGCGCATGGGGAAAAGAGAAAAATGAAGGAAACGCCTGATATTGAAGATATCATCCATATATACAGGTAAAGCTACCTAGCGACCCCACACCTGATTAGAGCACTGCAGGACATCGATCAGTAATCACGACAGAGGCCAGCTTTGTAATTCGAGACATATAGTGATGCATACATGATTCCACATTATCTTGTAATATACATGAAACCGGCACTTGTGACTTGGTATCGAATAGGTGGCTCTCACAAGCGGTGGACAAATTCTTAGTGGGTTGGTGGGAAAAGAGCGAATGTTCCGAAATATCCGTGAGCTATAATGTAACCTTATAGATGATATAATCAATTTTCGAATCAAAATGATTATTTTTATTGTTATTAATGTCAAGATAGTACAAGTTAAGAATGATAATTTTGTAATAATATATCAAAAAATAGATTATCTTTTTACAAAAAGATGTATATTTAAATTATATTAAGGAATTTAATTAGTTAAATATTGTGACGCCTCACACCTCCGGGTCACGTGGCATGCCCCGTTTGCATTTAATCATAGGAAAACTCGCTACTCTTGTTTTCCTTCTTCTTTTCTCCTTAGCTTAGTATTTTCTAATACAAGATACTTTACCCAGTATTCTTGAGTGTGACAAATATAATATCAAAATACCTTTAATAGAAACAAATATATATATATAAATTTAATTTAAAAATATACAAATTTTAAATTCAAAACCTTATTTTAAAACTTTTAATATTTCAATAATCATTAAACAACAATCTCATATAAAATAATCCAAAATTACTCAAAACTATATAATCAACAGTACATCACATAAAAATATCTGAATTTGTTAAAGTGAATGGTTCCTGCGTAGCACGTGCACAGGGCACTAGTCCTGTTAGGACTAGATTGAGAAGCTCTCTTACAGAGAGCTTCGCACTTCCGTAGAACTTAGAAGAGAGATTAACCTACTAGACCAATATTACCTCAGTTCTGCCCTATCAGCTTCCCACTATTCCCTGTGTGAGGTCATTCCTTTTAACAGAATTAAACACACCAGATCCACTTTTTTTTATTAAAAAAAATCCACTTATATTCTAATCAACACCTCTCTATCTCTCTTTTCCTCCCAACTTCCAAGTCTCTATCAAACCTTAATAATCCTGCCTACACCTCACACAAAAACACCCCAATAATCAAAAGCGGCATTCCGGCACACCCCAAGATTCCGCACATCCCCCTTCTCCCCGCTCGCTCGATATACCCAGATTTTCCCTGTAGGATTTATATCGAACTTCTATATGCCATCTAGTACTTACTTCATATATAAGTTATATACTCTATAGAATAGAGATAAGAGTATATATTAAAATTTCAATACCTGTATAAATAAGGAAATGCATTCATTCATTCATTCATTCATTGATTTTAGCAATTCTTCTCAATCTAGTTCTCAATCTAGTTCTAGATCATCAGATCTTTTATTTTCATATCCATCCATTCGTCTGTTTGTATATGAGTATTCCATCTATATCTGTACCTACCTATCCACCTACTATCTATCCACCTATCTAGTGTACGTACATACACAAGTACCTACGAAAACAAAATATGAAAATCGGGCAAGGAACAACTTTATTTTCCGTTGGTTAGTAACTCTTTCCCGAATAGGAAATCCTCGGTACTTTTCTTTTGAAGAAGTTGATTTCTAATCATTGCATTGTTAGCAAGTACTCCGTAGGTACGTAGGTACTCCGTAGATACTAGGTACTAGGTACTAGGTCCTCGTGTTGTGACGTGATATACTCCGTATGTAAGTCTTGCGGTAGCGGGATGTGCTAACTACATCTAACCAGAATGAGTATGTATGCGGTACTCCGTATGCAATAGTGGTTGTGTGGGTAACGTTTATGAGTAATTCATGGCTATCAAGTACCTTAGTACCTTAGTATTAACATGTGAATCCAATTTTGTAATTACTGTAATTACTACAACGCCTGCAACCTACAAGTGCCTCATCCAGAAGGTATTTATTACCTGGTTACCAATACGCCTTTAAACATCAATTTCAATTTATCTTGTTTACCTCCGCCTCCGCTTCAATTCCAAGTTGATATCTTCATATTCATCCTCTATCTCATCAGAAATCACCGATTCTTCTTCCATAACTCCAAGGGGTAATTCTGATTTGACGGGTTTTGTGATCGGCTCTTCCTCTGAAGATTTTGCTTTCTCAATACCTTTATCGCCAAGAAGGAAATCACCAAAGTATTTGATAACATTGAATACCTCCTCTCCAGTAGGAACAATGTTCTCTTTTGGAAGTAAGAATCCATAACTTCCTGTATCTCTCAGCTTAATCTGATAGCTGTACCGTACTCCTAATTCGTGATAAAACCAATCAATAGCGGAACCTCCTCCCATTTCCATTCTAGATGTCGATGAGTACCCTGGGATTTTCGAAGAGATAGCACCTTCACAAGCAGAAGCAACAGTATATTGTTCTCCACTAGATATTCTAATAGCCTTTGCAAGTCCTATGCCTAGTTCTTCCAGATTTTCTAGACTAGGTGGATCGGCTAAACAGGAATAAGAATAAGGATATAAGACTTGTTGGGAATACGAATGTAAATCCAAGAAACCAACAAAATGAACATTATTATTCTCGGTTTCATTCTTGGCCCATTCCGCAAACCTATGCGATTCAACAGCTTGGAAAGGTGCATCTCCTGGGTAACTTTCGGAACAAGGATTAGTTTGAGTCGATGAACCCCATTCGAAACCAAATCCACGGTCCAAATCGAGACCTCGACAAAATCGAAGATTGGTCTGTTGTCTGTTTTTGCGCCATAAACGGTCGTTCTCCCAGGTATACACATATCCATCAACATTAATAGTAGGAACAAGGACGAAATCGAATTCCTGGAGAAGCTTTGTGATAGCTGGCGATTTTCCATAAGAAGTAATCAAAGACCAAGCAGCATAGGTCACAGAGCTAACTGATATCCATTCCCGAGCATGAAATCCACCAGATAATATAATAGTTTTCCGTGGCTTGGTTGCTTCTGAAGGTAGATTTGGTGATACACCGATCCTCAAAGCTGGGATATCGCGACCCTCATAAGAAATTCCGATGTTAATCATCCGAACATGGGTTGAGAACATGGAAGACATGAGGCGCATCCATGGTATAATGACGGACAGTGGTTGATAATTTTGAAAGAATATATTATCCGCACCCTCGACCTTACTAGTTCTCAAAGCTGGAGTGAATGCCCTTTCAACATGCTTCGAAGAAAAGGCTGCATCTGCATATGCCATCGATGGGTAGGATTGATAAATACTTTTCGCCAAGTCAGGCATCAGATGAGAGTATGCATTCTGTAGAGATTTTGGTAAAAGACCGAGTAATGAGGGAACCTATTCCAGCAATTAGCATTGTGACGACGAGAACGGTGATTTGACATACATCATCTTCCCTCAAACGAATGTCTGCCCAATTACTTGTAAACTCCCAAATATCCAAAAATAACGTATCTGCCGCCTCAGCCAAAGCCTGTTCTTCCGCCGGAGTAGTGAGATTGAATCGCAGAACTACATCGCCGCCATATTTCGCGAGTAAAGTAGCTGGAAGTTGAGCATTGGTAGGTCGCGCAACATTTCCCGGCACATCAGGTTTCTTTGCGACCTTCGGAGGGAGACCAAATATCTTTTCTATCGCAGTATCACATAACCATGTCAATTGGGGAATCACATTGCGATATCTAATGCCCGATGGTTCCTGCGTAGGATATCGCGGGGTTACAGGTGATAATTGAGCATGACCGTCCGTGGTCCAAGGTACTGCGATGACATGCGGGACACAGAAGATAATTGCAACGAGGAGAATCAGCGATGATAATATAGAGTGAGATTGCGACATAATTATTTTCGCATTGGGAGATGTAAAGAATGTGATTAAACAATGAAGGTTGTGAGTTTATGGGTCGCGCTTAGAATTATATTCGAGGTGATTCGATTGTAGTAGGTGGGTGAGGTTATCTGTCTGTCAAGGGCCCGGAAGGTTCCCTAGGTAGATGAATTTTACTCCGTACAGACACTATTTTTGCTTTTTGCCGATAAAGGAAAACGAGAGATATATATACTAAATCAACTCGACCCTTTCACTGTGTGACTTCTACAGCAACCCACCGAACAACTATCCTCCAAAAAAAAAAAAAAGATACTGAGCCCTCACATTGATATACCTATCACTGGCCTATCTGGCTTTACCTCATACACCTGTAAATATCAGTTATCAGTACCCTTACAGTTTGATTTGAAACCAAAGAATTCAACCACCCAATAAATACCCACCAACGAACTTTCCTCCAGTATCTTCACTTCCGACGCCTTTGGATGGAGTGTCCAAAACCCTATCCCAAAACACACATATATTTTTGTGTATAATTTGGTTACCGATTGAGGTCCGAAAGATTCGAGGAGTTGGTGAAGAGGATGTGTTTCGTCAGCAGGGTAGTAATCTTTTGGGTATACAATGTATCGTATCGTGGATCTCCCGTTCGAATCGTATTCTACCACTTCATTGTTGGTTTCATCTAGGCGCTGCGTCTCCTCGGTCAAAGTCATAGTCACGCATGTATTGAAAGTTGTAAGGCTGGCTGGCGACCAGAATCGAACTGCTTGGAAAGTGGCTTGCGATAGAGTGGAAATAGCTTCTAGGAGGAAGTGTGATACTCTATTATTTATTTTGACTAAAACTACCTAATAGGTAGGTAGGTAAACAGACATGAAGCCAAAACATACGTAAGCTTGAGGTGACATTCGTGTTCAGGTAGGTATTGATATCTTGCTGTGGAAAACCACTGTTATATCGAGGGGTGGGAGCGAGCGTTATTGTCACTTTATTCAGCATCAATAAAATTTGATAGCATTGTAGGTTTTAAAACATTGATAACCTTATTAATTTCTTCCGAATACAATACTGTATTTTCATAGACTCTCCCGGTGTATTCATTGCTCTGGTAAGCTTGCTATTCACCCAGTAATTTACTCGTTTGAATCGCATCTAAATCATCAGTGAATCAGTCATGTTTTCGAGTAACTCAAGATATCCTTCATGCACCTGAGGATTCAGCTGTTATCATCTTATCTCTTAGTTTAATACCTGGAAAGAGTTTTTAGGTATACTAAATTACCTAGATAAACTTAATATGACTTGGAGTAATCTTTTGCATGAAAAATCATGTGGCTTATTAGTGATGTCTAGATTTTGGTATAAAGCCACATTGTTTGATTCACAAAGTTCATTCTATCTAAGAAGTCTACTGTGCCAAACATTGATCAATAGGATACTCCTACGGTTATTTATCGTACTGGCATCCATGGACTCCAATCGTATCGAGTACCTAGATATCTCCAGAGTGCTGATTCTCGCATGATGCCTCACGTAGATCAATTATTCAACGTTGGCAAAATCGACTACTATACGTAGCTAACGGAACACTCACGGAGTGCGAGAGACCCTGGCCTGGCCATCAATGTCCTATTGAAAGCCAAGAAATGTGTAGGTGAGTATGGCTCGTCTTGATGGGTAATTTGATAACCCAGCTGGAAGAATCGGAACGAATGGATTATTGCTGCTTCGGCCAATTGGATGATAATAACGCTTTGATTCGTATACGACTACCTTGCTTGCTTCATTGCCTTGCTTGTTCGTCTAATCGTTCTCCTCTTTCGTTTCGTACAACGAGAGGGGTAAGCAGTTTATCATGAGAGCATTGTTGGGCGGATGTGAGGAAAACGAAAGAATCTCCTTCAAGTGCTTTTGATCAAATATACGGAGTGTATAAATATATGAGGGCTACTCACAGCAAGTTCCACATTGCAGATCATCTAAAGCTTTAGAACATTCCAAATCAATAATCGAAGCTCGAAAGCCATTCAACCTAGTGCAGTCGTGCAGGCCGATCTAAAAATATATCGGTTTTTGATCTTCCAGAAAAACGTTGGCCCCATCCAGACAAGGAAGGACTTGACTAACTATCACTTGCTATCGGTGGCCATGTTCAAGGAAATTGCATATTGGAAGAATCAAATTTTATTGACCCATATCCAAACCACTTGGACCACAGTGTAACCTGTACTCTGTGGTCATATGTACCGCAGAGTTACTTTTATGTTTCAGTGTATTTTCTGAACATCTTTTTCCATCTTCCTGATCCTTTCTAAAGGGGCAATGATCATTGACGTCTTTGAAGCAGCAACCATTTTTAGCACCACCTTGGAATTTGGGTACTCTGTAAGTTACTTTTAAACTTTCACTAAAATAGTTTCATGTGAGTGGAAAGTCTTTGGGAAACTTGAGAACTGGGTTATTGTTTTCGTTAGAACGTAATAATGCGTTTCTTATATGTGGATGAAATTTAATATATCTCTCGACTTAAAAATACAATATAAGTATAGGTACCTAGTATAAAATATACTTACACAAATACCTCTGTACTCAAGTAGACGATGCATGTCACTCAACACCTACGGTCTACTGCCTACATACCTACTAGACCTAACCTTATTCCCATGTAGTATCAAGTCCAAGATCTTTTACCAGGTTAAGTTTTAGGTTCTTTCAATTCAAACCGACTAGCCCATCCAGGTTTGCGTCATTCACCTCAGGGGAAAACTTGAGACTTTGTAAATTTTCACTCGAGATAAATACTGAAATAGAACTTCAATTCAATTTTGTTGAAAGATAATTTTAATTTTTTTTATACTCGAGCCCTGCCACTTGGTTCGTGTAAAGGCTTGTTTCGCCATGTTTTTTTCAACCGAGTCGTAGTTTGGTTTCGTTTGATTTGAATTGAATTGAATTGGATGGAATTGAATTGAATTGAATTGTTATTGAGTCGAGAGTAACTTGAGAACTTGAGTTGACTTGAATTCCCATTGTAATTGTCTCTCCCATCTTTTCTTCTTCTGAGGTATGCCCACAATCCCCCCCGTTTGCACTTTCCTCTTATCCACTCATTACGATTTGAGCACCTTTCCAAGGATCCCTCCTAGCCTTCAGCCTCATACGAAGGGATAACGAGACAAGACAGGAGGACTTTCAATCAACAACACAACACAATACAATACATACCCCATACGTTCTTTTCCTTACTAAATTGCAAATGTGATTTTTGTTTTCAGCTGAGACAAGAATAATCAATTGTTTCCTAATTATCAAGTCTTGTAGGATCAATGTTGTTCGATGTTTCTCCAAGATGCCATTACTCCGTCGTCGTGCTGCTGCCAGCGATGCTGAAATGCGACGGCATAGCTTCTATCCCACTGATTCCAACACTCTGAATCCAATTCTCGATTCCAATCTTCCACATGGCAGAGCGAGTGAACAAATGACACGACGACCTTCGCCTGGAGATTTCCAATCATTCGCAGGATCAGGGACAATGGCACCGTTACCCATGCTAAATAGACCTTCCACGGATTATCCTACATCATTGCAACGGTCGGGCACTCCCCCAATACAGGAGGAAACCTCGAAACATCGTCGCTTCTCTATGTTAAGGTTTCGACATGCTTCCGATTCACAATTGTCTACTCGATCGCGACTACAGGCTCAGAATGCTTCAATAGCTGAAGATGTTCCCCCGATACCTCATCGCAAGTATTTCCCATTGATGTTCTTTCCCCCGAGGTCTAGAGACATTTGATTGTTCCATATCTAGTTCGACCATAAAAATTGCTTGCTGGGCCTACGTTCTTGGCATAGTGCTGACCATATACCAGCCCCAGAGATTATTACGACAGCTCCGACCATGGATTTCAATGGAGGACGCCCAATTAAGAAAAAGTCGCGAGTTCGACTTCCTGGCCGTACCAAGTCGCCTGCTGTGGATAGCGATCGTGCGGGGCAACGAGAGCAACCATCAAGGCCGGAAGAAGATACGCTGAATATTGAAATGCTTTCGAAGAAGGAACGAAGAAAAACAATGTCAGAATCGGGACCGACTAATAAAAGCCGTGTTACTTTCGACGAACCGAATCGGCCAGTGACCCATGGTAATGGTGGCTCTCCTCCTGCATATGGAGACGAAGCATCCTCGGCATTGGCTCTACCATTGAACAGACTCTCTGAATCTTCAAGATCAGACGCAAGTTCTAATGATCATGGAGTTTATGCAACGACGACTACCACCACACATACTGTGCAAACAACAACCACCTTCTTTCGTCTTCCTCGTCGGAAGAAGCCCGCTCCGTTATTCGATCTTAGCCATCTTCCACAAAAGTCCGCGCAGCATGATTCTTCACATTCTCTATCCGTTACAAGATACCCCACAGCTCCTCCATCTGACCCGGCTCGGGTCATAACCCCAAAGTCGTCGGATGACTTGACCCCACATGGTTTCCAGTCTCCAATGCCCTCTCCGTCACATACCTCTTCGTCTCCGAGTGCTTTGATGAAGACATCATCTGGTCGGCCAGCTACCCCATTATTAAGACAAGGTTCCGCTGCGTCATCTTCGAGATCTTCACCCACTCGTTCCAGGCTGACATTGCGCGGTCGTTCATCCACTTTAAGCTCTCTAAGGAATGCACCGAATGAAGATGCTTTACCTACACCTACATTACCACCAAGCAGGACTTCTACATCCACCGGCAGGAAGAGTTTTGGCGACTTGTTTAATCTTTCAGCTCGATTACGCCCGACCTCCGAACCAACAACTAATTCAGGACCTACCACCCCCGGATCCAATACTTCGAAAAACAATTCTATGCAATTAGCCCGAGAAGAGCCTATTATTCTGCCCGAACGCTTTGATGATGACACACCCGCTAATTATTTGGTCAGGCTTGAAGAGGCTGTTAGTAGAGGTGTTGTAGCTAGTGTCTTGTCAAAAGGGACGGATCCTTTCTCCCAGGCTGTTCTTCGCAGCTATATGAGAGGATTTGGCTTCTTTGGGGATCCAATGGATATGGCCATACGAAAGTTACTCATGGAAGTTGAGCTCCCCAAGGAGACTCAGCAAATTGATAGATGCTTACAAGGTTTTGCTAATAGGTATCATGAATGCAACCCTGGCATCTATGCATCTCCTGATCAAGCTTACTTCATCGCTTTCTCACTTCTCATTCTACATACAGATGTGTTCAACAAAAACAACAAACATAAAATGACAAAGGCAGACTACATCAAGAACACCCACGGCGAAGGAATTTTTGACGAGATCCTGGAGTGCTTTTATGACAACATTTCATATACGCCCTTTATTCATGTGGAGGACGATCTAGACATTAACGGCGAAAGGATTATACCTCACAAGATGAAAAAGAAGTCGAAGATACTTCGTGGAGGCGGCGATCCTAATAAACGTCCTTCGAGAGAACCAGTTGACCCTTATACTCTAATTCTTGATAGCAAACTTGATACTTTACGTCCCAACCTCAAGGATGTTATGCATCTTGACGAACATTATAGTTATCTTGGTACTGCACCGTCCCTGAATCTACAGAATCTACAGAAGACCTTCTTCAAGACCGGTGTGTTACAGATAGTTTCTGCCAGGTCACGGCCGGATGCTTTCATGTCAGAGAAAACGGTCACAAATCCCGAGGAAGCACAGGCTGGTATTGTGGATATCAAGATCACCAAGGTTGGTTTACTATGGCGAAAGGATGCGAAAAAGAAGAAGACTCGTTCTCCATGGCAAGAGTGGGGAGCTATTCTTACCGGAGCTCAACTGTATTTTTTCCGGAATACCACCTGGATCAAAAGCTTGATACATCAGCACGAGACACATATCAAACAAGGTCATGATGGCAGCCCTGTAATTTTCAAGCCCCCACTAGAACATTTCAAGCCCGATGCATTAATGTCAACTGATGATGCAGTTGCTCTGGTAGACTCCACGTACAAGAAGCACAAGCACGCTTTCATCTTTGTTCGCCACGGAGGATTTGAGGAAACTTTCTTAGCCGACAATGAAGATGAGATGAATGATTGGCTTGCTAAGCTTAACTATGCTGCAGCATTCAGAACCGCTGGAGTTCGCATGCGGGGCGTGGTTGGAGGCAACTACGAAGGCCAGCGTAATCGAGGTATCCGCAGACTAGAAAGTCAAAACGACAACACAAAACTGATTCAAACGCCTTCTGGTGAAGTTACTATAGTCAGCGGAAAGATCGACAACAAGATGCAGGACGATATCTTGGCCGCACGTCGCCAAATCATGCTACAAAAAGTAGCTGAAGCCGAAGAAAAGCTTACCGTCGCAGTGAAACAACTAGATTCACAACTCCGAAATGCTCGCCATTTACAGATTCTAGCTCCAGTTCAACAAAAGACAAGAGAGAATGTTTTATCAGCAGCCGCTCGGATGTCGGCGCAATTGAAATGGGGGAGAATGGAGATTTGGCGCTTGAAGTGCCACCGGGACATTTTGATTTTGGATTTGGATGAAGAGAAGAGTATCGAGGGAGGCTTCACGGAAAAGACAGAGTCAAACGGAGATACACCAATGTCAGCACGATCGGCTCTTACTCGGTTACAATCTAAGGCAAGTAGTTTAACACCACGCAGCGCGCCGAAATCCCCGACTTCAGATTCCGCAACTCGGCCTTCTACGTCTGGTCATTCGCTTCCGGCGCCCGAGAAGGATCGAATGATGGATGACGTCTTTCACGCCCCACCAAGCTCGAATCAGAAGGCCCAAGCATCCTGGGAACTTCCGCCTTTGACAAACGATGAGCAGCCTCCACTCGAGCCTTCGATACCCAGTGTAACCCCTCCAAGCCCTGGTCTTGCCACTCAGCCTTCTCATTCCAGTTTGAAACAACCTCCAACTTTGAGCCCCAGACCTTCGGATGATCCAAACCTTGATGCTGCAGAGCAATCTGTTCTTGAGCAGGCTGGATTGATGGATGTAGATGTGGCGAGTGAAGATAATAAAGACCAGTCAACAGACAAGGACAAGTTTGGCAAAGGCAAGATTCGCCGCAGCATACATCAGACCCTGCGTGAGGCACACGTTCCATCACATCATCGTGGCCGTAAGGGCAAGGACTCAAATTCGAGTGCTGGTATGTCGGATGAAGGTACCACCGATGATGTACTTCCTCGTGGCTCTGGAAGCTTTGTCGTGCACGGCAAAAAGGCTTCAGTCATCACATTCGGAACGGAGCTTCAAGCCATGTCACCGGAAGAACGTCTACGTCTCCGTAAACAGCCGCGCAGAAACTCAGAAGCAGGATCTCATGCCACCATTGATGATGACTTCCACTCAATACTTGCCGAACCTGTCGAGTTTCGTCAACGCCATAATTCAGCTGCCAGCACTAGTACCGCAACTGCTAGAAGCTTCCGGGAATTGCATAGGAAATATTCTGCACAAAACTCAGAAAAATCTCCAAACCTCGCTGTCAATGTAGATGACGACGACGAAGCGGCGATAAGCGTATCAGACGGTCGACGAAGTCCATTACCTCCAGTCGAAGACGAAAACGAGGACGAAGATTCAAGCAGCAATGACAAAACAAAATTCTACACACCAGAACCCTCGCCTCGTGTAATGGAATTTGATGAGCGATCGCTAGTCGAACCCAATCAACAGCACGAGAATTCACACATCGAATCAGATGAGCGATTACCAAGTCCTACTTGCGAAGCAGTTGGTGCTTGATATACCGCATTTTACCCATAGGAATATCACCTTCCCACATACACACAACATTTCCATACCATTGTTTTTGTCTCTTTTCATATTTTCTGCGAAACCATAGCATAGCACGCATGCAACTATTCTAACGACGATCCTTTATATATCCATTTCTTAGCTCGCGATGGTTTCTTTTTACAATACTTGAGATGATTGATATTTCTTCGGAAAGCGAAAAGGGTGGGATTATTTTTTCGCAACAAATAAAAGTATTTGGTGGTTCGTTTTTGATAGCACTATTTTAGTTATCCCTTTTCGTTTGTTTTCTTTTTACACTTGCTGTAGTGGTTATTTGACACACATGCTTTTGAAAGTATTTACTGTGCGTATGTATACTAGCGGTTGGGAAGGGTGGGATGCATGGTAGGAAGAATGGGAAGGAAAGGAAAGTGAAACGGCTTGGGGTCCAAATATATCTACGCAAAGGGGTTGTTTATGGTATGGAACTATGGCACGGTACCTTGGATGGTTTTCGATGCTGACCTTATTGGCTGGCTGGCGTTTTGGGGAATGTGTTTGCTTTTGAGGCAGTGGATGAATGCAGATGGAACTTGGGAGATGAGATAGTGTTCTGATTTTAGGGCGGCATGATCGAAGAGGTGTGTGAGGATTACGTGATGGAAAGTACTATTTTGATGAAATCGAAAGTATGGATCGATGGATAGCTGAAGGAGGTGAAATAAGAGCGGAAGGCGAGAGCGGAAGGCGAAGGCGTAGGCGTAGATGAGATGAGATGAAATGTGGGCATTGTTAGGAATGAAATTAATATCGCAGCAGACGCAGTAGAGGAGATAGAGATAACAATGAAAATTAATAAATATTATCTTTTGTTTTTCTTTTCTTGATTGAATATGAGATAATGGAGTTAGATCCATTAATTATGTTAGACTTCAACATCTCAATTTCTTATAACAAGAGTATTTTAGATCTATAATATTAAGAACTATTCAGGATCCACAAAAACAGAGACTTGAGAGCACTACTCAACAAGCTTAAAGAAAGCTGCCACGAAAGCTATCGAAATCTAAAACAGTCACAAATGCTACGTGAACGAAACATACGAATATCCAATCAGTCGGAGCTCCATATCAAATTAGCTCATGCACCGTTCCAGCAGCATGGTTAGGTTAACCTTAATAGGCGATATACTAGAAAAGGTCTCAGCTCATGGTATAGTCAACAAGTGCTAGGATAGGCCATGTCTCCACGATCAGCGATTACTTTTACTTTTACTTTTTACCCGCTCTCTCTGTAGCTATCTGCTTCTATCCGCTATGTAAGATCTTATATTCACCACACTCCTGCTTTAAGGCATGGGGTTTGGGTTTTGCTTTTGCTTCTTTATGTTGCTTAGGCTGATTGGCTCCTCTGTAGTCATTATTGTAGTCATTTCTTTGCTTCTCGTATTTACTGTATTTACTGTCCGCCTTTTAGTATTGGGTTCTTTCTTTGCTGGAATCTGGAATCTGGAATCTGGAATTGTAAGATTACGTCCGCTGTATTTTTCTTATACATATGTGTATGTTAAACAGGTGTCTCTCTTAATCTCAATCTCAATCATCGTCTCCATCATCGTTATTCTTTATTCTTTATCTCATATTTAACGCATCTCGTCTCGTCTCGTCTCGGATGCTATATGTATGTATGTTTTTAGATCTCATACAAATCAAATCTGGCGATCCTAGCTTTGTGAGACTTACGAACGCCGAAACTGTGATTGATTTGATCCTAATTATTCTTCTTTCCTTTCTTTTCTTTACTTTTCGTCATAGTTATATCAGAGCATAGGTAGCTAGTGGGATTCATCCACTATCATTATCATTATTTGGATAGTATACTTTGCGGTGTATGTCGATGTATGTATGAAACACATTCCGTTAACCAATTACTTTTTCTCTTGTCTTGTCTTGCGTGACGTGACGTGACGTGGTTTGTGATTGAGTACGTAGGGATATTTATTATATCAAAAATGTTAAAAAATTATTATAATTGATCATTAATTCTATTTAAAGTTAAAAGTTAGACTCTCAAGATTTAATGATTCTGAAATAAAAAACCTAAAGAATAAGTTAAAAATATTAATGTGAGGAAAAAGTGAAGAGGGCCCAAAGTTTACTTCTCATAGATATTATTAGAAATATTAAAAGTCATTTGATAGATATGAGACTGAGTGTTCTACAATCATTCATGTTCTCTCTTTCAAACAAACCAGATCAAAGAAAAAAGGGCGGTGTGTAAAAGACAGTGCAAGAACCAACCTGAATCAACTATTAGGCACGTATGCAAGCATCCGAGGAGAGGAACCTCTTCGGCGCAGCCTTTAGCTCTAATTGGGCTGAGTTAGAAATCTCCTGCTCATGGTTGCGCATCCTGATACCTCATAGTTTCCGCTTGTTATCCTTCTTTATATCACGTCTTTTTCCTGTACAAATGTTACTGGAACAACTCGTTCTTACCCTTCTCTGGTACTTGACAGTATCGTTCTATCCTGTCACTTTTCACTATGACATCACACAGTGACATTCGTGAATCGGTTAGACAAATCGACGAGGGTACTTGGCTTTTCGGGGGCACATATGTCGTACGCTACAACAAAAAACCAAGCGACGGCGAACAAATGAGCAAGGATTTCATTGATTATAAAATCTTCGAAGCGCTTGAAATCGTACCAGACTCGGTTTCTATCCCTTCGGACAGCCATGTACGACTAATTTGTGATGCCGGAAATGCATCTGCGGTTTTCAGTTTCGGTGATAAGATTATTCTCAAGGTCAAAAAAGTTCACGAGGACCAGCCGCGAGAAGATGGGACGTTGGAATTTCTAGATAGACAAAAGCTTAGCTTCGAATATCCATTATTTCTGTGCTCTATGGAAGTTGAGGACAGGATCTTCATGCTTGAAGCCCATATGTCCGGCGAGAGACTCAATGAAGCATGGTGGAATATGAGCGAGGAAAAGAAGGAACATGTGGTGAATCAGGTCGCTGAAATCTGCATGGAGCTCAAGAATTTCCAGTCCTCTTCAATGACTCCAATCGACTTTAAGTGGATGGATCCTCTTCGCGAATCGGGACAGCGAGACTGTCGAATAGAATCACTTCAAAAGCATTGCGAAGCCTTGGGAATAGACTGCTCCACTTTTGTCTTCTCTCACAATGATCTTGGTCCAACCAACATTCTCGTCGACGGTGACAAGGTTGCGATACTCGATTGGGAGTTGGCTGGATACTGTCCATTGGCATGGGTTCGCACCAAGTTTGCCGTCTGCGGAGCGTTGAATGTAAGCCGGGTTCGCGACAATGTGGTGGATATCGATACTGAATACAGAGTGCGAGTTGAGAAGAAGCTTGCAGAGATGGGGTTCCCAGAGGTCACTGAGGCATACGAGAAGATGGACAAGGAACGTTCCGAGAAGTGGATTGCGGCACGTCCATGGCTTCAGTAGACGAGTAGCGTTTCTTCTTGTTTTCCAGTCACACTGGAATTTGAAACCTTTCTACAGTGTATTTGAGTTGACTGTCAAATTCAACGTTAACCCTGTTTGTAGATGAATACATACACAGACTTGAAACTGCCAATGTGAAGAACTTCCATCCTTGCTTTCTACTTGCATCCATCTGAATAGAAAACATTGTGACATTTCGAAATACATATTAAATCATCTTCGAGGGCGATATCGTCTATATGAGTAACAACAATTAAAAAGAAGAAAGAGAAAGAAAGAACTGTCAACCTTGTTGAAGACTCATGCTGAATGATTTGAAATCAACATTGAACATTGAACAAACGATTACTGTACAACTGTAAATAGCCCCAACACTTGCTGACCGAACATTCTCGTTCTAGCAGTCTTGAGAGTGTATTGATAACTAACGCCAAAACCAATGATGGGAGCGGAATCGGCAGCTAGCTGCTTCATTTCCGCGTGGGGACTGGGATGGAAAGATAAAAGGAAGAAGGGAGTTTCAAGAGCTGAGAGCTATGATCTGACCCAGGAACAAGATTAAGATCATACAGAAGTTAATGGGACTTTTTCATCGTTCTCCGGTGATGACATAGTGGCGGAAGGCTCAGCTTTTCCTTTCATTAGGATAACCTTAATAAGGTCCCCTTGGATTACAAAAGATATTCGCTTATTTTCGTTCGCTGTCTTTGATTGGTTGAATAGTCATTTAGGTGTAAGGAGTTCATTTTCATACTTAAGGGATATATGAAGAGAAACACCTTCCTAAACATTAAGCAAAGACGAGTAATGATGTATATATATACGATCTATAGAGAATATATTCATATGCCTATGTAAATGAGTATATAAGCAAGTATGTAACCCATTGCAAAATTATTTTATTTATCCACACATCGAAAAATGCTTTCAAAAATAACAGGCTATACACTCAAACCCTGTAGTTCTCTAGGAATATCTCCTTACCCACTTTGCACTCGACCTCGCCTCAACCTCTTCCTCTACCGCTTCCCCTTCTTCTTTTTTCCTTTTGCAGCCCCGCCACCTGTGACAACCTTCCCACTACCCGGTGCCTCGACACCTTCAAGGGCATCTTCCCTTACAACACCTCCTTGAGTGGTATCCATAGCCTTTTTCTTTCCCTTCTTCCCCTTTGGTCTATAAGAACTTCTATCTTTAAGCGGTAACCATCTCTCCGGATCCATTTTCTTACCCTCCTCGAAATCCCTTGGTAATTTAGACTTGCGCGTCCCTATCGTCTTTTGCTTTTTAGCTGGAGCATCATTTTCTTTCTCATCTAAGGCGCGTTTCTTTAATAGATTGAGTGATTCTGCGGAAGACACTGGGGCGTTATTGGATGGTAGCGTTGGGATACCGGCATTTTCTAATTCTTCAGCGTCGATATCAGAGATGAGTTGGGGAATTGGTGTAAGGGTATCGAGGTCTGAGGAGATTTTGGAGAAGTCGGATGAAGCGTATGAAGCGACACATCCGGCGATTGCGATACGATCGGTAGAATCTTGAGAGCGAAGTGAAGAGAAAATTTCGCCTGCTGCTTTGGAATCTTCAGGATCAGGAGACTCAAGTAGGGAAATACCTGCTGCGTGGAATAGAGAAGGGGAGGGTTCTGATTTCTGCCGCCAATAAGAAGCTGATTTTCCAAGCTCGGCTTTTATAGGGGCCGTGCGACCTGTTGAACGATAGAGAGAGACGAGAAGCGCTACTAAACCAGGTGCATATCGAACATCTTGATCTGAGGAATTAGTAGACTCCTCGAGACGCTTGAAGAATGCTTCTAGAAGGGCAATCGCTGAGCCAGGGTTATTCGTCAAAACGTAAAGTTGTATAATCGTAAGGATTAACCCAACATCATTTGGTCGTTTCTCGAGTAGTCGTAGTATCTGCTTTAATGCGGCTTTTCCCGCTTTGTCTTCTGCATGAGCCGCAGCGTTAAGAACGGAGAGGCTGTTGATCGATGGTGAGACAGTTGGTGATGGCGATTTTGAGATTGCTGACAATGTAGACTTCGCTACTCCCCCATACTTCAAAGCCTGGAGTTCAATTGTGTAATGATTTCGTTCCAGAATGTTCGCTTGGTGCTCAAATTGCTTCTCTCTATGCGACAAGTTGGGGACTGAGTCAAAAATCCGTTTCACGAGGTAGGGATTTTCGATATCGGTTGATGTAGCTAAGGCATTATTTTGGGCAATGATTCTGGTTTGAGGTTCGGGTACACTGTATTGGTCAGCTTCAACGTTTGTGGCAAATATGGCAAACATACTCAGCGAGTGTAATCATCTTTCTTAATACCTCGACCTCCGCAGTTTTGCCCAACTTCGTCAGCACAAATGCCTGTTGTACCATAATAGGTAAAACTTCTGCCCTCTTTTCATCATCACTCAATTCGTCCAGAGCCTCACACAAATCCCTTGCCCGCTTCAACAGGAAGTTTGCTTTGTTATAATCACCCTTAGCAATGTACCCGCAAGCAACATTGTACGAAGTTTCGAACGTCTCTAGATCTTCATTTCTGCTTTTCAATTCACCTTTCCCGCCTTGCCACGCCAATTGCGCTTCCACAGCTAGTCCATTAATCCTCAAATCCATATCCTCAACTTCAGCTCCTGCACTTTCTACAAGCTGCTTGTAAATTTTTTCCGCATCCGCAAACCTTTCAGCACGATACGCAACCTGCGCAGCAACATGTTTCAAGCCCCTACTGTTACCCTCTTCACATACTTTCGCCGCATCTGCCAGTTTCCCTGTCTTGTAGAGAGCATAAGCGCGTTCGAGAATACATTGAGAAGCCAATTTATCTCCACCTTCGTCGAGGGCTTTTAGTGCATCGTCGAATCGATCAAGTTTGAGGAGAGCAATAGCGCGGGTATGCAAGGCATCGGGGTCGAGTTTAGAAGTCTTTAATACGTCATTTGTAGCTTTGAGGATCTCTTCATGGTCTGTAATTGAAGAATTACGAAGGAGGGCGCTGAGCGTTGCTGTTTGATCGGCCATTTTAAACTCTAGGGCGATGGGTTCCTATTTACTGTAGCCATGCGATATGGAGATGGTGTCAAAAGCTTGGGGTAGTGGGGTGCAAGGAGGGAGGTGGACTTGAAAAATAACCGACACCGATCAACTGCTGAGCTAGCGCGGCAGAATTCCACCGCTTTGGCAACTTAATCCGGCACGCGATAGACGAGATAAACCACAGCTCATCTGGGGTTTAGATATATATATCTAACCCTAAAAGACCATTCTGATTGGCAACTTCGAATCTAAATATCGAAGAGTACTACAAGGTTTAATTAAATTCGACCTTGATCTGCGATTTGTTTCCTCTATTGTGTCTCTGAAGTGCTATTCCCATTTAGCTCATAAATGCATGTTGGTATATGTCTCTTTGCAAGTACTCCTAGCAAGCCACTCTTCATTATTTACCTTCTACTACGACTAAGCTATGTTCATTCTCATCCAGCATGCTTCTTATGAGAGAATGCATCAATCTTATATCTCACTCTTCACTGAACAGGAATTGTTCTCTGATACTTTTTAAATTGACTACATCATTAAACTCTTATGAGTCAGACCTTCCCACCGGCGTATAATTCAATTAGCTCTGATACTTTCTTTTTTTTATGTTATCTGGATGCTGTTGATCGTAGAGCTCGGGGTCTTTCTGATGCAACTTTCTGGAATTCTGTTGGTTCTGCCATACTAGGGAATAGTTTCTTTCTCAGTATGATGACGCTTAGAAGGAGACTGTATAGTGATTTCTTTAGAGACTACTTTGCGTTTTGTCGCGGGCGATTGGCAGTTTTTCTGCGCAGATGAATCTGAGGCCAGAGAGGTTGAGGGAGAGGCATGGGAGGATTTGCAGGAGTATGTGAGGGCTGCCTAGGCTTGTGTGTCTGCGTTTGTCTCGATATGTCATCCGATTCACTGGGCGTTATGGATGGCGATGTCCGTTCCATTGCATACCCGCGGTTAACATCTTTCCCTTTCCATTGTATGGTGGGCTGATCTCCTTTACACGACAACATAACATCATCATCTGACGCTATATCGTTGCGTCTGCCAGCCTCAATGTCGTTGTAGAATGAATTGTTCCCATAGGCCCTTTCTTGCGTAGCAACCTCTTCCAACATAATATCAAACTGTTCATCGGCTGCCTGCAATATTGTTTCATAGAATATCGCATACTCTTTTTCCGACATTGCCAAGAGACTCCGCGCTTCTCTCAGCACCATCCGGTTACCCCACTCGACGTAACCAAGTAGTGCATGCTCCACCAAATTGGAGCAAGGAAGACCGATTTCGACAGGAAATTTAGGAAGCACATACTTTCCTCTTTCCGTTATACTGTCATCGAATATTGGAGTAACAGTCCTGTGTGATGCGCACACTTCAGCATAGCACTAGATCTATACCATCTCCGATGCTATTCTTCACATACGCGGTAAGACAGTTCTCGACAGCTTTGTTCTGAGAATCTCCAAATATTCCTACCAGGTTTCCGAATGTGAAACACCAATCGATCGCTTGGTCAGCAGTTATTTCGATCATTGGTAGTGGAATAGTAACCAATCGAAATTCGCCATCCGGTCGTTGGCGACATACATTTCTCCAAAGCTTCAAATCTCTCCGGACCAACTGTTGTGCTGAAGGGAAATAGCAATGGTACAGAAAACCACCAGATCCCCCCTCTAACACGCGGCGGTGATGCCGGTACATTGCAGAACTTTCTACAAGACCTTTTCTTAAACTTTCATGTTGCACTGTGAGCGCAACTCCGGCCAAAATCCCTATGTCAGATACATCACCATAATGTTCAAGGTTGAAACATCCTGGTGAATTCAGTCTTTCTGGCTCTAGAGGCACGTACTTCAAACATCCTAGCGTGTTATCTGGCGCTCTGCCTTGACAATTTCGTGGTGCTTGAACTAAGAATAATGAACGCCGTCTATTCGCATTAAATCAATATCGTTCTTTCGATAATATATTGCCGATAGGCGATTGCGGAGGCTCACATGCTTAATGCGAGTTGTGGTTAGTCCCAAAGCGTTTCCTAGTTGCCGGGTATGATAGAGGCACAAATCGTCCAGTTATCTCAGAACCAACTCGACCATCGTCAACCATCCAACTACCCTAGCAAGATACCCGTCCTCTAGGGTCGAGTACCATATCTCGTTCTCTGACACATCTATACATTGGCACGCTTCTGGTTTCTTATATGTAACCGGCTCATCTTCTTTCTGCTCGACTTGTCTAGTCGTTGTCAGGTGTGCTATCTGCCTGTCCATGGTGCGATATTGCTTCTGATGATAGAGTGATGCCTAACTCTTTCCATTTCTTAATATTAGCTAGCACGGTTTCGATCGGCACTCCATTAGAAGAGATTTCAAAGAGGAAGAAACAACGTTCTCTTTGCATCGGTATAGGCTAGTATAGTTCCTACTTAGCATCCTGATCTTGTTGAATCGAAGATTGAACTCTCGTGCATCTGATTTCCCACACAAGTTCATGTCTTTTGCCATCTAGGACCTTTATCACATCAGCAAAATCCGATGGCATTAAACAACGGTCTGTTCTTCGCCCTGCTCTCGAAGTCTCGCGATCAGTTGTCTATTGGGCAAGCAGACAGCTCGTTCCGGTCCGCAAGCCTCCACAATCTTATTTAGGTCCAAAATCAATCGCCTTCCAAAGAGATTTATGACCGTCCTGGCTAGTGCCATGCCATTTGGCCACTTGCCCCAAGTCTTACCAAACATTCTTACTGCTTTTTCCCGTCTAGCTCGATCCTCTTCGACCTTTTTTACCGCATCCACATTACCAGCTTCGTGCTAGCGGCGAGATATCGGTGGCTGTATGGTGGTCTTCGCTAGAAATATCTTTGGGTATCGATTTCAGTATCGCCTCGTTATCATTAGCAAGACCCACGAGAAAATTGTTTAATTGAGTATGGGCCTCATATCGAAGATTGACTGAACGTGACACACGGTATTCGAGTGCCTCCATGGAAGAGGCTAGCGTCTTTCCGCCAATCGTGATATCCGAAGTTTTCTCCAGCATAGCCGACTGGGAGGAAGGGTCCTTGGATTCTCCCCTAAATTCATCCGCGCCATTCTTATACTCGTCTGTGTAACTGGGCTTGGAATTATTAGCTTCAAATTATTCAAGAAGGATTGATAGCACGTCGATCGATGACAATGATGTTTGTATCATCATGAGCATATCGAAAGTATATTACAGGTAATCATTAATAGTCTTCTATTTCACAATTGAGAGTCGTACCACAATATACACTAGTCGCATGACTACTGTTATACTCACTTGTGTCGTGTCAAAAGGTTATTTAATAATAATCGTAATATCTTTATCTTGAAAAAAGTATTAGCAAGAGAAATGAAAGCACTTCCTTCGCTTCCTCAACTATTCTAATCCCGTCTTCTCATTTTGTTCCACTGCTTTTGAGAGATCTGCATAACTTCAAAATATCAAAGAACATGTGGTTTCTGACTCGATTTTGGGATGGGCATAGTAGGGACACCAATAAATCCGTCGTACTAGAACCTGCGAGGGACGACCACACACCTAACTCTCGATACAACATCGAACATATACAAGTAGGATGCCACAGGCAGATAACTATATTCTCGATGCAATCTTTAGCATCACCGATTGCAAAACCCCACAATAGACTCGCTGCGTTGTCCTCCAGCTTTCAATTCCGGAGATCCTAAAGACTCGCTATGCGCAATAGTTTCTATAAAATCGACATGACGACAAAAACCTCCAAGTCTAAACGCTAGCTCAGAATTCGAGGATAAACAATAGGAACTGTGACAGCATCTACTTACTGAATATGAACACAACCTCGAGAGAAATGTCATAAAGAGAATCACCAAGATGCCTAAAAGTTACCGGGTAGTTAGTTCATCGTCGATATTGGTCTCAAGTACACTAATAGGGAATGATGCTGACGCATCCTTGACATCTTTCTTGTTAGATATTCTTTCACGATGGCAAATTATTTGCTACTAGTATCATACCTATTTTTGTTTTTAGGGGTTGTTTCATCTAGCAAAGTATTAAGCGATTTCTGACTCTCCGAGGAGAGAAATTCGACGATAGGAGGGTAATAAGGTATGCGTTAGAAGTGAAACAAGGAGATACAAGCGGACACTCTTGCCACGGGTTTCTTTTTGAATGCTGTGAATTATTCGTCGTAACTAGCGTGACTTTGTTTCTATCCTTGGTAACATAGTTTGTTCGATTATGTCGAGGAAACTCGGATAAAGTTTGACATTTTAGAATTTGGGCTATCACATTGCGCTCCGCAGTATATGGTTATGTCATTGGTGTCTAAGCGAAGCACCTTCTACCCTGCGACATTTTATCAGGTTTTTCCCTTCTATACCTCAAGCACAATTCAGAGCATCACATAACATCATCGACATGAAAATAACAGGAACCAAGAATTCCACAACCAATCAAAATTTATTCATGAATCATAACCTATTGTTGCTCCCTAGGTTCCACAACTCCATCTAAGCCCCAAAGTTTTGATATTTTGTTTAAACCGCCTCATCAGCAGCCACACTCTCATAAGCACCTCCATCATCCCCACCCCTTCTCATCTCCATCCTCGATGGCGTCTCATACATCTTCGTGTAATTAATTACCTGACCACCCAACATTGCAGCACCATTTTCTCTCTTCCCAAAAACTGGCGCAGGATCACACCAGAAATCTTTACAGTTGCGGACGCAACCACGAGAAAATGGGTTCTGGGGTGCCCGACGTCGATTCTTGCTTCCTTCGTAGCCATGGAACGCGGTTTCGACAAATGTGTCCACGCCGAGAATTTTCTTCCATTGTGCAAAACAGCCAGCTTTATGGGCGTGATGATGACCATGGCCGCCTGGTGCGTGGGTTGGAGGTAGAGCGGGATCGGGGCCAAGTCCAGTGTTTCCGATTTGACTGCCTGACCGCGAGGTAGCACCTGTGGTAAGAGCATTGGTGATTGCTTGGGAAGCTTTGCCTCCTGAGTGTGTACCACGCATATTTTCCCAAGTGGTCATTGCTCGTGAGATCTGGATCAGTTGGACGAATAGTAACATAGTGACCCATGTTAATTGTAAAATTGCCCACAATACCAAGACCAAAGTGTAGGAGTCTGAGTTGACAATACCGCATAATGAAGGCGAAAGAATGTTACACTCTTGTTCGCCTTTCCCAGCGAAACCTTCAAAGTCTTCATCTTAATTAGCATAATTTTCAAAACCTTGAATTTGTACTTACATCCGATAGTGACTCTGACTAGGGAGATAATTCCAAGCTGCAAGCACACCAAATAAAGAAAGAAATGTCTATGGTTATTGACACCGACACAGTTGTTGATCCAAGGGCAATGGCTAGGTTACCGCATTAACGAAAAGATTGAAGAAAGAGGGGATAGGTTGTGCTTACTGGTCATGCTTCGCTACGCATCGATTGCATCGCCTGCAATGTTTACTTCTCAGGGGTTGTCTAACCATGCAATGAACGCAGAAGTTATGCTCATCGAACTTCCATGCGCTTAATAACTCATCAATTACAGCTTTCTGTTGAGTTAAACCACCCAGTTTTGGCACAAAACCAGGCTCGTATACCATTGAACAAAAGTAGAAATATCCAGTAAGACTGTAAAAGGTGAAGAATAACAAATTCGAAAGAGGATAAGTTCCATAGGTAGCTAACAATTGTTAGTATAGATCCGATGAGAAACAGATTCCGCATTACAAACCTGGTAACAAGGTTGTTAACCATCGTACGCCAACCCAAAACAATGTAGCTGCAAAAATTCCTGCAAGCCAAGGCTAAATAGACATAGTTTATTAGCGAGGCTCTTGGAGCTAATGTAGAATATCTCCTTGGACATACCGTTTTATGCAGGTGCCTCATATCTGAAGGAGCATACTCTAATAATTGCTGGGCTAACCACTGTAATGAATACCCAAAAAACAAAGCCATAGGCACCCCGATAAATACTACCATTTGACTACTGATCATAATCATAGACCAAAGTATTAGGAAAGGCCAGAAAAAGAAGAATTTGTTCATGAATGCACGCTTGTCCTTCAACAACCACGAAGACATCGGGAAGCTGATAACAACTGGTTTGGCATCCTCATCGTAGCCACTCTCTGTTAGAGCCTTATGCCAGATTCTTTCTGTTTTTCATCTCTTGAGCTGTGATAGCCGGGGTTTTGCCAGTCGAGGTTTCAGCAAATCTATCCGCTCCGTACTCTATTAACTTTTGTATGCACCCCTGGGAGCCCTTAACCAACGCCCAATGCAGTGCAGTAAATCCAGTTTCGTCCGTAGCATGAACATCCGCGCCCCATCTCAAGAACAAATCCACACAACTTGGTAATCCCTTGTACGCCGCCCACATCAAACAGGTGTGACCTTGGGTATCGAGTACGTCGACATTGATGTTTTGGTGTAACAGAAGAACAAGTAGGAAGATATTCCCTTCAAACGTAGCAAGATGAAGAATGTTGTATCCTTGAACATCCGTAATCAGAGGATCGGCGCCATTTTCCAGTAACAAGTGAACAACATAATAATGGCATCTCTGAGCGGCCCACATGGCTGCTGTAGCTACAGACTCTCCTCCTTTCTTATTCACATCTGCACCAGCTTTCAAAAGGAATTGGCACATGGCATACTGATTATTAATAGCCGCCCACTGTTTCAGTCTGTTAGCCAGGGGAATCTAACACAATAGGGTCGAGTCGCACATGTAAAGGCGTTATACCCTCGCCGTCACAATACGTAGCATCAAAAGTACCATTGTCAAGTAGCTTCTCCATCGCTTGAATGTCTCCTACCCGAGCGAGTTGCATTATATCTGCGGGCCGCTCTGGAGGTGTCATATCACCGAGCTCTACATGATTATCCTCACTAAGGGCCGGCGCCACAACGTTCGACTTTCCACTTGGCATTATCGGGGCATTTTTCTTCGAGGATTCCGTCCCCGAGGAGGGTTTCGAGTCTCCGAAGGCCATGACAGTACCACAGGCAGTCTGGACTAACGGTGTTGGAGGGGTGTCGAGGAAATGAAATCAATTATAGTATGTAGGGTATCTCAATCATCAATCGTGAAATTTATGACAACATCAACATAATTATATAGCGAAGCAAAAAAGTCAATAATAACGGAGAAAAAACACGGAGTGAGGATCTTTATAACTGAAAAGCTGATGAGTTGTGTTCAGTGGCTCCAATGGAAATTGTATTGCTTACAAGTACGAGGCTGAGTACCCGTTGCTACTTTATTTTAATCTCTGGGCTTGCCTCATTGTAGAAATGCTGACGAGGGGGCACGGCTGATTTTTAATAGCACAGCTCAACATGTGGACCCCCTAACTCCTGCACATAGCCATCACCACAAAATTATTTCCATAGCCTTGTGTAGGTTAAAAGAACACAACACCATCATTAGCAAGAGGAACCACTTTGGAATATCACCACTTATCGAACTCATAGACTTCTCTATATGTACCTCGGATCTGCGGTACTCTTCGAAGTCTTTGAGCGTCAAGTTTCTCGATAACAAGGGTCTATTATTCTCGCAGTCATGTCTTCGCAGGATTGGGTTCAAATGCTTTTGAATCCTTCGCCTTTGGTTTTGATCATCACAATTATCACAGCCCTTTTAATACCAATATTCCTCCACTCTGTTGTCTTCCGTGCAACGGGTTTCACAAGCTTACCTTCGATCTTGTTGATTGGACCAAGCGGCTCAGGAAAGACCGCGCTTCTTACTCTTGTAAGTAATCTAAAAGAACATACATTGTCGCATGAGGTGAGTAGTCAGTCATCACAAACACTGATAATCGATAATAGTTCGAGCGAGAGAATAAACCTGCCACGACTCATACTTCTCAAACGACTTCATCTGCCGAGTGTTCTCTGCCGGTCGAGACAATAGCTGCTTCAGACAAATATCGATCAGTCAATGATCCAGCAAATCAAGTGCATAAAAAGTTCATCTTAATTGATACTCCCGGCCATGGAAAACTACGACATCATGCTTTCGAAAACCTTAAAACTTCTCAAAACCTTCGAGGTGTAATATATCAAGTTGATGCCACTACATTGGGCGCTGGAGATGAGGGTTTAAGAGAGGCTGCAGATTATTTACACGATCTACTCCTTCTCATGCAAAAGCTCATGGATGGAAAAACCACTACAAAGGCACCTAAAGAACTGCCATTACTCATCGCTGCCAATAAAATGGATCTTTTTACTGCTCTCCCGGCCGCCTTAGTCAAAAGTAGTTTAGAGAGAGAAATTACCAAAGTTAGAATTTCGAGATCAAAAGGTCTACTCGATTCGGGAATGTCTACCGAAGAGGACGAAGACAAAGATGAATGGCTCGGCGAAATGGGTTCTAGCGATTTCAAATTTTCACAAATGGAGGAATTCAACATTTCTGTTGAAGTAGCTGGTGGTAATGTAGTTGGATCCGATGGTGGATCAGTTGATGCTTGGTGGAGGTGGGTAGCTAATAGATTATAAGCGAACGAAGCTTCTTCCACATTTTAATACAGTAGGTATGTAGCTAGCTCATCTAATACCCCTCATGGACCTCATTTATACTGCTCTTTTACGTGAATAGCTCGTAAGGTCAATTAGGCTGATGAAAACCCCATATTTAAGCATCCTAAGTTATTGTTATAGATAGGATATTTCCTAATATGCTTCACAAAGAAGCTTGTCTGAGCTCTAGCTGTTAACCTATCATCATACGCGATTCAACCTTAGAGCTAGCCAGTTCCCATTCATTGTAACAATCATCTCAAATCCCAAATCGAACTGTTCGTCTCGAACATGTCTCTCTGAACATGCTATGGATATACTGTCTTCTTCAATTCATTTTCTTATTCTTCCCTTAAGCGATTGATCTCTCTGGCAATTCCCTTACTTAAGGACGTCATCAATTTAAGTTTCGCCAAGATCTCTTTCCCTTCGTTTTGCAAACCATACTCCCAGTGTCCGATCGACAACAGTTCTTCGAAATGTCATCGAGCTTTCAATTCCCTCCTACTTATGTTTTTAGATTTCTTCTTGGTGATGAGGAAATAAAAGAGTTGGAGGATGGATTGGATAAGTTTAATGCTTTGCGATACACAGTCCAGGAAGCCCAGGTTGGACTTACAAAGATCCCAACAAAGGCGAGAGTGGAATTTGAGTTAAGGAAGCTAAAGTTTGCAACAGTGGATGTCACGAATGTAGAGAAAAAGACAGAAAACCTGGAGGAAGTGAAGTCTGAGGTGAAGGAAGTCGTGGGAAAGAAGAGGAAAGCTGGAGGTGGGAATAAGAAGCAGGCGCGGAAAAGTACATTGAATGAAAATGGATATGAAGTCATCGAACTTAGTTCCAGTGAAGAAGATGATGATGACGAGGAAGAAGGAAATGGGGAAGTGACTAGAAAAAAGTTGAAGTCAGCTGACGGGACGGGTTCCCCAGTACCATCTGGAAGTTTGTATGGACGAGAGACTGTCAAAGTTCAACAGGGTCCCAAAATACCAGACGCTCTGAATTTTCAAAATACTTTCAAAGTTTTGAACAAAGATTGGTATTTTGATTCAGTGAGAGAGGGCAAGTTACTCCCAATGGATAACTACCTGATATATGAAGGACGACGAATAATGGAACCACCGAAAATCCTTTCATCAGATATTCTGACTCGCGCAGCAGCCGATATTAAAAGCTACCCCAATCCCAAATACAATCACTATTATCGACACCAACAATCAAGCAAGCCACTGACCAGGCCTACCCTTCTCACACAAACCACCTCCGAACATGACGATCCCGAGCATTATCCACCCCTACCAGAATACCTCATAACACATTATTCATGCGAACGACCCACTCCATTGACATCGCCAAACGATGATTTCCTCACTCAACTCCAATCCATCAAGTTAAAACGTACCCTAGACGGCGACCAAATTGGCGTTCGCGCATACAGTACCGCTATTGCCTCAATAGCAGCATACCCCTATGTCCTTACCTCACCCAATGAAGTTATCCGTCTCCCCGGATGTGACCAAAAAATTGCAAACCTCTTCCTTCAATACCAAAACACAGGCACCATAGATGAAGTCGTCGAATTTCAAAATAATCCACGCATGGAAGTTCTTCGCCTCTTCCACAATATCTGGGGTGCAGGCGACGCCACCGCCCGCGATTTCTACGATAAGAGGGGCTGGCGCGATCTCGACGATGTCATCGAATATGGCTGGGACAAACTAACACGCGTCCAACAAATCGGCGTAAAATACTACGATGAATTTCTGCTTCCGATTCCCCGCGCTGAAGTCGAAGAAATTAGTTTCATTGTTCTTACTGAAGCGAGAAAAATTGATGAAGGGTATCAAATGGTTATAGTAGGAGGATACAGGAGAGGAAAGGAGAATTGTGGAGATGTGGATCTTATACTCACGCATCCGGATGAAAAATTCACGTTTAATTTTGTATCGAGATTAACCGAACGATTGGAGGACGTAGGATGGATTACGAATATTTTATTGAAATCGACGCGGAATTCGGAGAGAGGACAACATGCGGTGGATTTGAGTCGTGCGGAAGGTGAAAGGAGTCATGGGGGTTTTGATACGCTGGATAAAGCTCTAGTCGTCTGGCAGGATATTAATTTTCCCCAGCCCTCCCAATCTCCCTCCCAACCCTCTAGATCTCAAACTAAACCACCAAAAATCAAAAATCCAAATATTCACAGAAGAGTCGATATCATTATAAGTCCGTGGAAAACAGCAGGTGCGGCGATTATTGGTTGGTCTGGGGGCACAACTTTCCAGAGAGATTTAAGGAAATATTTTAAAGAGAAGAAGAATTGGAGGTTTGATAGTAGTGGGATTCGCGATCGGAGGACGGGAGAGTGGATTGATTTAGAGGGGTGTGTGGAGGGGAGCGGGGAGGGAAAGTTGAGGGAAAAGGAGATGGCGGTTTTTAGGGGCGTGGGTTTGCAGTGGAGGGAGCCGTGGGAGAGGTGTACGGGGTAAGCTGGGGGAAGACGTTTAGCGGAGTGTGGAAAATGTGTTATGTGTAATTAGTTATGGGTTTAGTTATTATTATGCTATAATGAGTATACCTAGTACTCCTATCCATGAGGGAACGCCGAGAAAGTCGGTACAGTATCCATTACTTCTCTCCATATGACCCAACTCCAAACCTACTCATAAACTGCAGATATAAAAATTGAGATGAACCATGAATATCTCTACTTCTTTTTACTTCTACTAGTACCCCCGAGACTGCCATATAATAAAATATCACAACACGCAACGAGTAAACCAATCTCCAAACCTCTAAACCCCAAAACCAGGAGATCATTCAGTGTATTCCACTATCATTCTAGTCCTTACTTTTTTGTATGAGGATATTGAAAGGAAGTATGAGGGTAGTATGAGGGTAGTATGAGGGTAGTATGAGGGTAGTATGAGGGTAGTATGAGGGTAGTATGAGGGTAGTATGAGGGTAGTATGAGGGTAGTATGAGGGTAGTATGAGGGTAGTATGAGGGTGGTATGAGGGTAGATAAGTAATCCAGACTTGGAAACATTAATTGAATAATCATTAGATTTATATTTAAAATTGGAATAAGAATTGGATTGATATCGACAAGTGCTACGAGGTAGATATCCAGACTCAGAAACTTCAATAGATAGTTATAGTTATAGTTATAGTTGGAATTAGGATTGGAATCCAAAAGGACTACCCGTATGGATATTCAAATTCTTTGAATTTTTTAGATTTTTCTTTAGAATATATTAGATACATATGAGTTTGGATATTGAAAAGTGCTGGGTCGTTCAGGCGCTTTGGTTATTGCATCATCTGAACTAGTTGTAGAACATTGGGAATTACTGAGACATTTAAGTCACTTGATTATTACGTTGTTAGGTCTGAATTGGAATATTGAAAGTGCTGTAAGGCTAGGTATCCACAGTCACTCGAGCGGTGAAAAAGGGAAGAGTAATACAGCGCAAGTGGTATTTCTAATCAAGGAATTTGTTTACTAAACAGCAAACTCCTGTGAACTATTCCTTCATGGTAGACCCATGTGAATCATCATGTAATCGCATCAAATCGTGTCTGGATAGAACTTCGAAAGGAAAATTACTGAAATTCTTTCCATGTATCAAATTTTCGAAATCATATTACGCAAGTCTGAGAAGGATTAGTAAGAAAAGCTTGAATTCACAATTGAAAACTGACCTTTCAATCAAATGCAAACCAGAAGCAGTCTCAACTACATGGCTAACTTCACCTGGCTTCAAGGCAAAAGCTGCTTCCTCAAACTCTTTCTGCATATCCCCTCTTCCAAAGAAACCAAGATCTCCCATCTTGCGAGCAGAGCTACAATCAGATTCCCTAACGGCGAGATCCCCCAATGATGTAGAACCAGAACGAATATGAGCTTCGTGTTGAAGAATAATACTCATGGCCTCCTCCTTTGTGCGTGTGATTTCAGCCTGAAGCTTTATTAGACAAATACTAATCACACATACGAGATTTAACTGTCGGAAAAGACGAAAACAATGAAACAGTTCTTTAAAAACTAACCTCGCGCCAACTGCTCGGTCGTCTACTACCCTTATGCTTAACCAATAAATGGCTAGCTCTAATCTTTCCATGGTTCTCATCTTGACCATTGGCACTATCCCCAATCTCTGAGACACTGTAGTTCTCAGCCATATATGCCTTCAACTTTTCGGTATCAGTGTTTGCTGGAGGCTCCCAGCTTGATATGGTTTGGGCTTCGTTGAAATAATAAGGGATGTTCTTAGATTTCGATGTGCGAACTTCCCATCCTGCTGGTAGACCTGCGTCTGCCTATGAATTGGGGGTCAGTAAAGCTTAATTGCATTATACGATGGAGTCAAAATGTTCGAAACGAAAGTAAACATTCAATAGAAAGAACAATCCAAAAGGAAAGTAAACATTCAATCAAGGGAAAACTTTACCATTGTGTAACTGTTTCTAGATTTAATGTGCTACAAATCAAATAATTCAAATTTGTGATGAAGATGATGAGTCCTTTGCTATAGATATCTGTGATTGTATTTGTATACTTGATTTTCTTGATTGTATTTTTTTAAGAGGAAGAGGCGCGGAAGATGCATCAAGTATTGACTGGAAGATAATGTATGTCTTGGTCACAGGATGAATCGAATTAAGTTTAGTGGCGGGCGGGGTTTCTTTCTTTAGTAACCTTGGAACCAAACGTTTCCACCAAGTCAACTTTTTTGGAACTTTGGAATTTGATTAACTAGGATCACAAAATAGTTCTAGCCAAATCCACATCGAAATCCACTCGAGCCATAATCCATCATCGACATTTCTCATCAACGCGACGCAGCGAAATTCATTACAATATCAAGGAAGAGATAGATTTATTTCTTTCACGATTGAATTATCGACTTCAGCAACTTGCAGGATTCAAAGACCGAGGTTTGTCAACGGGAATTATTACAATTCATCTATTGCGACAAGATTATCGACATCTTAAACTCTTTCAAAAAGCATCATCATGGCATCTCCATCATCCAGTTCAGGCGATGAGCACAAGAAGAATGAGGAACAAATCACTTTTAGATTTTGTAGTGAATGGTAAGCTTCTATTGCGTCTTCAGCAGATTTTGTCGCATCTGCTAATCACTTTCTAGTTCAAACATGTTATACCCAAAAGAGGACCCCGATACTCACCGTCTACAATTCGCATGCCGTACTTGTCAGTATTCAGAGGAAGCTGTCTCCTCTTGTGTATTCAGAAATATTCTCAATAACGCCGTTGGTGAGACTGCTGGTGTGACTCAGGATGTTGGATCCGATCCCACTGTGGGTTTACCCTTATGTCTTTTGTGCGGCCATGTGGTCATTTGTGAGGGAAGGGCGTCGAGTGCAATGGGTGTAGAAGAGGTTTCACAGTGGAAGGGGGAGGGTTAATGAATAGAGTTGTGCGGAAGTTTTGATGGCTGTTGTGGTCTCTTTGAAAACCTCCGCTGACATGCCAACTTTCTTTTGTTCTAGCTTCCACGATCAAATAAGACTTGTCCTGCTTGCAGGAACGAGGACGCTGTATTTTTCCAATCTCAACAGAGATCTGCGGAAACAGGAATGGTAAGCTAAGCTACAGCATTTATGAGTATTAATAAGCCCTGCTAACGAGAAGTCCTAGAAACTTTTCTACGTGTGCTGTGGGTGCGGTCACATCTTCCAGTAATACCCTGGGGATTTCGGTTTCGAGGAAGGCGTTGTTATCTGGGAGAGCAGGCTTATGGAGTCTGTTGCATGGATTAGGGATACATAAAAAATGTCATGAGTTTTTGGGGCATGTCAATCAATACGGGAGGGAATATATTTTTATTGTCCAATTTCCTTCAAAACGCCGGGTTTGCTATGCTACACTTATTCCTTTTCATACAATGATGTCTATAGATGCATAGGAGCCAGTGATAGAATTTTTGACCACTTCATCTTTCTTAGCTCTGTGCCAACCACACCTACATATTGTTAACAAAGAAAACGCAATTGAGGATAGTCGACGCAACTAACCATTTAATCTCGTCCCAATGGGCTCTCCGGCTTTGTTAATCAAAACACATGCATTATCATCGAATTTGACAACACTTCCGTCTGGTCTCTGTAGTTTCTTAACTGTCCTAACCACAACAGCATGTCTAATATCTCCTCTTCTGACCTTGTTTGCCGCCGATGTGGAAACACTTGCACCGGGGCCGGATTCCGAGAAGTTGCGTTGCTTTTGTACTACGACTATAATGCGATCTCCTGAAAATTGGGGTCAGACTCGAGGATCGATGAGGTCAAGTTAAGAGACTGATCGTGAGGGGTATGATGTTGAGAGGGGCTTCGTAAAGAAAGTTAAGAGGGGTTCGAACCAATCTTCGCATGCCTCTTCATTTTTAAGACCTTGGCGCATTCTACCACTGCGGCACCAGAATTGTCGATGCAATTAAGCATCGTCTATAGTGTGAGAGTTAGCAAAATAGAAGTAATGCGCGGGAAATAGTAAGTGTATTTTATGTATGCGCCAGGGAAGCAATGAGTCCAAAGCAATGAGGGTATTTTGGTATTTTGTACATGCGCAAGACACAGTTGAAGTGATGAGTGAAAGAGAATGGGAGTATTTTATATATACGCAAGAGAACAATCCTTCACACATACCTTTAATTGAATCATCTTGTGGACAATACGATGGGTCGAGGGGTTCACTTCCGTATTGCTAGAGATTCTTCGTCTCTCTCTCTGATATTGTCGCTATCTCTATCGCTTCTATTGTCATCGTCAAATTATTAGGACACTAGTCTATATTTGGCATAGGCGATGTTCACCCACGCCTCAATAATCCAAGGTTTCTATTTCCAGCCTCTTTTAACTATTGTCCCATCCTATCAAGACTGACTGGGTAATAGGGGTGGAAAATTATACTTCATCCTCTATTTGAACGTCATCATGTATCTTACACGAAACAATTATTTCTTTCCTGCTTACTTTCTTTCCTCGTTCTCTTACCGTTTGAAGCCTTTCCGTGTTCTCCAATTTTCAAATCCCTCATAACGTTACTCTTAGGTTCAGCACATAAGTATTTGCTCTCCTTCATTCTACTCGAGCAAGCAAAGTTCGAGGGGGAAAGTCGTCCGCTTAGAAGAAAGTGAATGTATCACAGGTCACAAAACCAGCTCGAATATCTTTGTCGTAGGAGACGAATTACTTGAGTCACTCATTCTGATATTTTGATTTACAAACCGTACATCCATACACTCATTTGGATATTTAACAATCTTCTCGAGTCCCTGTCAGCAATTTCATCTTCGTACAACATTATCCTCCTCTTCTCTCGGCATGAACGTTGGCTTTTTTGTAGGCATACCTTCTGTACACCTTACATCACCTCACACACCACTCCAACCGTCAAAATGCCACCGAAAGCAAATCAATTGAAGAAGGAGCGACTTACCCTGGCTCAATTGTGCTCATACGATGATATATTGACAGATGCGCTTGTTGACCAAGTAAGCTTTCTAAAATAGTTTTTTAATTTATAACTTCTAACAATAGCCGACAGGTTTACTATTGGACCAATATTCGCAAAAATCGCGTCGCATACCATTCCTCTCGTGGAGTTAGAGAGGAAGATGTGACCAAAATACTTCAAAATTCAGTGATCATTGAGAAGAACACCACAAAAGCAGAGTCGCAACTTTTAGCACTTCCAGGTCTTAATAAATTCCAGCAAAGTCTCAAGTCGGAAAAAGAGAAGGAGGATTTTAGACGCCATTTAAAGAAGTACATCAATATTTATCTCCCAGATTGTCCATTCGAGGTTTCGAGCACAAATCGATATACCGTTGTTACACATGAAGCGGCAATTGTTGCACGGAGGGAGATTAGGAAAGGGGAAGTGGTCAAATATCTTTGTGGCATCCAAGTTGTCATGACACCCGAGGAGGAAGCACATATTAATAATAGTCGCAGAGATTTTAGTATTGTCATGTCAAGTCGCAACAAAGCCGCATCACTATTCTTAGGACCAGCTCGATTCGCAAATCACGACTGTGGCGCAAATGCTCGTTTAATGACGACCGGAAGTGCCGGAATGGAGATTATCGCAGTGAGGGATATTGAAATCGGGGAGGAAATCACGGTCACATACGGAGACAGCTATTTTGGCGAGGATAATTGCGAATGCCTATGCAAGACTTGTGAAGACAATCGCGAAAACGGATGGGCCCAGGACACTGATGATAGCAATGAGACAATTCCCAAATTATCGATTGAGCATGAACCGACACCCCTCGACACACCTGGTTATAGCCTTCGACGCAGACGACGACTCCCCTCTTCAGTATCTGGATCACGATCCGAATCGATGACACCTGACGTCAATCTACGACCACAAGTACGGAAACTGCCTCCGAGGTCACGTAGATCAGCTTCTTCGGCTCGCAATGGACGCTCGTTTGCTATGGAGTCACCTTCATCAGAATCGACTCTGCCTGGATCTAATGTAGACGAGGCTAATGATGACAACCTTTTATCACTAGCAAAATCGTTAAAGCGAGTGCCTAGCGGAGATGACTCTGCAGCGGCGACCCCGAAAAGACGGCGGGTATCTCAAAGTATTGAACGTTCACCATTAAGGCTGCTACGTGGGCTGGATGAATGTGAGCTTTTTAGTTCCCCGGGTTCAGATATACTCCAACAAAGCCTTTTAGTTGAATGGGAAGAACCAGTGACACCAGGAGTACCGGAGCCAACGATTGATCGCGGAAGGTCTCGACCATCAAGGTCAAGCACACTTAAGCGAAAGAGAGACTCTGAGGAACCATCAGCTTCACCATCGGAAACGATGAAACGACCAAAGAATCAACTGATTGTGAAGGTGGAAGAATTTACTCCTACCTCGTTCTACGGAAATATTAGCAGTACCGCGTTGCCAAGTTCTGCTTCGGAATCTAGAAGAGCTAGTATTACATCGTCACCTTCGGGCGAGGGAACAGGTGAAACTGATGCAACATCAGTTGACGAAGAAACGATCGTGGTGCGTGATGAGAAACCTGCTTCCGTTGGCCCGAAAGCTAAACGACAAGGTTATGTTAAGCGAGGAAACCATGGAGGTCGAAGAAGAGGACCACTATGGGAAAAGGAGAAGTTGGAGAAGGCCAAACAATCAAATAAGGTGTCTTCGGTGATGCAAAGGGCAGCTAGTGCGCCGCGGGAAGCTGTTCTTGTCAGTCCAAATACCAGCAGACAGCATCCAGCGTTACAGGATGATGCAGACTCATCTGCACTTTCCGACCTTGGCTCCGACATGGAAATTGATGACTCAACCATGACAATCTCGAAGAAACTACCGCAACCTAAAATTCGACGTCGTCGAAGAGGGGTAGTCCCACCACCAACAACAGACTTGGATCATGCGCCAAATGTACGGATTCCTGGCGACTATGTACTTACACATGCACTCCTTGCTGAACCAGCTTCAGCATGGATTAACTGCAAAATCTGTGAAGAACCTTTTGTTCAAAAAGATGCTTACTTTACGAGATCATCTTGTCCGAGATGTGAGAGACATAGTAAGTTATATGGATACATGTGGCCTAAAACAGATAAAGAGGGGAAACATGATGAGGAGGAAAGAGTTCTGGATCATAGGACTGTTCATCGATTTATTAAATCTTCAGAAGAAAAAGACATTAGGAGGAGAATTGGACGTGGAAGTACTGGAAGTCGTGAGGTCACAAAAGAGGCTAGTGCGACTCCGGTGGTATCTGCTAAAGGTGACGGGAATAAGAAACCCAAGGGAGGTTTACTGAAGGTCTATGGGAGGAAAAGTGAAAGAACAAGGAGGGACAGATTCACATTGTAAAATATTTGGATGATGTGGGAAGGATAGAAAGATATGGGTCACATTACGATATGATAGATGATGATGATGGTTGGGAATAGGGATGAGGTCTTCGCTCTTGTATTTGATATTGTTTTGATATTATACATTCGTGGCAGGATGTATGAATGTAACTACTGCGGAAAGGAGTGGTCTGGTCTGGTGTTCGGAAATAGGGAATAGCGTTTTAAGCGATTACTTATTTATTTACTTACGGAATGAAATGAAATGGATTGGATGGGAATGAAATGATGCATGGAATAAATAGTATTGGTACTAGTACTAGTAGTAGTAGTAGTACATGAGAAATGGATGGATGGATGGATGGATGGATGGATGGATGGATGGATGGATGGATGGATATATTATAGACTCAGCTCAGTGTGGTTTGAGGAGAGAATAAGGAGCTGTGTTGTGTTTTGTTGATTAGGCAGAGGGAAATTTAAAAGGAAATGAACTGTGTATTATATACGAGAGTCAGTGTAGAGTGTACTGTGTAGAGTGCAGAGTAGAGAGAAGAGAGAAGAGAGAAGAGAGAAGAGAGAAGAGAGAAGAGAGAAGAGAGAAGAGAGAAGAGAGAAGAGAGAAGAGAGAAGAGAGAAGAGAGAAGAGAGAAGAGAGAAGAGAGAAGAGAGAAGAGAGAAGAGAGAAGAGAGAAGAGAGAAGAGATGATATTTGTGATTAATAATGTTATTTTAGTGGGTTTTTATCATATTATATTGTATTACATTGCATCGCACTATATAAGGGTTAAATGGGTGTATAGATAGTTTTCGATGATGTATTATACGATTATATTGTGTATTATAAGAATCAATCTCAATTAATAAGTATGTGATAAATAAATAATAAACTACTCATTCACATTTAAATTCAAATAATACCGCCCAGTGCAAAAATTTCTGAGTGCTTGATATAAATTTAATAAGATAGGTATCCTATTAAATAGATAGCTATATAGTACAGTACCCATGCATTAACTATCTACCTAGCTAGTTATTATATGACATAATATAACATATTATGATATGATACAATGATACATATGAACATTCTAATAGTAAGTAAGATTACAAGGAGAATGAATATCCACTCCTCCCTTTTCCTAGTTGTTCATATCATATCTCTCTCCACTTTCATCTTCATCTTCCTCTTGCTCTTCCTCTCCATCTTCCTCTTTACCAATAGTATTCCTTCTAGTCTGTGTCTGTTATACCAACTCCTTGTCATATCAAATCCTATCCATTTTGCTACCAATATCGTGACCATTAGAATACCCATTTTTGCTCCACATGCATGCATGCATGTCATGACTTTTGAATTTTTTATCCAGATACATAGTCAGTCGCCTATACATACATACCCATCATGAATTTTCGCAAATAGCTAACTACAAAAAATGCGTCCTGCGAAAATAACCCAATTCAACTCAACTCAACCATTTTAAAGGTTCTTAAATTCCACTTTGACGAGATCTCTTTCGTGAGCTGCCCGGTGTACCATGTGATGGATGCATTTTTTCGTTCTTTTCCCTCTTGAGCTTTTCGTCCAGTACACGTGCTATTGTCTATTAGTATTCGTTCAAAAACACACGAACTCGAACATCATCCCATCCATTTTCCCAATCTTCGTCTAGGACCGATATTAAAAGAAAAGATAGAAAAATAAAATACTCACTCAAAACATCATAACCAAACTGTGGAAACTCCAAACACATCTCCCTAAATTCCGTCTCCGCCTCACTCCTCAAAGTATGACTCCTCGTCGCCCAAAAATTCGCCACCGGCGCCCTAATCGTCTGATCATCCTTTTGCGTATGCGCATACACATATCTCGCATAAGCAATCTCTCCCTTCGCCGTACTATTAATGCAATGAATCTTGCTACTGGCCAAACACTTCAAACTCGGAAGTTGCAGCATTTCCGCCAAGGTATACACGCGCGCATGTTTAAGTAATTGATCACCTGACTCATCAACATCCGGCATAGCAGGATCATGTTCTAAATCTCGCGATCCGGGAATTTTGCGCGGGAAGTAATCGTTGGTGTAGAGGTACTCGAGGAAACAGCCTACGGCATCTAAATCCTCGTCGATTAAATCAATGCGCTTTTCACTAACATCATCGCTGAATTTTCCACATGCTTCTTCGAACCATGGACTCTTGCACAAAAGTGCCTGATGTGCATGTAAAAGAGCTTGTTCATCACCCTGACCAACCAATAACCCAATAATTGGACTCTTCAAATAATCAATATAGGTAACTCGCGCTGGCATATCTTCCATAGCTGTTTCCTGGAGCTCGGGCCCAGAAGCTTCTTCATCTTCTTCGGGCAGATTGGTGTCAATTTCTGTGCCGGCTGACGCGTCGATTTCAATTACGACGGCACCGGGTGCATTTTCACCCATCTCGATATCGCCTGGGTTTTCACCAGATGGATTACCAGAAGCGGCAGCGTAATCCTCTGCAGAAGACATTTTTGGATATTGAAAGTTAGGGGATGGGGATTAAATAGGATGTGTATTTGAAGAAATCACGTCGCGTGTCGAAGTAATTCTAGAATCGAATTGAATTGAATTGATTGCAATTATAATAAATACAAAGTCAATTGATCAAAGAACGAGAAAGATAGATTCAATTCTTTTCAATTCAATTTGTTATTCAACTAACCAAATTAATGAATGTAAGGGAGGATAAGATACGATGAAAGATAGATTGGCACAAGGCTTTGATAATTATCGAAGTAGACGTGTTTGGAGCTTTCGCGATGGAAGAAGCTCCAAACCCCTCATTTTTCAGAGAAGCTCTTCTTTTAGCCTTGCGATTAAGGTACATTATTAACTTTGGACACATTCAAGCTTCTGATTGGTCAGTTAATACTTGACTATCGTTTAAACTTTCAGTCTATCCCAGAAGATCGCGCTCGGTTATTATTGCTGGTTTTTTTTTTTGGATGAATGAAATAGATTAATATATCAAAACGACATCATTCAAATGTAGATGTGATGAAGACCCTTTCCTGCAGTCGATAATCTTTCATTTCAAGTACAAGCTTCAACCTTCCCCATGCGCCGCCGATTTAAAGGCTCAAAAGCCATGCTGGTATCAATCCAAAATACCCATTAAAAGTAAAGAAAAAAAGAAGACAAAGGACAAATATATGTAAGAGTAAGATGTACGTGAATATGCTCGCTCAGAAATCCTTTCTTACCGACCTGTGCAAAAAAGGAAAGAAACTAGTAAATACCCATTGATCTTCTTTCTCGTCCTCATCGTCGTCGACGGCTAAGAGATAGAAGACGCCATATTTCGGAAACCGTTAGATCTAAGAACGAATAACTCTCTTCCTAAATCTATCCCCCGTCGTTGGAATAGGCTTCTCCAATCTCAAACACCAAAATAATAGATCCTCCACCGGTAGCAAGACGAGGAATATTCTATTACACAAATATGCCGCAATGGCCACGAAAAACGCCACGAATGCATCGAGATAATAATGATTTGCCGTCGCCACAATCGTGATTAATATATAAAGCGGATACGAAACTCCTAGGAAAATATAAAACAGCGTCCAGAATTTATTCTTCCTAACTTCGCCAGTTTCTAAGTTTCGACGAAAGACCCCGGAATGGTAGATCATGGTGACGCCGATGCAGAAAGAATACCCGAAATGCATCGAAGGCATGGCAGCGAGTGAGTTAACGTAGTTTCCTTGCATCCAGACGGATTGTGCGTTGTTACGGCCGACGCTGTCGAGGAATCCATATTCAGGAGGAAGAAGACGTGGTGGCATGCATGGGTAGAGGATGAAGATGCAGAAGGCGAAAAGATTGGTAAGGGTCATTGTTCGGCGGACTGTTGCGAAGGTGGTATGCGATGGTGCTACGTAGTACCAAAAAGCGATGAATCTAAATTTCAGTCAGGGATATATTCTTCTCCAAAGCGGATGTAAGTGATGCTTGAAACTTACCCAACAGTACCGGGAATGTGAATCAATGCATAAGAACGATTCAAGATTGTCAAAAGCGTCCCATGACCATTTAAAAACCACTTCTGCACATCCTGTTCTCTCACCGGCCACAAAAAGCTCATCCACGAGAATTCCTCAAATTCCAATATTGCTAACCCATGATCCTGAGCCACGTCCCAAATGCCCATTTCAGAAAACATTGCTTGCGACAGGATCTTCGTACATCGATAAAATGCATATGTAATAATCCAATAGAACATTTCGATCAGAAAAGGGAATTTCTGTAATATCCTACTGTGATAATGATCCTTAAACCTTGAAGTATTCGGCGTTAAAAGATTCGTTCCGCAGCATCTCCTTTTCTTGGGAGGAAATTTCGTCGTCGACAACGAATCCAGATCTGAATCCCGTCGATTCCCAATCATATAATCTCTAGTTAACAAATCATCGGATGAGCGTGCGGAATCCGGTTCCTCTTCCAGTAATCCATATGTATTTCGCTGTCTATCGAATATACTGTATCCATGTCTTCTCGTGAGTATCATAGAACCGAATAAGATGCTAGCAACGATCTGTGAAAGGATTGTTAGTTATCCGACTTCATAATGTGGGCATAAGAAAACTTACAACTGGTTCTGCCCATCCTGGCAGTTTGAATTGTGGTTTACTATTCCATTGCGGTTCGCCATCTGGAAGTGAGGTATTCGCCATGATGGATCGTATGAATCTTGTCCACCCAATCCAACTCTAACACCAGACGTCAAACACGCTGAAAGCCCTCAATTGAAGGAATTCTTTCCTTATAAAGAATCCTCACTAGTATATTGGTATTGTATTGAATTGTATTGTATTGATAGAAAATGAAACCAAAAACCCTTTGTATCGAAAATTTGCCCGTAGTGTTGACCGTAGGGATGACGTATGCTTCTTTTGGTGTACTGTAGGAGATAAAGATGAACCCCTTGGCAAGAACTTAGTTTGAAAACTTTGAAAGAAAAATAATTAATTCTATTGATAAATGAGTATTAAAGTCGTTAAATTAAAGTTATTGTAAAATGCAAATCCATCAGAAGAATCGAAATCGTAGTATCAGTTGAGTAGTGAAATGAATGTGTTCGTTCGTGCTGTGCAGACAACCCGGAAGTTTATATCCAGGGGGGTGACGCGGCTATGTTGTGGTGGAGAAGCCAGAAGCAAGAGCTCTCTTCAAAGATTATCTAAAAGTATAAGTGGAGGAAGTGTCCAGGTTAGAAAAGGAGGAGAAGGAATCACACAGTAGAAAGAAAAAAAGTGATTTGGAGATATTATTTATTCAAACACCCTGGGGCAAGTATTCTGTGGAGTTCATTGATAGACAATAATGCGAATACCGGTAGGGCTACTTTATATGCATTTGATACTAAGTAGCCACTAGCCAGGTACTTAGGACCAATTCTCATGATAAAGACAATAATGGCATTAATGCTAGGATTGATTAGCTTTGATATTTAGCTAGCTAATCATGACCCCAGGATATTTATGTTCTCCTCTTCCCACTCTTTCTTTCATCTACTCAGGCGAGTCCTTAGATCGATCTGATCACTGAAAGGCCAACGTCGCCCATTCACAAACCAGCAGCTGTATGCAAATCGTATTTACCGTATTTTTTCCCTACCAAGCTCAGATATCCATCCTTTACTTGGATCTTGTGCATATTTGCCATAAATAGCTAGCCAAGGGAAGACCAGTTCATTCACATGTTCACCAAGGCTACCAGCTGTCAAGGTCATTCGCAGAAGTGGTGATTAAGTAACGTGGTGCAACCTGTGCTTTACTTTTAAAAACAAGAAGAGTTTAGTTTGAGTTTGTGAATCAAAAAAGGATCATTGATTAAGATTAAAGGAAAATGAAGAGCTTACGACAACTTCATGTCATCTATTTTGTTCCAATAGTCCAAAACACATCAATAGCGGATTCAAACTCGGGTTCGTATTCAGATATTATAAATAGTTCCGTAACAGAACATTTTTTCACTCATGGCATTTCTTCTTCAAGATTAGGTACTCCACCCACTTCATATTTACCCCTTCATCGGTCGTTAAACCCCAGCTCTTGTCTTCCCCGTTTCTCAGTCCCTCATCTCCACTACAAACCTCCAAGCTTCCAACTCGAAACACCAAGCTTCTCTTTTAACATTTTTTTGATATAGAAAGTTGATATATTCATATATTTTCTCCTAGAAGTGCTTCACGCAGGTGGTGTACGATAATCGCAACCTCGAAAAAAAAAAAGCACACGACACTTTTCACGCCCGATAAAAAATGTCTTCTCGTCGTGTTTCACTGAACTTTGCCCGTGTGCCAGCCAAAAATTGCCAAGGAAATCGACTGCATATGTGGTGATGATCAGCAATGAGCAGCTCCACCTAAATCCACTCCCCAATTGATGCATGGATGCGAACGTCCACTGCTTCTGGTAAGGAAAAGTCTGGTCGCTTAATGTTTAACGAAAATTTGAGATTTGGTTACAGATCTATGGACTTGCGGACTCCTTGAGAGAAGTTGTTTTTGAATTGTAGGTGTACCAATTACAAATACTAAAGAAGTACGAGAATTCCTGTAAATAAAGGACTCGTATTATCGCTGTCGCATCCTGTTTTTTATCATCCTACATCCTATGTCGTGTATTATGGATTTGGAGAACACAGAATCTTGTTATCAACCAAAGGCCCATGTATGGAGTATACGCACAACAGATACCAAGATACCAAGACACCAAGTTTCTAGGCAAAATGTCACTGTATCTCATCTCGCTCGTATAACATCTGCATATCTTTATGCATTTGTTACAATTAATTACTTCTTTATCTGTTTTTCTTCTTATCTGTAACCATTCGCAGCAAGGAGGAATGATTAATGTCGTCTCTGCAGACAGGTATGCTCACCAGATGGTGTCCAACCCATGCGGAAAGACGTCACAAAAGGATGAAAAGTAAGCACAGGGTGTAAAGAAAGGCGTAAGCCGGATAAATGGTCCGATAGTTTTTCGGTTCCGAGTCAAGCAATGCTTGCTGGAGCGTTGAGCCTCAAAAAAGAAGCTTTGGTACAACGACGTGGCTGCAACTCCTAGAAGTATCTAGGAATAATTTACAAGACCCAGATTTTGGCACAGCTGTCTGTCCAAGGGGATTTCCAGACACAATTTTTATTGCAAATTTTCAAGAATGAATTCTAATAACACTCAACTCCTTGAGTGATTCGACCCACTTTCAAGTTTCAACTCACACCCTTTCAAACATCAAGCCAGAATTTTATCTCCAAAAAATTAAGTGGCCGTCATACTCCTATTTCCTCGCGAATTCGAGGATGACGAAGTAATTATAGTTCACTTGATCGAAAGCAAATGCAATGCTTCGTACTGTGCTCACCTGTGTGGAGATGTTTCGGGTCAAGGTAATGGGGAGGGCAAGGATGCTGACATTTTATGTGTTGTTTAATGCTCTTCTACTTCTAATCCTACTGCTTGTCAATATAAGTATATCTTCCGCTTGCCCATCGAAACCTCACATACCATTCTAGTTTCATTGAGTATAACGACCTACATCTACATTCTCGCTTCTCGCTCTCTGCCCCTCAAAATAAAGAACATGTTGGGATTTCTTCTCACTCATTGATAAATCGAGCCAGTGAACAAGATATTTACTAGGTTTTCTTTCATTCTTCTTGATGTTTTTGGTCATTAAGAGGATAAAGAGGTGAGGCCTGGGGATCTTAATTCGTTTCTAGAGGTCTTGCTCACATGGCAAGGTATAGGAGAGCCGAGAAGCGAGAGAGATATAAACACGAATACCTAGATTGTAAAATACGCCGAGCAGGAGAATAAGAGATCACTGTCATAGTAGCTTTGTCTTTTGAAACCTAGTTAAGTACAAAGATAGCAAATATATGATTTTAGATACAACATCTCCTTAGACCATCTTCCCTCTATCTACTCTCTACCCATAAAGTCAGCAACAAATCTCCCCTTTCAAAGATCAAATTCATCTACGATCTTTCATTGACCCTGCTCCCCAAAAACTAATTCATATCTCCATATGAAATTCAAAACTCTCAGTCTTAACCCCAAAAATGTGCTCAAGATAATTACACACTACACAAAAATTTCCGTTCCCAAATATTGACCAATCATAAACCCACCACGCAATTGGTGGGAATAAAAAATGAACATGCCAAAACAGAATCGAGCATCAGAGCCCGAGGATGTATTTGGTTATACAATATGAACTAGTATATCCATGACATCATATCGCTTTGAGAAGTAGAGAAGAGTACTGGGTATCCTTATCCAGTATATATTGTAGAAACCAGTATCCTCAATGAGTCTCCCACCATTCGACTCCAAGAGCATTTTACAATAATAGCATTCTAGGTTTCTAATTAACATCGAGAATAGACGAGTGAGTCAGTCCATTCCAGGAACATAGCATAGTACTCGAGAAATTTGAAGGTATCATCATCTTTAATTATTTATATTCAGCTTAATATATTAAGTAGTTTCCAACATTCCCACCCTCATCCTCATCCTCATCCTCACCTCATCCCAATTATCATATCCCGCTCTATTTCTCCCTTCATCGAATAAATCGTAACTATTTCCCGCGAACTCATGGACCAATAAGCTAAGCAAAGCAATCTAAGCAACACATTTATCAACTTCCTCTTAAGAGTATCCGAAAACTCTAAATAAACGTGTTTTTATCCCAATAATATGACTTTCATCTTTATCCCCATTTCCACCAGTCCCACCCTCCCAGCAAAAATAGACAAAAAATGAAATCACTAAACAATATACACTCAAGATAAAAAGAAAATGTACTGAGCAAGAGGAACCTTTACTAAAGCAGGAACAAGTAAATACAGAGCAGTATAAGATGAATTGGGAAGATGATAATTTCATCACTTCTTTTCCTCTGGTACGGTACTGACTAAGAATATGAGGTGAGGTATAGAAAGAGTGATTGAGAGGGGTGATCTATCCAATAGATCCGTTGTATACCAGTTTGTGTTCGTGCGTCAAGATAGACAAGGAAAAACTTGATATCTCAGGTGAGGAGTTAAGACAATTGAGAGCTAGATAATGTATTATAAAAGTAATGTAGATGATGGAAAAGCCGCTCATAAATGGGAAATGAAATATGATCACTTAGTATCACCAAAGTTTGAGATATCTCTATTATATTCGTACTATGGATCTGCTATGACTTCATGATGCGACTTTCATCTGTACCTGGTGGCGATTGCGATTTCTCCGAAAGGATCGATCGCGAAACCCGCCTTCGCACCTCGCTGCTATAATCCCAAGCGATAAGAGTCATCAGAGACCCTTTACCCAAAGACATGTGATTGTAAACGGTCGTGTCCAATCCTTGAGAATCTTCCTGAACTGATTGACAAAAACCCGGTCCAGTAGTACGATCTCTCAAGTATCTGCAACCTCTTTCAATATGCGTTATCATTTCCAATCCCCGCCTTCTTCATTTCGTCCTTTGAGATTTCCTCGGTGGCCCACCATCTCCTTGATGTTTCCTCTTCGGCCTTGGACAATCCCTTGCGATATGGTTTCCTCCACACGTATAGCATTTTATGTCTGATTTATTCGCACCTCCCGAGCCAAATGCGCTCCCTCCGGAGCCAGATAATGATGTCAAACCGTTTAATGAGACATGCTTCTTCTTTCTCTTTTTAGATAGCTCCAACAGTTCCGCCTTTTCTGCCTTCTTCTTGGCTTTTCGTTCTTCTTTAGCCCGTTTTATTGCTTCCTGTTTTGAAGCCTTTATCAACTCTTTTGCGCCTGTTGGGTCATCCTCACTATCTTCATCAGCGGATTCTTCGTGATCACTTTCCTCCTCCTCTGATGGTGATGAAAATTCTATATCTGGATTCTGTTGTTTCTATTCAATAACTATTAGTATGTGATAAGCGGCAGTAATCGGAAGACAACACATACCTCTAAAACTTTATTGAACTTTCCAAAGCTTCTTCTTCCAACCATGAATGGTTTATCATCTCCAAAAATGTTATCGCCATCATCAGTATGCTGCACCTTCGTCGGAGAAGGAAGATCTAATTTTGCGAAGCTAGTTTGCACAACTCGCAATATATTCTTAGGAGTATTAAGGTTTTTCCTTCCCTCGAAACTCAGAACCCATCGTGTATCTCCTGCTTCTGCGGCTGCTCGATCTAATGCAGCTTGCTTCTTGGCTTCCTCTTCCTCTATTGCTGCTTGAATCGCGCGGTTGTCGGCCAAAGAGTCGACATTGAACTTTGTAGGAGTATTTTGTGCCGTCTTTTGTCGTTTTGGCGATGGCTCATCCAATGAAGAAGGCGATGCATTTGTAGGAGATGCAGCAGCAGCACGCTGCATAAATTTCATGGTCAAAAGCCTCGAAGACATGGCTTTTGGCGCACTCGTTGGGGTCCCTGCACTTGCCGACATTTTGTAGATTGTTCCTCGTTCACAGTATTAAATAAATTAGAAAGATAATGATTGAGAATATGTAAAGTAATTGGCGGGATGAAATTATACTGTTGAATGTTAGTCGTAAACCACCGGCTGCCACGATCCACAAAGTGTCCAAGTACAGCAAGTCGCACGGAGGTGAAAGAAAGCAAAAGTATTTACGCGGCTGCAGGATGGACGATTAAGCTTCACGGGTATTACGTAAGCGATCTGGCAATTGAACGACAACGACTCTTAAGAACTTCTTTGTCCCCTCTATAAGAATTGAAACATCAACATAATGTTGTCCACCGCCAGATCAAGAGCCGTATGGCAAATTTCTCGCAGAGTTCAAATCTCGGTCAGACGGACCTACGCATTTTCTGCCAACGACCAACAAGAAATTAATGACCCAAATGGTCCAAAGAAGGTTCCCAATGTCTCGAAAACCAACGAGCTTCCGATAGAGACACACGTTAAGGATGCGCCATTGCAGGAAAGTGTAGAGACTGCGGAAAAACTTAGAGTTATGCAGGCACCAAATAGAGTGGGAAAATGGTCGCGCAGTCAGAATCCTAGGGAGAAAGCAATGTCTGGACCTAGGTTTGAGCAAACCATTATGGAAACACAGGTACGCTACTATAGAGCAACGCCAGCGTAACTTCCTATTGCGCTTGGCTATTCGGGATTTTTCCTAGCAACATTTCTTCAAAATGTTAACTCTTTTCTAGCCGGCACCACAAGCAGCCATCAGCTTGATTCACCAGCAACCAGTGCGATGGACACACGATCGTATAGTTGCATGTGATGGAGGCGGAGGACCATTAGGACATCCAAGAATCTTCATCAATACCGATAAGCCTGAAATCTGCAACTGCACTTACTGCGGATTACCATTTGTGGGTTATACCCTGGCATTGCACGCCAAACACCCCTTCCCCGAAGCTCTTCCTCGCACTGGATCATGAACACTCTGTCGGTCTCAATACTAATCTATCTCACAGGCCAATGAACATCATCGAGCACACCTTGAATCTCTCCCAGTAACCCCATACCCTCTTGAAGCACAAGGTCGTCCCGCCGAAGTCAACGAATCACAACGTATTACAGATGAAGCCCTTGGTCATCGATAAACTTTTCATTGGGGAGGAAGTTTATTGTTGACAATTAGTGTAAATACAAACGAAATGAGAATTTTAAGCAGGATCATCTCCTTAGTTCTACCATAGTGATTTCCGCTGCATGTCACTTGGCTCGTTCTACCCGGTCAGATTGCCTTGTTATGGAGTGTGACAGAATCATCACAAGTGGAGACTTCTACCTCCTTGCCTTTCCGGGGTAGTGCCTCGTTAGAAGCTGCGACAGCTGTCACACCTGAAACGCCTCTTATTAGTTGTGCAAAGAGGCAAGATCACAACATGGTGTCATTCGCCGCATCGATACCTAAGATCTCGGCATAGATTGTGTAGTAGCATGCAGGTATTTGATAGAAAAGTGCCATTGGCGTGATTGCATTAATCAGGATAATTTGATGAATTTTGAGAACAAACTTCGATACCGCAAAAGTAGACCCATGAAGGCCAAGAATAAGGTAGGCAAGACGCGGCTTCAGGCCAGTTGTGATAGTGCGTATGTAGATATTAAGAAATATTGTTGGAGTCATTGCGAAAGCAAAACCCAGCTATAGGTTAGTCATGACCATGTCCCTGCTACAGAGATAACAGTGAAATGACAAAATAAATGTTCCAACAAATTCAGATAAATAGGAGGATGTATTGATTGCTCATGTCAGCTAGGCGAGGATTTGTCTTCGGGAATTAAGTGGATGGAGGCGGCCGCACTCACCGTCCGAGCTTCTGTTTATTGTTAACTTGCGACAATCTCAAGCTGTCACATCATAAAACAACCCGCATCTTCTACCTGGTATATCTACAAGATGTCTACTATAACGACCAACGCGTTGCAGACTTCATATCCTCCCATCCTTCCAAAATCCTTTAATGCCAACCAACCCAAAACAATTCGTCTCTATCCTCTTTCAAACTACACTTTCGGCACCAAAGAAACCCAACCTGAAGAAGACCCCTCCGTCCTTGCGCGCCTCAAACGTTTAGAGGAACATTATGTCGAACATGGTATGCGACGTACCTGTGAAGGGATTCTTGTCTGCCACGAACACAACCATCCTCATATTCTCATGCTCCAAATCGCAAACGCCTTCTTCAAGCTTCCTGGAGACTATTTAAAGCCCGAAGATGATGAAGTAGAGGGATTCAAGCAGAGATTAAATGAGAGATTGGCACCTGTAGGAACACAGTTTAGCGGGGAGGGTGTGAATGAGGAGTGGGAAATTGGAGATACATTGGCGCAGTGGTGGAGGCCGAATTTCGAAACTTTTATGTACCCATTTATCCCGGCGCATGTTACGAGACCAAAGGAGTGCAAGAAGTTATATTACATTCAGCTTCCTAGACAAAGTATGCATATATTCACCTTAGATTACAGAGTAGACAATGCTAATACATATACAGAAGTACTAAGTGTTCCTAAGAACATGAAGCTCCTCGCAGTACCACTTTTCGAGCTTTACGATAACACAGCAAGATATGGACCTCAACTCTCTGCAATTCCACATTTATTGTCAAGGTATAACTTTGAGTTTGTTGATGAGAAAGGCGATGTGGTAGCTGTTACTCCTGGTGGAGGACCAGAAGAAGGATATGTGCCGAAGACACTTGTTTTAGCCGGAGGCGATGATGAAACAATGGAAGAAGCTGATATCAAGGAAGAAAACGGCGTTCAATAAATTGCAGGATAATTACAGTGTCATCCGAGCAATGGAAGACATGGGAATGGCGTTTAGAGGTCAAAATATTAACAGCTTAGGACAGCTGATGGATTGACTGGGTAGAAATGAGGCTTTGATATTTGCAGATATCCCAAAAAATTCCTCGATAGTCACTCAATTTTATTCATCCAATTGCAGAGACTTTGCATAGTGAATATTACACAAATAAATAACTGCTTGATGGATGTGATGTAAATAAATGTGTAACCCCTGTCAACTAACTCTATGCAGCTTTCGAACCATGACGTCCACAAACCCCACTAGAATTCTAAGCAACTCAATTAATACACCCAAAATCTTTTGGAATGCCATCCTCAAACTCCTCTTCATCTACGCAATCAGACGACGATAAAACCTCCCGCACAAACACCGAACCCACATCGTCCTTTCCATTTTTATACATCCTCTTCATCCTAATCTTCCTCATCGCGCTCTTTCCCCCGCTCTTCCACGCCCTCTGGACCCTCCCCCTCAAACTGCTCCTCCCAAGCACCTACACCAGTTCCCTCTCCCCCGCCCGCTACACTAAACCCGCCATCATGTCCTGGACACAAAAAACCATATCCCTCCCCTCCAAATCCCGCGGCTCCTATCTCATCACCGACCACATCGTATCCTCGATCCCGGAAATCAAAAACTATAAAGTTGGACTTCTGAATTTATTCATTCAGCATACGAGTTGTGCGCTGAGTTTGAATGAGAATTGGGATGAGGATGTTAGGGCTGATATGAGTGATGCGTTGGATAGGATTGCGCCTGAGGATAGGAAGGGAGAGTTGTATAGACATAGTGCGGAGGGGTTGGATGATATGCCGGTTTGTTGTTCTTTTTGTTTGTTATTTTTGCTTTTCCTTGGATTGTGGGAGGGATGGTGAAGAGATGTTTTGGTGCAGATGCTAATTATCATAGGCACATATCAAATCGGCGTTGGTAGGAGCCAGTGTTACGATTCCGATCACGAATGGAAAGTTGAATACGGGTACTTGGCAGGGTATATGGTATTTGGAGTTTAGAGCTAGCAAACATAGTAGGAAAGTCGTTGCTACCATTCAGGGGGAGAAAATGTAAGATTGAAAATATCGATTCATATACTTAGGGATACGGAAGTGGGCACCGTTCTTGTTTTTGAGGGTTGCGCAAGTGATATGTACACATTGGTTTCTTGACGAAGCTTTGATTTCAGTTATTTTAGGTCCCGAGTGCTCTGTTACTATTGAAGCTGTATTCGGTATTTTTGAGATGACCTGTAGACTAAAGGTCAGTCTTCAGCTCTCCTCATATTTGATATTTAGTGGGGTATATGGGGATGACGTGATGTTGGCGGGGATAATTTATGTTCTTAAAGGTCAGAACGAAGTATTTGTTATCAAACCTGAGCCTCAAAGTTGTTGTATTCCCAAACATCGTTACAATGCCCACCCTCTTGTGAATACCCTCATTGCTTATGCAATATATTTATTTACTCCCCTTTGGGAGAACTTCGTCGTTATTTCAATATCTTTACATTAGAGTCTGCACACTCCTACAGCATTTACTTGAACCATGCAAAGTTCAGATGATCACGGTGCCGGTTTTGAAGTGCCAGACCCCGGGGAAGCTACTCATCCGTGTAGATTGCTTCTTTGGGAGCACATTTCCACAAACCAAACTCTAGATTCCATCACCTAGGTAACCTCGCGAGTCTCCCACCAAGTGTGGTTTCCCGCATCAGTCCTATGTGATGAGAATAAGTGGAGTCTGAGCTTTGAATTCAGCTTCTTGCTGCTCACTTAACTTGTTATGTTATGTTACGTCCTTAAAATGACCAGAAAGTCGTTCAATATGTCCTCTATGATGAAAAGCCGGAAGAATTGGAATTGATTTTGATAACGAGGTGAATAAGGTGTAGCTGGGATTGGGACTGTAGTACTTGCTCATGTTCCTTGTTTCCCCTCCTCATTCAGAGACACCGAGAACATTTGTAGACCATATCCAGACGAATTTGGGGCCGGAAGTGTGAAAGTCCCATATCCTGAGGTTTTGCTTCAAGCTACCTCTCCTGTCTATCTGACCCGGCATCTACCACCTCACGTGTATCATTCAGTTACTAAACGGTTCGACGAGTCTTGTAGGTCACACCAATTCTTGTTAATCTTAGCAAGTATTCGAAATATCGCTTAATTGACTACTAGTTCAGCCAAGCTTGATAGGTTTGACTGGGTATTTGAGTCATCTCGTTTCTAGCTCTTGATCTCACGCTTCCCTTATTTTTATTACTTCAAACTTGCTCACTACTCCTTGGGTCGGCATGGGGCTATTGAGCCGGGGTATCTTGGGAGCTACATGGTATTATTGGAGCTAGATACAGAATATGCCTGCAATGTTAAATATCTTTTTAATGCATTTGATATTGGATTTTAGGACTCACATGTTGAGTCTTCGAAATTTGTAAGCATTCGTATAAATGCTCGGTTAATGAGAAGTAAGCGTTTTATTTAAGGAGCAGGTGTAAGTCTATAAAGATGTCACACAAATGACGACATGAATATTTACAGTGGGAATAGTCCACACTCGTAGACTGGGCTTTGAGTTGATATGGATGAAACTCCATCCTCAGGAGTTCCTTGGAAGCTTCGGTTAATAATTAGTTTCAGGAAAAGCGCTATTTCAGCTATTCTCTTCTCTTTCAAGGAAATTGCATTAAGAGTTTCGTAAATAAGTAACAAATGGCTACAATTGCAAGAATACGTTCCTAGCGGCTTCTGCAACCACGTATGGCAATTAATCTCATTAACGTACTTCTCTCAAAAGACCTAACCCTACACTCTCCGTTTCTTCATCTGCTAACCTTAGAATGCATGTAACTTGTATTTTATCTTCACGAGCACTATTACAATCTCTCTCGTATTATATCACCTCACACATTCTAAACGCATAAAACATTCGAAACCACAGAATCAACAAGTTACAAAAGCATGTAAGCCATACCATTTTACATTCTCCATGCTATCTATCTATATCCACCAACGCAGCAAACTCAATAAGTGCATTCAGTAGTACAACAAATCGAGGTGCAGTTAACCAAAAATAAGTAAGCCAAAATCAACCTCTTTTTGCCGGTCAAATCAAATGTTCTCAAACTCCTTCGCTATGCCTTTTATGCTTTTCCTTCTGTGCCAATGGTATGCTATGTTATGCGCTATTTCTGAAATTCCAAAAATCGAGTGACTAGATAGGATGAAAGATTTTCCGATATTCGTGAGTTTTGAGGTGATGAAATGAAAATGTTGCGGGTCATTTAGACTGGGAATGAGGGTGAGAGAAGTGAGAGGTGGAATGGTTTAAGATCAAAGAGAATTAGATGTCGATGACTCGATGGTGTCTGTACCTGGGATGGGGCACTTGGAATGACGGCTAGAGAGCGAAGTATTGTTGCGTTCGATGAGAAACCGTCTATTGAATTTTTTTTAATGTAAAGAATTTGTGAGATGTGGTGCCCGTAATCCAATGGTCCCAAAGCAAAATGATTGCCCAACTCGCTCCTACACCCTGAGTCCCAAAAATATTTCCTCTTATGTCTTGTATTGCATGCCTGCATATCTGTCTATTGATCGTGGTTGAGGGATATGTCGTAATTCGGAGCTACCTCCCTGCTTAACTCCAAGATGAACTTAAAAACTGTTTTCAAATCAATATCACCTGAAGCATGTTGGATCCTGCCACACCAAAAAAAAAAGTTCTTCCTTGTTAAATACACACTCCCACAGCACTCAATGCCTATGACCATGCCCATTAGGCTCAGTTAGCATATCTCCCAAAGTCATAGATCCATGACCCGAAGTGTAAAGTTTATCGTAAAGATCAGGGTTACTTGGTAAAGGCGAGAAATCGTGATGAGTGATTTGAGTGTTGACTCGCCCAATGTATCCCAATGAATTTGTCGCCATGGGGTTTTTGGGATCGGCAGGTTCGGATATTTGCACAATTTCAACCGTCTGGATGCACTGGAGTGAATCATTATTCACTCCTCTCGATCGAGAAACAGAGAGGAGCATGTTGGTATTGGGAACTACTTTGCGTTTGTTAAGGTGTGAAGGTGAAGGTGCAAGTCTGGCGGGTATTGGTGGTGTTGGTGACTATTACGATTCACGATGTGTTAGCTTTGTTCATGTTTGTGATAAGAGCAGAAGTAGTTGAAAAGCGCTTGGCTCCATATACATACAGCGGATGCGCGGCCTGACTGTTTCATAGACTCTGGTTCATGCTCAGGTCCCACCCGGAGTGCTTCCATGAAATCGATCTCCCTCGAATCATCAGCTGAACACAATTCCATACCATCTGAATTCATGGCTGATCTGATATCGGATCTAGATGCGAGGTGATTTGATCCAGCGCCACGCTTGATGCGACGATAAAGTGCATTGAGTACGGGAGCGTTGGCAAACAACGCCTGTAATGAATATGTTAGGATCTCTCTTCTTCTAACCTTAGATATCTGTGAATTACCATGAGGAGAGCCTCCATAGCGCCCCAAAAATACCTATCATCCGTTGCTTGAATTCCACTTTCCTGCAAGATAGTTCGTAGAATAGATATCACAACAAGCTAGGCGTCGTTAGAATTAGATAGACAGTTCGAAAGCTATTACATACAAATATACCGACGAGGAAGACCCCAGATACCTTGAATTTTGTACTAAAAAAGAGGTTAGTATATCTAAAGAATGGAGGGCAAAAAGAGTAGACGTTGAAAGTGCGTACACAGTTGCCATCTGCGTTCTCCAAATCATTGGCAAGGGAATGCAGATCAATACGACATTCGTCACAATAATTGCCTTGATAAATATCAGTTTAAAACTTGGTAAAATAAATTGTACTAACAATTGACATGAAAAGTAATCCAGTTTTCTTTGAAACATTAGCATGATCTTCTGAAAGGAATGAATCCAGTACTGACCCCCTTCTAAAGCAAAGATAGTCAGCAAGGTTATCAATTTTAGGTCTAGTGTGTCTGAGAACTCACTGCACATTGCTGAGGAGGAACTGTGACCTTCCAGTTCAAATTAAATGGGCGGCATTGAAGCATCCACATCACCATAACGGTTGACCAGGTCATAACAATACCCAAGCAAGTAAATTTCACATATCTCTGTTCTGGCTGCCTCTTTGTTAAACGGTAATAGTAGGTTAGCTGCAAAGTTGATAAGCAGGTGTGCACCAAGGAATCGCGGGCGTTCACCACTTACGATGCAGGCTTTCAAGAGCCATATGTATGTTAGGTAACTTATACGGCCAAACATGATGTACTTCGAGTCAAATTCCACTGACGTGATGTTAGATTGTATCGGCAGTTATAAGGGAAAGTCGATTATTACTTTGCGCAACTGTTTCGCTGTCTGAATAGCCATGCGTTCCTTTTCCGGTGTAAAGCTGTGTTGTGAAGTAAGCAATGTGCGAGAGTTGAAATGATTGACAAGTAACATACAAGAACGGGGAATGTAGATGTAAATCCTCCTACAAAGAGAAAAGCGACTATCATGAGCCAGTCATCAGGGTAGATACTCTCATTTTTGAGTCGTCTTAATAAGAATCTGATACAGACTAACAAAAATACCAGGACGAGAACTGCATAAGCTGTGTCAGCAACCTGGAGAGTATTTTCGATCATTTTTCTTGACCCGGATAGGGGGCGAGATAAGAACCAAGAAAGCTGCAAATCTGGAAGATTTTAGGGTCGAGAGAATAGAAACAGGCACATCAGGATTCAGGAAAGCTGTATTTGGATGCTTCACGACACTGTGCAGCGATGAGAAGTAGGATAGTAGGAGAATTGTTCGTGCTGTTGTATAATTGCTTGCTGGGTGCCGCAGTTGCTTAGATATCTCCGCAGGGAATACTAGATATGTAATTTAAAAACGCAAGTGAATCGATATGAAATTCTAACGCTCACGAAATTTAATAACATGATGACATTCGACGATAGTCTCTAAACCAATACATTATTCCGCCAGCGGAGAAGAACCAAATCTGTCAAGCCGTGTACCAGAACCTCGGAACAATCAAAGGAAGATGCTTTCTGACCAAGATTATGGTAAAGCCTTTACAATTATCAAGAAATAGTTAGATAAGAGATTGTCTGCCAGCTTCATGAAGATTGTTTGTACCTATACTCCCACATCTGTCGCAGGTTAACTCCACACCACTACCAGCTTGAGCGACTCTGGCCATCTCAAAAGATATGCTCACAGCATTAAAGACACAAGAGGCTATGCTGTATTCCCTTAAAAAGTGTTAAGCCGTCACAACCTTTTAGAAGGTTCGAAAAAACGCTAGCTAGAACCCATCGATATAGCTGGGATCTTTGTTGGGGTTATAAATGAAATATACGAATACACTGTCTGAGATAAAATGCAGTAGTAATCTGAAACTATGAGCAGATCTGTACCTCAGGCTAGGAGAGAACTAGTCTCAAAATCCGCTGAGTGGAAATGCTATTCATCTTCTCGACACTTTCCCGCATACACCTACCTACAAAAATACTAAAACTGACGATGAAATTGGATGGGAAGTATGATGATATGTACGATTCTGGAGCTAGGAACATGTTGGAGAGTACTAGTAACTTGCATGAAGCCAGCGCTGTACTGCCTTGTACACTGATGCTCCTTGGAGACGAGCAGTTTTCAACGGAGGTTTGGAAGGAAAGCAGTCAGAATATGCAAAGGAAGAGGTTCGCGAGTGTTGTGGTGTCCGGATGATCAGTTTCAAGAGACACTTGCACCTCAACTGGCGACTCTTCAGCATCGAAGACTTCGTGCCGTCCGTGCCATGATATAACAGACCTCAAGTGAGATAAGCAGGAGTTAAAGTTGGCTCTTGAAATATCTAGAGTGGAGGATTGAATTTTTACTCCTTCATTTTCAGTTAGATCTAGCTCAACTTCCAATTGCATGACAGAGGTTGCACAAGTCAACTTGTTTTTAGGGGAGGAATTTGGCCTTCAACCGAATCATTCCTTGGTGCTGAAACGGCGAGACATTGGGAAGCCTGAAAAGTGTCGGGACATTAGAGAATTCAATTTCAAAGTGTAGAGTTCTGTCCGGCTGTACCAGCATGGTGCCTCACAAGATTGAAGAGGGAATAGTGCAAAGAAAATAATGGTTTCAACTGTGGCGGAACCTTTAGTTGGTGTGGCTCAATCATGATTACGTAATAACCGTGGTAGTGTACAAGTGCCTGCCAGCACTCGGTGGTTGAAACCTGCTATATGACTGCTTAATATTTCAAATATTGCGTCCCAGGAATAAGTCATCTGGGTATAAAAAGTGGAGGTTTAAGTCACATGGATAGTTCCAACTGGCAGATCTGAAAACTTCAGAATGAAGATACAAAGATCTCTATCAGACACTATACCACTTTTGACAAAACATTCCATACAGTTATGGAACTTGAGCACAAGATGAGGTAGTTGTCATAGTTTTACGCTTCTTCTCTGAGGTATCTTTTATAATGCATACACCATAGACATATCTGTGTTTCTCATTCAACGCAGGTGTTGGTCATTTTGCGTCTATGTTGTGCTAGTAATGGTAAAGTGGCTTTAGGATGCAGGAACGACTCAAAGATTTGGACCAATGCAGCTTGACAGGATTAGTCTCTGATTAACAGAGATGCTGAGTTTGTACATGTATGACGATTGACTACTTGTGAAGTCACCATTCCATTTACCGTTTACAATTTATGTATAAATACTCCTTATCCAATGCATTTCCAATCCCGTCAGAACGCGCTCCACCCATCATTCCAACATAACAGAACGATAGAGGAAGTACTAGACTATCGTTTGAAATCCATCCTTTGGTCTTTGACACCGCTCGCTCCGCTTATCTTAGGATCATCTGAACGATCCAGGGTCAATCTCATCAATCTCAGGTTTTTTGCCTTTCGAGTAGTTATAACGCAAACCTTCAACAACATCACCAGTACTAACATTGCTGGAAGACGAGATAAATTCCATTTCTTGAAAATCTTTGATGACAGTTTGCCTAACGCCGAACATTAGCTTCCAAGCTTTTAATTCAGATGTCATGTAGTACTTACACCCAAAATCTACAGCCCAGGCCGCTGCGGGCAAGCTTGTATTTGTCCCGCCTCTTTTCCGTAATAAGTCTAAGCACCTGCTTGACCTTCAGACCTTGACCTGTAGCCTTCAAATCGAAGTCTCTCAGTGAACTATTTGTGCGTTGATAGCGGCAATAGGTGATTTGAAAATCTCCTCTTCTGGCATATGCATTCAGTTTTGTCATGTTAAGGCGGACTGATGCGCCGTTTGATGTAAGGAGGAAAATCGATGCATGGTTACCACTACGAGTGTCTGATTCGAGGAATTTCCCCATGGTATGAACGGTCACTCGGATTGTATCGACATTGAGATCGTAGTCTTTCGGCTCAATTTCGCGAGTAGCGGGATTCAAGTCTTCAGGCCTAGAGCTCGAAGGCTTTGAGGCCGATGACTTTATGGTATCAGGTCTCGAAGGCTTTGGTGCCGATGATTCTGTGATATTAGATCTCGAAGGCTTTGGTGCCGATGATTCTGTGATATTAGATCTCGAAGGCTTTGGGGTCGATGATTTTGTGATATCAGATCTCGAAGGCTTTGAGGCCGATGATTTTGTGGTGTCAGATCTCGAAGGCTTTGAGGCCGATGATTTTGTGATATCAGATCTCGAAGGCTTTGGGGCCGATGACTCTGTGGTATTAGATCTCGAAGGCTTTGAAGCCGATGACCTCGTGGCATCAGATCTCGAGCTCATTTTGACGTTTTAAATGTAATGAATGAATTAGTTTATGTTCTTGCGATAGCATTACGGGGAGTCATGAATCTCTTATATAAAGACATCACGCAATGAGCCTGCAGCAACTGTGAGGAAACCAGGCGCGACACTGGAGAGTATCCAATCAAGTTTAACTGCCTTATGGCCAGATGGTCAATCGAGTGACACTACGACCCTGAGGACGTTAAACGTCAATTGATACTACCCTGAGCATTTTGGCCCAATGGTCATAGTGGGCTCAGTAGCAAAAAGCCATGTCTATTATTAGTATTATGGGATTGGAACCTTTTTAATCGAGCAGCTGGATTTGTGGAGAAATCGATCCAGTCTTGGATGATGAAATAGATAATCATAAGTGCCGATTCTTGATCCTCTTCTCTAATCAGAAAATTTGACTTGATAACAAAAGGATTTAAGAACTAGGCAAGTATTTATACTCTTCATAGCCAGATTACATTCAATGATAGGAGAGCTTCAATGCTTCATGGTTATGTGACTCAAGGTTTTCCAATGTCGAAATTAGATCCGGCAATGGAAGAATCTCTTAGAGGCTTGGGTGCCGTTATCCCATTCGTATATTAAATGGTCTGGTTAACGGACAATCCCCATCGAATAATAGAATTCGAACTTTGCCTCCAAGTAGGTAATCACATTGACCTAGGCCGACAGTCCGAACCTGGCAGGTCCTCCGGCTGGGATGTGTTGGTTCATAGATCCAAAAGATACGAAAATACAAAATTTGCTTTTCCTTTACTTTATGATTACACTTGTACCATTGACAAAACTTATAGCCCCATAGACAAAAGTCAATTCAATACAAACATGGAAATTCTAAATCTATCTCGCTCATATCGATCAAGAAAACGAGAAGAAATTCAAACGGATCGGCATCTGGTTTTAGCATCAGTTCGGCTAGTTCAATATTCATTTCGGAACAAGTATAATTACTTGGCAGTAAAGCACGATAAACCTATAAAATGGCCCAAAAATAAATGGCCGGATAGGGCTGGTGGGTGGACCAAATATAATGAGAGACGCGCGCCTGTACGTAGGTGTCTCGAGAGTCACTCCTGCTGGGTGGCTTAGACGATTTGGTGCACGGACCTTTCCAACGCGCTTTTCGTAACCGAGATCTTATAACTGATATGTATAGAACTTTCTTAGCAACCAAAAGAAGACAAACTCTTAATCCATATACATCTCAAAAGTCATCGCTTAAGATATGGCAGACTTATCCTGGGACGTCCATACAGCTAGCGAGGAATTTCTTGCTCAACTCTGCAACAAGCTCGTAAAAGAGGACAAGATCATTGGGGGCTGCTTTGGAGGGGATAGAGTTGTTAAACTTACGGACAATGTAGCAGCCAAATTTGGGTTCGGTGTCACAGCTTCCGAGGCAAAAACTCAGGAATTTGCATATCAAAATGTTGATCCAAATATTGCTCACATCCCCCAAGTTTACCGCTATTTCCGCTGGGAAGATTTTGGCTACTTGTTCATGGAATATGTGCCCGGACAGCAGCTAAACGAGCTCGATCTCAATGAAAACGTGGATATCATTCCACGTGTTACAAGAATTATCGAGCACCTTGGAAAAATCCAGGGCAGTCAAATACCAGGCCCTATAGGCGGGGAAATGCCAGAAGGTTATCTCTGGGGCGATGATGGCGCAAGGACGACTTTTACCTGCGTAGCAGATATGGAAGCTTGGCTCAACAAACGTTTGGCAATACGAGATAAGTCTATAGATATAAGCTCTCATCCACTTGTTCTTTGCCACATGGATTTATGTCGACGGAATATGATTCTCAAAGGAGACAACACTATCAGTCTCCTTGATTGGGGTTGCTCTGGGTTCTATCCGCGGTATTTCGAATTCGCGACTCTCTCTTTTATGATGCCGTATGATGAAAGTTACGAAACCCCATTAATAAAAGCTACGGCTACCTTGCTGGATTGGACAGAGGATGAGAAAGCTTTAATTAGCCTGTTGGGACTTGCTCGTGCTGTTGCCCTACGATATACATTGTAAGTGATTCAGCGTGACATTGAATGACTCATGATACTTTGAAAACTAATAAATTAAATAGAGAAACTGAAAATAAGTATGGATTACCGGAGGAGTTCCGTTCTTGGCGCTGTTCATCACCCATGCTAAGCCGATCGCCTAGTCCGTCATGATCACTCCCAAACTATCTGTAAAAGCTTTAGCAACAAATACTTTACTGTCTAGTCACATCATCCAAAGCTAGCTCAGAGTGAGGCATACATATGGATTTGATTGCGGTAGCTACCTACTTTCTTCGAAGAAGCTTTGAAGAGACTCGTATTCCCAGAGGTTATTAGCCTATCATATTTAGAGTTGTTCCTGAATTAGTTATGAATAATACAATAAAAACCAATCCAGCTTAGCTAAGAGTTTATCAGACATTTCAACCATTCTTCTCTGTATCTACAGCAGCTAATATTCTTCTACTGCACAAGCGAGCACTGATAATTGTTGACTTGCTGTTCCTATTGACTTCACCCTCGGCTGTGAACCTAAATTCAATACTCACTCGACGTCATATGGAACCCATCACTCAAAGCTGCCACAAATACAAAAGCCATGAATGTCCTGTATATCATGAGTTATTATCACATCTCCATCCAAGAAGTATAGCCACAATATCCGACAAGAGTTCCCCAACAGACGAGTGGTACTTGGATTCATGGTACGTTCTCAGCTTCCAAAAATTGCCATTAAATTCGATTTTGCTAGACCATTACATGGTTTGCATGATTCAGTACTTAAAATATTTTTAATAATTCCTTTATTTTGTCAGTCCCAGAGCTCAAAAAGGGGCAATCCCGTCTGAATTACTGAGAAGAATCTCGTCATTAAATGTTGCCCAAAAAGTCTCTCGTATTTGCGTTGGTCGTGATAATGTCCTTAAAAATCCATCTAAAGTCACAAATTATTAAATTCATTTGTTTCTTTAAATCTAGGTTTTCACTATTCTTCTCATATTTTGATATTGAAAATCGTCTCGAAGAGATTTCCGCAAATGCATTCTTCCGATGTTCTAATTATTGAAAGTTACACAGTCAGGGTGCTCTGTTATCCAATGTGGCTTTCTAGAACGACATTTTTACTTTCAACTGTCAAATGTCGAATTTCTCTTGGAGTTAAGTCCATTTAATCGCATGAAATCAAAAGGAAATTTGAGGTAGCTTAAAGTAAAAATACATGATAAAATAGCCAAAATCTAGATTTCCCAGATTGAGAGCTCATTGATGCACCAACCTGACGCATTTCAAGCAAAATTGTCGGTCCAATCCATCTTATAAAATTCTAAACTTTCACTCACTAACCTTTACAACCACCTTTCCAAAATGGCCCCCATGGAACAAATACTCCAAGGCTCCTTCGCTTCCTCAAACTCAAACACCTTGTCCACGACCGGTCTAATCCGCTTTTCCTCGTACCACGCCAACATTTCCTCGAATCTCTCTCTGGGTCCATTTAAAATTCCTTTTAACGTAACATTTCTTCTCAGCGCTAGAACATTCGTATTCGTGCGATCCGCACCTTCATCTTCCTTCCCTGAGAGATATCCAATGCAATTGATGAGTCCGCCGAAAGCTATGGCATCGAATGATTGGCGCAGTGTTAGGGCACCACCTGTTTCAAAGATACTGGATACTCCTTCGTCTTGGGTAATTTTCATTACTTCTTCAGACCACTTGGGATGGGTACGGTAATTTATTGCGTGATCTGCGCCGAGGGATTTGGCTTGGGCGAGTTTGGCGTCGGAGGATGATGTTATGATCACTAGACTGGACTTAACCTGCCGAACGAAAAAGACGGGGATGGGGTAAGATTTTTGGTTTACCTTCCATGTCACTGGCCTTTGCGATTTGCAATCCACTGATTGCTACTCCTCCAGTTCCTTGAATCAACAAACTTTCTCCCTTTCCGCCTGGTTGTCCAAGTGGCCTCATGCCATTAATCGCCATCCAGGCTGTTACTCCGGCAATTGGTAACGTGCAAGCTTCTTCATCTGTAAGATATTCTGGTGTCCTGACCAATCCTTCTCCATCGAATACACGATATTCTTGCAAACACCCTTCTGCCGGTAGTCCTAATCCACTAGCCATATCCTTTGCTGTCACTTGACCACGGATATGTGTCTGATTAAATATTGCAAGAACACGATCACCAGACTTCCATTTTGGGCTGTTAGATGATATGATTGTTCCAGAAATATCAGAACAAGGAACCAGGGAAGAAGGTTCAATGCCAGCAGATTTGTGATGGTTGTATAGGCCCATCATCACTTCAGTATCTCGATAATTGAGGGCTACGGTATGGATTTTGACAAGCACTTGACCATCACCTGGTGTTGGGACTGCAGATGACCCTAGAATGAGGTCCTGGAGGCCAGACTGTCGGGTGGTCCACTGCTTGTTAATTGTGGGTTGTGGCATGATGTTCTTGAACTGAAGAATTTAAGAAAATGAGGAAAGAGGAATTGATGATATTACGGAAAGAAAAGATACAAATCTAAGAAAGAAAAAAAGAAGAAAAGAAGAAAAGAAAATTTCAACCTCATCCTGACTTAAGTTTTACAAAGATACTGCTACTAGATCCCGACGAAGCCTGTTTACAACCGACCTAAGGTTATTAATACGATTGTGGGTCGGATTCTAGAAGAATGGAATCGGTACACTTGCCCCACAAGCAAAGCCTCGGCGCATGAGTAATTTTTGATATCATTACATCACTTCAAATAAATCGAATACGATGGATCCTTGCCACAAAAGGAATTGTTGTCTCGTATCTCAGGTAACAATTGCCTCCACCTCATCTTCATCATCACTACTATCTTCTCCGGCTCTCATCATTTCTAGCTCCCCGCTCAACATCCGCTGCCAATTATCCGCAAATTCTCTCATGCCACCTTCTCCGCTTGCACCTGCTTCTACCACTTCTTGTGGCATCTTGTGTGCACTATACTGCGGACTTGAAAAGCTGTATGCTTCCGGGTCATCTTTCTTTATTAATCTGAATTCGGGCATCCATCCAAGTTCCTCGACATCATCTGCTCCGTCATCTTCGTCACTACTTTGAACAGGCAATGGCGGCACTGATGATGAGTCTGCGACACCAAGTAATGGTGGAGGTACGGAAAGGGTGAGTAGTTCTAGCCAGGAGAACAAAAGAGGATCTGTCCGAGGAGCCCATGGATTTATATCCACTAACCGTACTTTGTCAAATGGTTCTGGTATATAAACATCAAATGAGAAATTGCGATCTGGAAAGCTATCTTTGAGAGTTCTGTCAAAGTATTCTTGGATTGCTTCTCTTAATGTTGGGATGAGAGGAAATAAGAAATCAAAATAGTTCAGATCTCTTTGACATATGCCAATAATCCTTCGATCCCGTACAAAACATCGAAACTCACAAGATGGATTTACTTTAAACCATTTCCGTAGAACTAGAACATATTGTATGTTTTCTTTTGTGAGGGAAGGATCTTCGGCACAACCATCAAAGGCGTGTTCTAAATCGTGGGTAATGAAGTCGGAAGATTTGAGAAGGAGGTAAACATCGTTTGCTGTATTGCACTCCATACTGTTCTGCTTTAAACTGATCCATGTTGCATCCTTTGGGGCAGACCAATTGAGTTTGGGAACTACTGATCCGCCAAGCTCAGTGATTGTTTCTTGTATTTGTTTGTGAATTTCCGAGAACTTCTCCGAGGGATCCGATTCTGTATCTGTATCTTCATCCCAACCATCGCTAGTTGAGTTGTTATTGTAAGTTTCTGGTGGAGGGAATGTAGCGATCTCGGATGGAAGAACTATGCCATCTTCCCGCAGGTATGAAAGGAATTCTGGAGTGAGGGGGATGATTCGAGATTTGAGAGTTGAGGACCGATATCTTATACCCTGTCAGCACTTTCCTAGACAGATTTGGGAAGGTAAAGTTCGTACTCTGCATGCCACTTATCATAAGAGCAGTTTAAAATGTGAGACTTGGTGATAGGTTCAAAGGGGAGTCTAGTGAGGGGTTCGGTCTCTGTGCGCGCAACTTCTGGAATGTCGGGAGCTGGCATTTTTCTTGCAAATAAGATTGATGATGGAAAGTCTGGTAAAAGCTAATTGGAAATATTAGAAATATGATGCTACTTAGGGGCGAATAGATTTGAGAGATATATGTATGGAAATTGTGAGTCAGAGCGGTTCCCTCATTGTCCCATATATCGAGGGGCAACCAATAATTTTGTATTCTGCCACGCTAGTTGTACACCGCCTGCGATATCAGCATTTGTTAATCACTTCTCCACACATCAACTTTCCCATAACTTATAAGGAACCCAGCTGTGAAGAAGACAACCAAACCACAACCTGAGCATTTTCGCAATCATGTCTTCCAATGTCGGTCTTACTACACCTAGAGGAAGTGGAACCTCAGGCTATGTCCAAAGGAATCTTGCGCATATGAGACCTCGCGATCAAGCTAAGCCTTATTCCACGGATATCGACAGTCTTAAACATAGACAACGACAACCAGATAAAGGGATCCTTGAGCATGACAGGAAACGAGAAGTCGAGGTCAAGGTTTTTGAGTTACGTGATAAGTTAGAAGAAGAAGGGTAGGTTTTCTCAGGCGCATTTATTAATCGTTGATGGGCTAATAATGGGCACAGAGTCGACGAGGAAGAAATTGTAATACAGGAAGATGCGTTACGAAAGAAGCTCCTGAAGGAGATGGAGAGAGGTAACGGCCCAAGTATGAAAGGCTTGAAGATGCATCAAGTACATGAATTGGCAGAGGCAAAAATCAAGCAGGATAATAAGTTCAGGAGTGCGTTGGGCATTTCTAAGGACTACAAGGAGGGCGGCCATTGGCAGAAGCAGGAAGAGAGACAGAGAGCTGCGATGGAGAATAATGGTGAAGGTGCTACAGGTCCATCTAAAATATGAGGACGAAGTGACGTCATACCAGCAATACACCAAGATGTTTCGACTGGAAATTACCACTGGAGAAATGGGAGGCTCCTTCAAACCTATAAGCTGCACGAACAAACGATGATGGGGGACTGGCAGGACTTGCAAGCCGCGTCGCTCTCCAATGCGCGTCAAATCATTCCATGAAGTGGTTCTGGGTTGGAGTACGGACGGACTTACTTTCCTGGCTCATAATCGGATCTACTTGTTTTCATTGATACTACCAGCGACTTTGATGCGGAACTTCACAAAATTGGCACAATGTTTAAGCTTGAACATATACTGAAATGATTCCTTCTCCATACATTAGGAGTAACGATTCCTCTCTATACATTCGAAGTTCTAAGCATCTACAGCTTGTTTCTTCTCGCTGCTTGTAATTTTTTCTAAATACCTCTGTGGTCTACCCGCTCAAAGCTTTCAAACACACAGATTATATCCGCTATATTCTGTCCATTGAGCAGACCTCTCTTGTGTTATCTCATCAAGGCTTTATTTTAATCAAACTATGGCCGATCAAATGTGTTCCCAGTCGATTATTGTCTCCCTCGAATACCAATCTTTCGAACGTCTCCCTTCTACACATCGGAAACCTGGTTCGCAAGGCCAACTGGCAACAATCTCGTCGGGGATTATTCTTCCGCCCAAGACAAGAGCTTCATTCGCTTTTCTTATTCCCACACGCTGGACGGAAGCCCTCGAAGCTCCTTCCCCCGCCACGAGTTCCAAACTTGGGAAAGGGCCACAAAGAAAGGTTAAGTCTGAGATGGAGATTAATGCAGCTGGAAGGCTAATTGCCAGATCATTGAGGCCTGTAATGAGGATTTTTGGATATTTATCCAAGGTATTGGTTATATTGAGGTTATTTGCGGCAAAACTAGACAATCTATGAGGAGCGAGATCACTTCCAACAGTTTACCAATTGTATATCGATCTTCTATGGATTGATCAATGCATGGTAGCTATCATGTGACGGGGAGAGTCTAACATTGAAAAGTAGCGTCCTAGGAATTCATTTCAGCAAGTTCCCTTTCCCAAATTAACATCTCAAATCATACCCTTCCTGTCAAGACTGTGACGAAAACCTCATCATGGGTAGGAACTGGTGGAACCACATCATGAGCTTTGCTATCAGATAATAGACACCTTAATTGATTCCGAGTATTAAAATTCTTCATATTGTTAATTGTGATTACCATGGTTCTTGGGTTTGAAAGGGAATTTTGAATGTATGGGATTAAAGTAAACAACCCCCAGGTAAAATGTCAAAAAGATACAAATACTGAATGATGGAATCCATCAAAGTCATTTGTGGGGTAGCACACCTCGGCCATTCTCTGCCATTGTTCACCAGGGGTCAGCATGAAATGATTGGTCGATTGTGAAGTCTGATATTCGCATGATTTTTAGGATCTATCCCAAACTTTCATTGAATCGGAGCAAGAAAAAGGAATTTTTCACGTCAACGCACTCAAATTGTATCGAAATACTAGACCGCGTACTGCAATCATGGGAGGTCCTAATCTCGAAGTGTTCAAAGTAAATATTACCAATCCTTTCATCGTTCAGCATCTTGGAGACCACTTCAAACCCCGCCATAGGATCACAATCTGACAGTCGAATAGTTTGGCATGTATATCATGTTTCCAATCGCAATCATGTACTACTATGGTACAAATCTCGACCAACGGTTCTCGGTCCCAGACTTCTGGCCAAAGGTTGAGCAAACCAATCGCATACCGTTTGAGAAGGATGAGATCAAAGCAGAGCTAGAGAGATTAAGGCAAAAGAGGCTATATTTGAGAGAGCAAAGGCTGCGGGGCGCGAATGGCTCGAACGGGGAAGAGAAATGATGAAGAGGATGAATATGATGAATATGATGGGGAGATAGCAAGAGGGTGGCGCGAGGGGGAAAATGGCGACAAAGACATCACATGGAATGGCCATGGCATAGAATTGGTTACGAGGCAGGCTGGCGTTCAAGGGGCACATATGGGGGCTTATCGTTCAGGACCGTTTGCAAATTTTGCTCGACTTGGAAGTTGAAAAGGCTGCACAGGAATTATTCGTCTAGAATTGGGGTCGAGGGGCGAGGAGATGCTTTTTTATGGTACAAGACAAGTGCCACCTCTGTAAATCTAGTGTACACTCTACTTCTGTATATGTCTAAATCAAATATATACCCTTCTCAATCAGTCTAATCCACTGACCAAATCTTCCCATTGTCCATCTTCAATATTTCCCTGTACAATGTTCGCATATATCCCCTGAACATCTGAATTATCTCTTGCAGACTCAATGAAGGAAATGAGCCTATCTGTGGCGTCTCCTGCATCAACTGGCACATTTGTATCCTCATTAGGATCCCAGAGAATATCCGAACTTGCGATTTTTATGTCGAATTTCTTCTGCAAAGCATCTCCGGCTGCTGTTACCATATTCGGCTCCGTCCAAACAATGATATTCCCCTCATCGTCCACCTCTAAATCTTCGGCCCCTGCTTCGATCGCCTCATCCATCACATCGTCAACTCCCAGGTTCTTTTCGTCCTTCTCGAATGTGACGCATCCCTTTTTCTGGAACAGATATGCTGTAGGTGTAACAGTTCCCCCATGAGTTTTAACTAGATGTCTCAAATCCATCATTGTCCGATTAACGCTGTCCGTTTCGGCTTCGATTATCAGAGCAACCTGCGGCGGCATTATGCATTCTAACGTTGCTTTCTGCAGCGCGGCTCCAGTTGTCGATTTTCCTTGGCCACGAGCTATGGCAGTTTCCATGGAAGCTTTCGGGAAACCAGCTATGGCAACGTGAGTATTTGCAAATATTGATGCCAGGAGGGAATGTACCCCGTTATGTACCTTTCTTCGCAGCCGCTAGAACAGTCGCCAGTCTTGGGTTTATGTACGGGTCGGCTCCATGTACTTGTATAGCGAATTAGTATCATTCAGAAAAACCAATGGCATACCAACTTACATTTTACAGCCAGCGCAATATCATGCGCAATGATAGAGCGAGCCTTGGTCTTTTTCGCATCTACAGCTCCTTTGTCATGTTTGATTTTTGACCAGCGATTGTGACCCGAAGACACCACTGACGTAGTGGAAAATTGTAAACATTTGGAACAGATGTAATCACTTCGAAGGAAAGGTCTAAGACCTCTAGAAAATGCTGGCATGTTTGTCATACCGAAGACGAAATTTTATATCAGGTCTGATTTCGAGCTTTGAAAATAAATATTGTTGTGGCTTCCGATTGGCTGAACTTCGATCGTTGTCGCGAACACTTGTAAATTGGCACAGTACAGCAAAGGAGCGTGCAACGAGGCCAGAACCACTCCACGAATGTCCAAATTCAAAAGGGCATTCCAAACAATAGATACAAAAGATATTAAATAATGTCATCGACAGGCCGACCGAGCTCCAAAAATGGCTCAAGTGAACTTCCAGGCAGATTAGAGCCATCTTCCACCCCAGAGCTCGATATCAAGAAGCTCCAATCCCTCCCATCAGAGCAACAAGATTTATACCTCCTTAACTTCGTCTCGACGCTCACAAAACATGTGGAAAGCCTGGAGCCAGACGACTGTACGGCGCAGCAGCTTTACCTCAAGAAAGAGCTCTTCCAAATACTCAATCTCGCAGCTCCCCCTCCTACCAGAGTGATTCGAAATAATTTGGGACGATGTTTCGCACATGTACTAGGCAAGGGGGACAGGAAGCTGCTTTTCGAAACAGTAAATGATCTGGTCGGAATAATCAGTAATGGAAAGACGAAGACGGATGGGGATTTCAGAACGAAGCATGCAGCTGTTTACTGTTTAGGAGATGTCTTCGCAGCCGCTGGAGACAGCGCAATTGGATTACATTCTTTAGCATGCAGTGCGTTGCTGAAGCTCTTAAAGTCCGCGCAAAACAATGCGGGCCTACGAGCCGCGATATTCAAGGCTTTGAGTAAGATTGTGGGAATGGTTTCGACAGGCATGGACGACACAATCGCGAAGGATATATGGAAACAAGCCAGGAGTTATGCTTCAACTGAAAAGTCGGCATTGGTACAGATCGCGGCTTGTAGATGCTTAAGAAGTCTGTGTAAGTTCACACAGTATTACGATAATTCAAGCGATTTTGAAAGTCTGAAGTCGACGATTTTCAAGACAATAGATTCGCCGAGCGCATTGGTTCGACAGGCTGCCGCAGAGTGTTTCGCAGAGGCATTGGTGAAAAGCCATTCGGAGGAGGCTCCGCGAGATAATGATATACCTATGATCAAGAAGATCAAAAGGACGAATACCACCAAACGTTCATCCGTAATAGCTGGCCAGGGGCTTGATGATGATGAAATGCCCTCGAGGCCCGGAACTCCCACGGGCAACAAGAAGAGCCAAGTACTCGTTCTTACACTTCAAGAGATTTTGAAAGTCTTGTCAAATCAGTATATCAAAATATCTACAACTAATAGAGCTCGCGCTGGCATAGCTGTTTGCTACAATCGGATATTCAAAAGCATGAGCGAGAGAACTGTCGAAACGATGTATATGCAGATTGTGGATCATTTTACTGTGGAGCTTTTGAGCCATGCAAACATTACTTGTAACAGATATCGTTTGTTGAGTACACGGAAATTTGTGCAAATCATCCTAGAAGATGTGGTCGGCCACTCCATACTTGGTGAATCTGGGCAATTGGACGCTGCAAAGGCCTTGGTCAATGATATCCTGAAAAATTACCCGCAGGTGATCAAAGAAAGAGCTGAGCCTTCTAAACATACACTTATTGCCACACTCAGCGCATTGGCATCGTTAATTAAAACCTTGGGATCTGCCGCGAATGTGATTGCAGAAGGTTGTAGGGATGGACTATTACAAGTTCTTCAACATCCAAGTTATACGGTTCAAATCTATACCTCATATTGTTTACGAACTTTCACATTGGCCTGTCCACAGCAACTACTACCATGCCTCACAATATGCATGAACAGTGTCAATCGAGAATTGAACTTGTTGAATACTGGAAGAAACTCGCCAAGGCGATGTGTGGGATACGCTAATGGATTGTCTGCGATGATTAGCACAGCAAACTTACAGCCGCTTTACGGCTCAGTGGACGTCAACAGTCGCGTGCTTTCTCTCGCAACTAATCTTCTTAAATCCAGTAGCAAGTCGGAGCTGCGTGTCTCAAGTACTCAGATACAAGTAGCATGGATACTTATTGGCGGGCTGATGTCCTTGGGGCCGAATTTTGTGAAGATCCATCTCTCCCAACTACTTTTACTATGGAAAAATGCGTTACCAAAGCCTCTTGCTAAGGACAATACTTCCCAACGAAGCTTCCTCGAATCTTCCTTCCTCACTCATGTTAGAGAGTGTGCACTTGGCTCTATTTTATCATTTTTGCAGTTCAATAGCCGTCTCCTGACGGCAGATGTGTCAAAACGAATTGCTGCCATGCTTACGAACACTTCAGCATTCTTGAAAAGTCTCCCATCCAAAAAATTGTCGGATGATGTTACACAAAGATTGACTCCATCATTGCAATTGCAAGATCTGGACTTGATGGTTCAGCGTCGTGTTCTTCAATGCTATGCAAGGCTAGTTACACTTAGTCCAGTCGGTGGAAGTGAGGCACTGTTACAATCTAATCTTCTCACACTCGCGGTATCATTCTTCGCCGATCCTGAAAACTATAGTCCAAGTTCTTTATCCTCATCAATTGCGAGCTCGGCTGGCAACTTCGAAACAGTGTGGGATGTTGGGGATAATTCTGGGTTTGGTGTCACAGGACTCGTTCGAGGCTTCAATGTGCAAAAGTTGGCTTCTGAACAAGAAAATGGGTCTCGAGATGACTGGATAAAAGAAACGGGATCAGATATTGATATATCAAATGTATTGCTATCGCCAATTTGCAGTTCGCTTGAGCACGACTCCATTTCGCTGTACTTAGGTGATATTGAAAAGGATAATAGTTTACCAGACCCACCCGCTACAGAGGTCATCAATATAGCCATTAGGCTATTCGCAATTGCTTTTCCGATAACTCCTCCGAAAATCCAAGAAAGTATATTAGAACAAATTGCCACGTTCTTATCCACAGGCGCGCTTCAACGAGATCCTGGAAGGAAGGCTGCCATTAATGTCAACATTGCGACCGCATTATTTTGCGCACTGAAGGTGGCCGTGAAAGAGACATCATCTCCTCCCGGCGATCTCACCAATTCTGCTGTGGAGAAGCTCATGCAAGAAATCCTGCGGTCATTCGTCATTCATCAAGATCAATATGTACGGAACATTGGTTACGAATCCCTAGCTCGACTTTGTAATATCTCTGGTAATGCATACACCAACCAGGAAATCAAATACCTTATTGATACCATTGTGAGCAACCGCGAGCCGAGTGCAAGAGCTGGTTGTGCAATGGCATTAGGGTGCATTCATTCCCAGGTTGGAGGAATGGCAGCAGGCTTTCATTTGAAGACTATATTAGGGATACTTATGTCCTTGTGCAACGATCCGCATCCGACTGTTCATATTTGGGCCCTTGAGTCCCTATCACGTGTCGCAGATTCAGCTGGTTTGACATTCTCGGGATATGTGTCCAGTACACTCGGCATGCTATGCCAATTGTATGTTTCAGACACACATAATGAAGAAATTTCTTCTTTGGCCACTTCGAATCTAGAGTTAGAATTGTCTACAACTGCGGTCATTGCGCGTTGTATAGATTCTTTGGTCAATGTTCTTGGCCCTGATCTTCAGGATATGACTAAAGCACGGGATTTAATACTTACAATGGTAGGACAATTTGGCGCAGAAGAAAACATTCTAGTCCTTGCAGGAAGCTTGAAATGCCAGGAGCATCTGGCCCTTTATGCTCCAGGTCATATGGAATTCGTAGATTATGTTATTCTTCTCCAAAAAGATCTCAAGTCGGACGTATCATTACTTAGAGATATTGCGATTGATGGTCTGTACAATCTCATGAAACGCAACTCGGAAGATGTTGTCAAAGCAGCTGAGACTGGATTTGAAGATCAGTTATGGCTGGCTTTGGATTCGGATCCTGCACACGATGGTATCAGAAACGTTATTCGAAATTGGTTACAACAATCATGTTTAACTGAAACGCCACGATGGCTGCAAAGATGCCAAACCGTCCTGTCGATGACAAGGCCCAAGGTAGAAGATTCAACGGCCATAACTTCAAAATTCATGACTGATCTTGAGCAGCAATCTGAAGACAGTCGGAAATCCATCTGCATCATATAGAACTTCCTGTTCCGAAAGTCGCTCCGACTCTTGAAGGACCAATCGATTATCAGGCCCGTTCG